TACACCACAAAAAAAGATACTTATTTAACAGAATCCTGCTCACCCCACCTTTAAAACACCTGCAAGAACATTGTATTAAATGGCTATCAAAATTCTGATCCTGATTATAGTGTTTTATGGCTGATTAAATGTTTAACCCCACTCTTATTATCTGCTTATCATTATTATAGGATAACATGGACCATGTCAACATTTTTGTAGAGTCATTCACGATTCAAATCAGGCATCTCAGAGTTTTGTAAGAGTGCAGTGCTTTGATTGAATAAATCCAGCCTTTCTGTCATTGAAGGCAGATGCCCTCACCAGAGAAAGGTGACAGATATCATCAGAAAAATGTGCATTTGAATGGTGCAAAAAGCCAAAGCAAGCAGAATAGCATAAAGCCTGATAGCATGAGTGTAAGTTTCAAAACTACATCAGTGAGATATATCATATATAAGAGAGAGAGTGTCTGGAGCTAGCTTACAGTTTGTGGGTGTCCTTGTGTGTGTGTGTGAGAGAGAGAGAGTTATTTGTGTCTTTATATTCGTCTAAATCTAAGCACTGTATCCTCAGCACATGTAGCAAGTTGAAAATTTGCATCTGTGAGAAGGTGGAGGTGCCTCTCAGGTTTGAAGTGCTCATGTGACTCCCAGAAGAGGGTGGTTAACAGCAGAAAGATGAGTCCTCTGAAAAACTCATTAAGCTTCTAATTCACTGCTATAAACAAGCGTTCAATGGGATTATGTAATGTATCCTTGAACCTAAAGCCACTGTCTGTCGTTTGGTGAAAGCATGCAGGCAAGTCAGGTGTAAAGACTTCGGTATTCTGTAACAAATCCTCACACTGGTAAGGATTTTTTTCTTTCTTAAGTGCATTGTGGAGCCCACACAATGATACAACACCCACATACACACACACACATACACACACATGCAGCTTCTGACAGAGCAGCCTTAGCAGGTGGTGTGTGTGTGTGGGTGGTGTGGGTGCTTAATATCGTTCCAGGATGGCATCCACTTGGAGCCAAGATGGACTACAGATCATGACTCTCCACCTCCCGCAGGTCAGACCTCCTTCCTCACACAGGAAACAAGGAGATAGAAGTATCTATCTCAAGTTCTCATTTTGTGCACTCATCTTTTGCGAAAACACATTATTTCTACTCTTTTCTAATAATGTTTCAAAAGAACAAAAGAAGGGAGAATTGAGCAGGATGAAGCAAGACCAAACTGCCTTGAAAGCCTTGAAAGACTGAGATGGATCGCAAATAATTTGAGAACACCACTCCTGATTCAAAAATGCGAGTACAGTTTGAACACTGATACACTGATGCACAGATTCACAAATGCCTTCACAGATTAAAAATTTGCACTCCTAAATGCACACAAATTTACAAATGTGCACAAAAATGCACATGGATTCACAAATGTGACACAGATTCACAAATGTGCTCACACCTCCATGAATGCTCACATAAATCACAAGCACCCTGATTTACAAATAACCTGCAGAGTCACTGATTTGCACAGATCACAAATGCTCTGATCAGCAGTTGCACACTCACATTCACTTGTGTATACACTGACCCACAAATGTGCACATAAATTCTCAAATACATACACAGATCTGCAATTTTTTTATATGCATGCATAGCTAGTTGTTATTACTCAATTTCTCAGCTCCTTATCTCAGCTCTAAATGCAGAGGTCCCACCACATTTTGCAAGTTGAGCAGCACACAGTCTGGATGCTAAGTGAGGTGCAGGAGCACAAAAAGGGAGATTAGAAGTCCTTTGACAAATAAAAAAGAGTGTTTGGGGTGTAACATGAATCTAGAGTCAGGTGCTTTGACTCCAAAAGAAAGCTACGTTAACCTCTTTCCCTTAAAATTCCTTGAAATGCAGAAAACATACACAGAAATGAGTTATGTTAATAATCTACTTCTCTACTCACAGTCTTTTGGGTTGCCTCAACTCTTTTTCTCACCTCGGCCACTCACTTCCACTGCCTATTCTGTCATTTCTTTTGTGTGTACGTATGTGAGTTTGTCACTCCTTCTCTATTTATTCTATCTTTGATCTGCTGCCAATGTCACCGTGTGGTTAAAGATCCTGCCCAGGCCTTCCCTCTCCAGCTGGTATGAGAGAAATCTGTTGGAATTCTCTTCATCTTATGTAAGATTATCAGCGCGGTGATTCAAGGCTGACTGGATTCACACTCTGAAGCTCGCAGTTCATCTGTGTTGTGCATGAGGTGGCAGGACTCTCAGGCACAAGCTGTGTCTCATAAACGCTATTCTCAGCTTTCAAATGTCATTCATGTGGTTTGATTCAGAAGACAGGTGACATACAGAGAAGGAAGAAACCCAAAATGACTGACTGATTTGTTTGTCATGTGAAAGAAGAGTTGTGGTCATATATTGATGCGTGCACGTGGATGTTGTAAACAAGAACCTCTGATTAAAGTCACAGATTGCCAAGAGCCTCTGTCTTGTAATGAATCATGTGTGAAGCTGAAATTAGTCACTCAGGTCTTCTAAATTACCTGCATTCTCCTCAGTCCACGTGCCTTTATTGTGACACCATTTTTTTTAAAAAGCACTTGATCCATCTCAGATCTTGGCTGGAGAGACAGAGGCAGCAATTATGTTGTATTATGAACCAGATCAGCCTTAATAGACAGAGAAGAGGTCAGAAACAAGGCTTAGAGACACAAAGAGAGAGACATGGACCAACCATGCACTCATGTTTTACACCTGATTAACACTGGACTAAAGAGTCTTGTTAAAAGGAGCACTGTGGTCTTCTTTTTAACCTCTGGTCAATTCATCTATTTTCAGTGTGCTTGTAAAACGTGTTCACTTGATAGGAATCATTTAGTAACACCCTCTCAAATACACAAAAAGCAGCATGTGATGTTGTCTTAGCGAGGATGTGAAATTATTTTCGGACTAGAATTTATTTTTTATGATTTTTTTATTGTGGCGTTTATTCAACTATGTTTACAGAAGTCAGACTGTCTGAGAAGGAAAATCACAGCTTTATCTTAAAAATTAGTGAAACTATTTTCCCGAGCAGATGTCATGTTATATCATGCTTTTATAAAACAAAGACCTTTTATAAAGCCCAGGGAGATTAAAAAAATTGCTAAGATGAAAATGCATGTACTGCTTTGAAGGTTTGAAAACTTATTTGTGAAGAAAGTTAGCCTGTGTGATGTGTAGCCAGGTGCACAAAAGTGGAGGCAAAGTATTCCTGCTGCATGCACCTTGCACATCTGGACCCAGAACCTACATAAAAGTTAATCACACCATAAACATAGAAAGTTTGCTTGTTTTTTGTTTATTTTGTGTGTAAAAAGGTGTGTACATTTTTACACTGGATGATAAGACACACACTCCTGTTGTAATTTAATTTAATTTACTTCTTTGTTTTTGAGTTACCTGAATGTGGGGGCATGGCACTTCCTGGTCTGGTAAAAAGGTGTGGCCAAGAGTGGAGGAGCCTCCAATGCTGAACCCTACATATTGGAGCAGACCATTTGATGTTCTGTCAAGGGGGGGTTAGGTTTAATCCACTTTTCTTTGAATTTAGTTTAACTTAGTGTCCACTTGTTTCCCTTGTGTTGTGAAGTTCCCTGTTGTCCCATTGAGTTAGATGTTTGCAATTATATTTTTGTCTTGATCATTTGAGTTATATTAAACTGACCTCTTCTATAGGGCTATTTATTATAATTTTGGCTTGTAAATTTGGTTTTCTTGATTTGGGTTAAATAAGCAAGTCACCTACCCCCTTGCACTGCTTTCAAGCATTAAAAATTAGACTAAAAAATCATCACTCTTGTCACTGAAGATTTTTTTGCTCTAATCGTATTATGAAAAGGGATCAGTATTACTTTCAATCAAAAAAAAATCCTCATAGAAACTTTAAAGAAAATATATGATTCAGAATTGCACGTCATGGTTACTGACTGAAATTAGACAGTTATTTTGAAGGACTTTAGTAATGTCCAAAACAGAACCAAGAAATTGTGTGTATAAATATAATGTCCTTGTTTCACCCCTTGATATGCTGTGGAGAGACTCCAAAAGAAAATGGACACCTGTGGCATTCAAGAATAATATCTAGTTTTCTGGTGACTCTCTCCATTCACAAGTTTTTCTTTAAGGGAGTAAAAGACCAGGAACCAGTAAACCAAAATATGCATCTATATCATACTTTATAACAGGTACAGCAAGCTGCTGTTGTATTTAGGGATGAACAGACTTCTGTATTTCCCTAATACACATAAAATCTCTGCAATTAAAACTTACCGTTTAATTGTTTTCTGTATACCTGTAGACCACACACATGCAGTGCAAGTATTATTTTATTGAGAACTTAAGCAAGACAAAATAACATTTGTCATTACAATTGTGTTTATTTTCTAAACTGTCTTGAACACAGTACCATTATATTTATCTTTAAGTCTTTACAACCACAAAACACCTTAATGTCAGTCTGACGCTGTGCTGTGTCTTCATAAAGAATCACTGAGAATGCAAGTGGGACAGATGAACTCATTGTCTGATTTCAGCCTGCAGACTCTGATAACTAGTTCTTGCAGCTACATTTTTCTTGCTTCACTTAACCCAAATTTGTCACTCATTTGAAGAAAGATGAGCGTGAGTATGAAGCTGAAGCTTTGGAAGATTTAGACTTTAATCTGGTAGACACTCGTTCCTGTAACCGAGCATTTATCAGCGATAAAAAGAAGAGAAAGAAAAAGTAAAACTGTGAGAAGCAATTATTTCCAAATCATCAAAACTTTAGTCTGAAGGACGTCCAATGAAACATTATTACGGTTTAAAACCTCCTCGAAAACTTAATAAATAGCACCACCAAATTAAAATTCCACACTGACATAATAATTTTCAACAACTCTACATTTATGTGAAGGCTGTAAGTTATGTAACAGGTCACAGGAGAAAATGAAAAACAGTTTTTGAAAAGAAGCAACAAGTTGTATGTTTGGGTTATCTAACCCAGGAAGACATCCCCGTAGAAGCCCACTCCCTCCAACCTCTTGCCTCCAGCCTGGTCAACCAGTTCAGGAAAGTGAGCCCCCACACATACATTGACAGCCTCCCTCACCTCTGCTGGCAAAGCCCTGGTTTTCTGAGCGTGCTCTTTCAGGGCCTCCTGATTGAGCTGCAGACACAAAGGTCGGTTGAGGTTAGAAACTTGTGGTTTTGTGCTTTTTAAGTTTCTTTTCTTGTCCAGGCATTTGTCATAATCTTTAGAAGACAGATTTGTGGATTGACTGACTTCAAATAAGAGTGACTCAACAATATATTTTTTTTGGTTGTTTGTCTAATTATTTAAAAATGTCCCCGTTCCAAAGAAAATGGCTCAATCACAAAAGTTGTTTTTATTTGTCCCTTAATTTTGTATCTCTCACTGATATTCCTCCCACTTCTTCCTAGAGTATCAAAACTGAATTTGTAAGTGAATATGATCGATGAGACACAAAAACACACACGTCCATCTGGCCTTCAAGCGTCAACCTCTTATCGATCTCACACCTCTTTCTCTCATTACTAACTGCCAGCATTTCACCCATTCAAAGCAAAACTTTGTCATAAAAAAGCTCTGACATCATTTACAGCGGCGGGAGCGTGGTCAGTGGTTTCTCAGTGTATGTGTCACTCCTCATTATTACGTAGAAGCACTGAAAATAGCAGAGTCTTGTTGTTGGCATGGTTTGAAAGATTTGAGAATATTTCAATCATAGTATAAGGACAGATCTTTGGGGGAGCGAGTCACACTAACAGCTATATAAAAAAGTGGAACCATATTCTTGTCAAATTTACAAGGTGAGCAATCACCTATTACGACTTAGTCAGCACAGGAAACACAGTCTTAACCAGAAGTCCAACATCTAGCCATACCTGTAGCCCCATAAAGTTGGCCAGTACTTCAAGAGGCTATTACTTAATCTCACTAAAGCCGATGGGAATATTGAGCATCCACTAAAATCTAAAGAAAAATTGACATTAATCTAAAAAAAAGAAGGTTCATTTCCAGTCCATGTGGAGAGCAAAGTACTGTATACGCCATATGACCTCCTGGCTCACAAATGCAATATTCTGATGACTATCAGTTTGTCTCTATGAACAGGCATCCGCTTGCAAGTGCAGCTGAGAAACAATCTGTAGTGAAAAATCTGCTCAATACGGTATAATCAAAAGCCACCAAGCGATGACATACTTTATCAAAATCTTACAGGATTTTGTTATTCTTGAAAAACTTACGACCTGTAAATTGTCAGTTAATCAAAAAAAGTAGATTTTTTTGTTCAGGTTTTTACCAGAGTGAATTGTTGTGTGTCTACTGTCGAACAGAGACTTACAGACACTTGAATGGGTTCTACGCAGGGGGACATAATGGACTAAGAAATGACAGGTGGTGTTTACATGGCAGACATTGCAGCACTAAAAAGAAGCTCTTGACTGGAAGCTGTTGAGTGCAACACTGGCTACACCAGAATTACTCAGGAGTTGGCGTCCAGTCCCTGAGGCAAACACAGTTTTAGAGTCGAATAATGATAGATGATGATTGCCTGAGGTTTTTGAAATTGCTGTAAATGTAATGCTAAATGTCTGAACTGAAGCTCAATGCCTGCAGCTGGATAAAGGACCGTCTATTGCGCACTCAGGAAGTAAATAATCGATTGCAGTCAATACTCGATACTGCAATGCTCTCAGCAGGGTGTTAATGGTCAAAAAGCTGCAGGTTGTGTATTCCTACTTGAGCAAAGGCATGCACAAATTCAATCAAATATCACTGAAATGGCAGATATAGATTAAATACAGTTTGCAGTACCATTTAGATGCTTACTAGAGTGTGCATAAGACCCCACTTTAAGTAATTATTCAGGATTTTTTACATCAATATTCAGCTTTTCAGTTTGTTTTTAGAAAATAAAGAAATGTTTCAGTGTCCTCATAGACGGCCAAAATGCAAGTTGGTGTCAGTGTTTGTACCTGATTGGTCAGGGACTTTATCTCCTCCAGGGTACAAGCCTGTTTCTTCATCAGAGCCTCTTGCTGTGGGCTGTAATCTGTAGACTGTCACAACACAACAAAGAAAAAAATTCACTATGTTGCTGCTGAAAACACCATCAATCTGAGGCCTGCTTGAGTGTCTTTATGTGTATGTGTGCACATGTGGTATCAAGTGAGAGATACAGACTGTTTGCATGTCTATAAGCAGTTCATCTGCTCATGTTTCTCCCCGTGAGTGTATACCTATGTTTATCTAGAGAGAAAAGCACCCGAGGGATGCAACCAGAGCAGGAGAATCAATACATTTGAAGCCTTAACAGGTTCGGCCTGTCCAATTTGATTACAGAGCCCTGATAGCACTTGGCTGTTCAATACAGAGGCTGATTAAAAAGGTGACTGCGGTATAAATAGTTGCAGTAATTAATTGGAAATGCTGATTAAGGAGAGCAAAATGAGCGTTTGCAATGTGACCATGATTTACAAAAGGATGAGGAGGGTTGCTGCACTCCAGACAGAGAGTAAAGGAGCAGATAGCAAGTGAAGCAGTGGAGTCTTTAACCCAAATACGGCAGGTCTGAATGTTGATGAGAGGAGCGAGAGAAGTGCTCAGTGCTGCACATGTATGAATTAGTCTGCTCTGTTATCAGCTTCTGAGTAATGGAGAGGCGTGGCTTATGGACATGACCTGCTGCACTTTCCCCACCAATTAAGAGTGTGTGTGTGCGTGCGTGCGTGCGTGCGTGCGTGCGTGCGTGTGTGTGAGAAAGAGAGACAGAGAGTGGGATGTTACAGGGTGAACGAGTAGGTGTACTCACGTGTTTGTGTGTATCTGTTATTTGCACGTGGGAGGGTGTGTGAACATGTGTGCAGATGTATGAAAGAATCCTTTGACATGTCTGATATTTTTATTTTTCTTCCAGCTCAAGACACCTGCTGCTTCTTGGTAACCATAGTTACGCCATTGAGTACAAAATGTGTTGAATGGACTATGGTGGATGGTCTCTGTGTTCTGAGACATTAATGTTGTTGAAGGAACGTTAGATGATCAGACTTCTAGTGAAACTAGGATGTTTCTTTAGAGATTTAATCTACATGAATAATAACAGTATGACATTTTTAGACATAAGCTTGTTTTCTTTCATACCAAGGCTTGAATAAGAAGTTGGTTACCTCACACAAGTCTGTTTATTAAATACAAGGCTACAGCTGTTGGCTGGTTAGTTTATTTTAGCTCAATCTAGCATAAATAGTTGAAACCTGAGTACTAAAATATTCTACTTAAGTGCAACTACTCTTACTTTGATAAAGTTTCTACTTGAGTAGAGGTAAAACTCACAGTCTGCAAATACACGAGTAAAAGCAAAAAGTACTTCATACTCCAATGAGGACTTTTTTACGTTTATAAAATAGACTGAAATTCACATTGATGCCCTTGTATGATAAACAAAAGCAAGCAAGGTCATCACTGGCAAGACTATTGCTTTTGTATTGTAATTCTTAATGCCTTAAACTGCTGTAAGGGTCAAGCAGCAGCAGAAAAAGCCTAGTTTTTACACATAAAATATTCATATTCAGTTGAAAATCAAATAGTAGTTTGTAGTTTAGTTTATTATAGTTGGAAATGAGTGCTACACATATAAAAGCAATGTTCATCCAATGAGTTACTGACCCTGGCCTTTCTTATTGTATTCAACTCAAGCACGTGCGTTCCCTATTTTATTCTGCTGAGTAGAAGATATCAACCAATCAGCTGGCAGTTATGCTGTTGATAGAAAGCTTGTATGTTTATGCTTTTCACTTCTTTTGTATTCAGTAACCGGTGCACTGTAAAATGTGCCAAAACACACTACTCCATGAAAAATATTTAAAGTCCCACTCTGATCGTATTTTTTTTTTTACAACTTAAAGTGTTCTCGGTGGTTGTTAAATTGTGATTATGAAGTTTTTAGCCAAAATCACATAACCTGTTTCTTTTTCAAGTGCTTTTCTTCACCAGAGCTCCAGTAGATCATTAGCAATTCGCCCCTCTTCATGCTAGCTTGTAACCTAACATTGCTGGTGCAGCAGAAGTTGCGGGTATTATAGGAGCTATTCAGCTTTTAGACACTAATGTCTTTGGGGACATGATGCATTGCAATCTGCTACCACACACTTGTTCCACAATCGTCCTCTCTAACTTCACAGGGTCTGGCCTGCATAGCAGAGCTCTGAGTTATGAATCCCACTGTGTCTGAACCTGCCGTTTAGGTCTGCCAGAGGCTTATAGCGATTTAAATGCAGAAATACTCAGAAATGCATTTTCGCTTTTAGTTTTCAAATTGTATGTTCTCTACCATCAGAAAAATGCCACATGAACATATAGACAGCAAGAAAAACACAAAGAGGAAAAAGTACTACGAGAACGAGCCCCCAGTTGGCTGTTAGAGCAGCCAATTGGGAGTGTGAGGTGGCAAACCTAATTTACAAGATAGGCGACACACACACACCACACATACATTAGACACAGCCAGGCCAGGAAAGAGGGGCAAAATACGATAGTTTCCAGCCAAAACGAGATACTTGACAGCTATGTTCCAAACTACTCAACCACTGCCAACATTTAAGTACAATGCGACTAACTGTGTTACATTCAACAAGTTAAGAAAAGTACTTACAGGAGCATCAGTCTGACTTGGCTCATCCAGCATCTCTGTGCTCATTGATTTTTTTAGCCTTCAGGGGAAAGTTAGTATATTTCAATCAGACCTGTTGTACATAATGTTAAAGTAATCTTATCTAGCCAGACATAATGTGCAATTCCATGTGCCAGAGAGCAAAAAAGCTCTGTGTCATTTGTTACTTCAGATTAATTCAGACAAAGCTGAGAGGAACAGCAATGTGGAAAAAACAGAAAGTTACTGAAGGCAAGGTCACACTGTGAACTCACTTTGCTTTTTCTGAAGATGAACATTTTGAATTTTTCTTCTTGTTCTCCTTTGATTCACTGCAAAACAAGAAGAAAAAACTCAGAGTAAAGACTTGTGTTTGACTGAAAATCTAGAAATGAGAAACACCAATGTCAGCCCTTTTAAACAAGAATGACAGGAGTACGTGTCTGATTTGTGACTTTGTATTTAGAGTGTAAAGAAAGGCTTAAATGTGATGTTATCATATTGGTGTGGACAGGTAAACAACCAAAGCTGCCCTGCTTCCCCACCACTGTTTAAACACCTGTTGGATAATGGTTGTCCTGAGTTAACCATCTGCCAGCTGTAAAGTGAGGATAACAAGCCAACTACACACACACACACACACACACACACACACACACACACACACACACACACACACACACACACACACAAAGATGCACACACTGATGCAGCATAAGCCAGCCGAGGACAGACTCTCACATTAAGGTGATTCATTCATTATTTGAGGTATTGTCTTTCCTAAATGTCAAATGTTTCATCTCAGAATACAAACACAAACGAGTTGTGCCAGATTCTCAGAGCACAGACTGCACAGACTCAGTAGAGCCTGAGTCTATCTCTCAGTGTGTACAGCATGTCCCAAATGTGTTGTATGTGTGCTCTCACCTCTCAAGAGTCTTCAGCTCACTGGCGTGTCTCTCTGTGGCCATCTCCAACAGTTTGGCTAGTCTCTGCCACAATAGAAGGAGGAAGTGACACAATCACAGTTAAATCAAAGCTAGAAATGAGAGTTAAGTTGCCCTGAATTGAGTCCATCATGTGCGTAATTAAAGCTTTTGTTCCCTAACACAAACAAATGTGCTGATCTGTGTGAACTTTCGCTCCAGACGTGACACCAGACCTGCATGTTAGATGGATGCTGACTCTCACTTTGTACGGTACAGTTTATACTCAGTCTAGTGAGGTGACAGCCCTTGAATAATTACCTGATTGACCCCTCCATCTGAAGCAGATTCAGAGCGTATGCTGAGAGCACCCCTGAGCACCTGGGTCTGCTGTTTAATCAATAGGGACTCGAAAGCGCTGGCTGCTTGCCTGTAGTCCCACACACAGTTACAGAGTGGGGATACCAGGTGCTCGGAGGAGATGTGAACACTGCCTAAGCCATGGAAATAGATACTGTTTTTGGGATGAATCACTGGATGTAAAAAAGACAGCCAATTACAGGGTTTGAGGGGAGCAGTAGTTTGATGCGTACTTGAAACCTGACAAAATCTTGCTCTTAGTTTGAAATTGCAAAGTAAGGTATAATACAAAATAAATCCTATTGTCATGAGAAATTGTATTTATTCCTAAATACACTTTATAAATGTTGCTGTAAGTTGATATAAATGATTATAATCACTTAACAGGGTTGATATAAAGCATTTTAAGTGCATTTACAAAGCTTTATAAATGCACTTAAAGGGCTGTAAGTGTTTTTTGTTTGTTTGTTTGTTTGTTTTGCTGATATGTAGCTTATTTATTAATTTTTAGACTCCACTGCCCCCTTGAAAAATATGTGTCCCTCTACAGGGACAGCACTAGAGAGACCAGAGCATCTGCAAGAGGTGACTATTGAAGTAAATTTAAGAAAATTGCTTTTGGATAACCTGCATTTTCAGTTAGAGCTGTTGAAAGGTGAACCACAGTTCTGCAAAAGCTCCAGCTCTAATCTGAAATCACAGCTCAAAGCAAACCAGATGAAATCTTCACAACAGACAGAATCTGTGATGTAATTTGAAATAGGTTTTTATGTAACGTATTGTTAAGGAAGTTTATCTATTTTTAGTTTATATTGTACGTTTTTAGATCCTCCTGTGGCTACAGGATCCACAGATGTAAAGTAGGTTTATACCTCACTCACCAGCTTTGCAGTTTTGTTGCAAGGTCCCTATCAAATTAACTCATAAATTAATCTTAGGTGGACTAAACTGAACAAGGTTGTTTTTGTCTATGGTGTTGGCAAAGTGTATATACAAAACCTGCTGACAGAGCAACTCCAGCATTTGGTATGAGCAAAGTTTCTCGCCAAAGGGAAATATCTTGCTCTGTAGTTGCCCTGTGTTGTGGCACTTACATGTTGGTGTTGGATATTACAGACAGTATACAAATGAAAAATGGATAAATGAATAAAAGTCACTGCAGGATTTTAACTCAAAGTGACACCGTTACTTTAACCATTTGACCCCATGCCAATAAATAATGCTTTATGCACAATATTTCAATACACATGTTGAGTTACTTCTTTTTTGTATTAATTTATAAACTGAAGTCTCAACAAACTGGCCTGGACTCAAGTTTATTTTTTATAAACCTGTACTTTTCTCACCTCTGTAGCGCACTGCTCCTTCTTCTTCTTCAGCTGATCACACTGCTCCGTCCACAGAGCCTGCAGCTCCACCTGCATTTTGTCTTTCTGCTCCTGCACCCGCTCCGTCATCACGCTGGACTCAGGAGAGTTTTTTTCTCCCCTGCAGGAAAGATAACATCAAGCAGCATCACAAAACACACACAAAGGAAATGGATTATATCAACTCTGCGAAAAGAACACATTTTATTGTGCACCTGCGTGGTTACTGGAAATCTGAACAGTGTTTCTCGTTATCCCTGATTATGATGGGGTTTTTTTTATTTTTTCTCAGAAAGCCTGTCTACCTGTGGAGCACATATTCATTTAGCTGTTCTCATCCTCTAATGCTGAGCTTCAGTTAAAAAACACATTAACTGAGGAATATTCTCCATGCTTGTAAATGAAATCTCATTACAGACATGGACAAAAACAACATTTCCATTAGTGGGTCAGTGTAAATATTCTGCAGAAATCACTGCAGTTTTGGTGAATTACTGAACATTAACAATTGGGCAGACAGTTGGTACTCTGAATACTCCGAATTCATTACATGGCACTCCTCCTCCACCCACACTATCTGACTATCTTTTGTCAAACATTTCTTTCCGAACTGATTCTGGAAAATCATTAAGACACCAGAAAGAAGAAAAATATTTCCCCTCACTCTTTTTTCTTCATCGAGGCCTTCTTCTTTATGGCCTTGAAGGTGTCTGAGTATTTCTGAATCAGTTCCTCTCCTTTTTTCTGATACTTTTTCTCTGCTTCCTTCAGCTCCCTCTCCTGACGCTTGATGACTTTCAGGTAGTTCTTGTGTTGTGTCAGTTCCTCAGTGGGCACAGTTGAAGGCTCTGCACAGACACACAGAGCATTTGAGTAAGAATTGGTCTTATTGCAGTGGAGCCGCATTTATGATTCATCTACTACGGTGGCCGAGAACCGCCACTGCTGCAAATAAAAAAGAATGCGAAAAAAAGAAGTCACAACAGAAGTTACCATTGCAAATAAAATAAAAAAAGCCACAATGGAAGTTCACAAAAAAAAAAAGTTACATAATGCGAAAATAAAAGGATGCAAATTAAAAAAAAGCCACAATGGAAGTGAGCTGCCAGGGACCAATAATGATGATGCACCAGTGTTTTGCGATCTAGCCACAGAAGACGACGGTGAGGAGACGAGAAAAGAAGTAAGTGGAAAGGTTGTTGTTTAATTTCGCTTTGTGTACTTTTCAATGTGTCATTTGTTTAGACCATGTAGCTCCTGAGTCGATATGAAGTTGAACTGGAGGATGTTGGTGTAGTGTTAGCTTCAGTTTGCCTAGATCGTAAAACACCGGTGTAACATCATTATTGGTCCCCAGCAGCTCGCGTCTGTTGTGGCATTTTTTTATCTGCATCCTTTTTTTCCGCAGTATGTAACTTTTTTTTTCTTTTTTGGATCGCCACTTTATTTTGCATTGTTAACTTCTGTTGTGGCTTTTATTTTATCTGCACCATTTCTTTTTTATTTTCACCGTGCTTCGCTTTCTTTTTATTATTCTTATTCTTTTTTTTTGCATTCTTTTCTATTTGCAACAGTTGCAGTTCTCAGCCACCATAATCTACTGTATATAACAAAAAACAAACAAACAAAAAAAAACTTTCAAGCTGATTTAATGTAATGTCACCTCTTTATTACCTTCACCAGATGTAGGCGGCTGAGCTGACTCATTTGATCCTGCAGGATCTGGAGGTGGAGCCACTACACTGGGAATGACCACAGCAGCAGGCACTTCAGCAGCTTCTGTGTCTGGTTTATCCTCTGAAAGAGGCTCTGGGTTTGTAGTTGAGTCCTCCACAGACTCATCTTTGGTTTCGGGAGTTGCTTCAGGTTCTGGGGCCGGTTCGTTGTCAGGGGCTGGGCCCTCAGGGACTGGGACCTCGGGGGCTGGGTCCTCAGGGGCTGGGCCCTCAGGGGCTGGGTCTTCAGGGGCGGGATCCTCAGGGGTTGACTCTTTAGGGGTTGACTCTTCGGGGATTGGTTCTTCAGATGTGGGTTTTTCATGGTCTGTAGATGAATCTTCAACTGGAGCAGCCTTAGGAGGTAGAGAGGGTTCATCTGTAGGTTCAGACTTGTTCTCTGACTCTTCTTTAGCTTCTTCTGTATTTGTCTCGGGGGCTGGCTGTTCACCAGTATCAACAGGTGGTGTAGGTGTGGGCTCTGCCTTTGCTAGGGAAAGAAAAAAATGTTCCACTTTGAAATACAGCAGCTGAGGAGCCGTATTTGACCCTTATATTTCACAAAAAAACAACTCCCAACTCTACCATCTCATATACCTTCTGCTGGGGCTTCACTTTCTGGAGCTTTGACCACAGAAGTTTGGGCCACAAGAGGCAACTCATACGGGGAAATGTAGTCTGAGGATGACTGTGTGGACAGAAAAAAAAAAAGACAGGAACATCACAACCTAACAAGGCTGGTCATCTACCAGGAAACTGATTAGGGCTTTTGAGGATTTAAGGGAAAGCTGAGGACATTGTTGCGATTTCATTTTAGTAGATAAAGGCAAGGGAAGTAACCTTATCTGCTTTTTGTTACCTCTTTTGGAGTCTTTGATGTTTTCTCTGTGCCCTTTGTTGGGTTGAATAAGGCGTCTGTGAAATCTGGGGTAGAATCAAAAGCATCAGTGCACAATAACCCATACAAGCACAAATGAAATGCCACTCAGCTCCCCAAATTTCGACCTAAATCGACCTTGCACTTCACTGACATTCAAAAACAACATGCATTCATTTGTTGCAAAAGATTTTTCTTTTCCGAAAACACAAAATGATGAAAGCCAAGCACCTGCGAAGGCAGCGGGAATGTAGTCCTTGACCTCGATGTAGACAAAGAGAGCCGGCAGAGTGAGCGGCATGTTGCTCTCACTGCGCAGGCAGATGTGATGGAAACCTGCAGGGCATAAAACAAACCCTGGAGAATTTTTTAAAAAAAGGCAGCAGCTCCCTCTGATCCAGAGAAGTGGCACAAACAGTTTAGCAAACATTCGGAGGCCTTGAATGACTCAGGGGTGTTTAAATTATGTAGATCAGATGCAGCATGGAGTGTTTTTTTCCCCCTTTTTTTTAACCACTTACCTGATTGGATGGCATCAAGTGGGATGATCCTGTGTCCCACGAATTTACCGTTTTCTTCGTGAGCTACGATTCTTAGAGAGGCCATTTCTGGGAGCAGGATCTGTCCATCATAACAACAACAACATATAAATTAAGAGCTGAGTGTTGAAAGAGTTTAGCTCACAAAAACACAGTAACGAGCACACAGGTGTTTTTTTCTACATATATGTTGTTTTTATTCACACCTTCTCAAAAACAAAAGGCTCCTCATTCCAAACTGGGTTGATGGCGTTGGGTGTTGTGGACCACTTGGTGCGATATTTCTTCTTAGGGTCACCTGGCAGCCCAATCACCTCCACTTCCACTCCTGTTTTCACACTCTTGTCAGACAAAAACTGACCTGAATAGATCTGGAGAGACGGGTGAATAGGCTTTAATGACACATATGTTTTTTTATGATAGATGGAGATGCATCCTGTGGTGCGTACATACACATTTAGGACACAGTGGATATAAATAGAGTTCAGGTTTGACTCATGCAGAGTCGGCTTAATACCAGGAACCATGTATTACTCTCAGTAGGAAGCTTGAATTATTACAGACTCTAAACAGGCTGTAGAAGAAAGCAAACTGAACATACACAGGTTTCCCAAGGCCATTTAGACCAATTTATGTTCAGTGTAGAGCAGAGAGAGAAAAGCTTTTATATTTTGCACAGTTTGTTAAACAGAACCCTTTAAAGCTGTGTAAAAAATAATACAACTTTAATATTTTACCTGCAGCTTTTAAGTCATTCAATTATTAAACTGTTTCGGATTAAGTTTGCATGAATTTCAAGCACCTCAGAGATGGATTAAGAGAGGGGAAAAAAACAGCAGTATCTAAGCGGTGAACCTGCCTTTATGGTCAGTGTGCTCGCCACGACAGTGTCAATCCTGTCGCAGAAAGGGTCAAACTTCTTGTCACTGCGCCGCAGAACATCGTGCTTTAAGAGGTAACCCGTTCTGCCGTTGAATTCAAACAGAGACATGTTCAGCTGCATGGGGAAATCTGCAAGAAAGGAACCAAAAAAAACAGCCTATTCATGCCCCCTCTCTTCAGCACACGGTGGAGCACAGGCCTGTGCAGCACAAAGAGGTGCAACACTGACCTGCTGTGGTCAAACACAGAAGCTCAGGCTCAAAAATGTACCAACACATCAAAGTGAAGTGGTGATGGAAATAAAAATGGAGCTGTTTCATCCTCACATGTGCTATAAGATATTATTTCAAACGCTTATAGAGTGTTGTGTGTGCATTTCTACCCATTGTCTGGTAGTTTAGCGCCACCATCTGGCAGCCTACGTTCCAAAATGGCTGTGGGCTGTAGTTGGATGAATCCATTCTTGTTCCTTTGGGGTAAATTCTGCTCATCTGTCTTTTATTATATCTGAGAAAGGAGGTTCAGGAAACACTCATACAATTCTTTACTTGTATGCAAACAAGAACTCCTTACAAACATATAAATTACACATATTTTTGGTCACATTTTTCTGCAGCACTCTTAAAGGATTCTCCACAAATTCAATGGCAGTCTTGGCAATCATTGCCTCCCCTTTGGTCTCCACAAAAGATGAGATGACGTAACTCTTGTTTTTCTCTGTAAAGGAGGAATCAAGTGGGAAGAAGAACTGCATAACTCATGCTGACTTTGATTTGTTCACCTGTGATTTTTAAAAAAGTGGTAAATACATGGAGCCATACTTCTCGCATTGTCAAAAGAGATGAATTTGTTGGGCTGGATATAGTTGACAATAGATGACATGGCCTCGTATGCTGTTACTTCTTGTCCAGCTGTGCCCTGTAGGGGATTGACAGGAAGTTGACTGATGTTTGAACAGCTTTAGCAGGACATGGATGATGTACAACAATAAAACTGCCATCACTCAGTTAGCTGCTCACTCTACCTCATCTGACGTCTTCATTTTTTCTTCATCCTGCTCATCTGTCTCTTCTACCTCCTCGTTGTCCTCCACAGCTGCGTCCCCCTCTGCTCAAACATGTAAACATAATGTCTGCCATAGCTAAAAATAACTCAACAGGCCTGCTGTTAATCTGAGTCAGTTCTAGTTTATCTACCTTGTGTCTCTGGGGTGCTGGGTGCTGGGTTAGCAGGGTCCTGGGAGTTGGTGTTTGGGTCCTGGGTGGATGCAGCTGTGGTTGTGGTTTGGTCAGTGGCTGCTGTGCTGGTTTTCTTGTTCTGGGCTGGTTTTTCATGGCTGCCCTTCTTGTTCTTGATGAGGATCTTTCCCATGAGCTCAGATGGACTGGGGATCTGCTGGCCTGACTTTAACTGAGTTTTACACATAAATAGTGAGACATCTAAGAAGCTTCTTTGGAGTAAAAATAACCAAAGAAAATGTGTTCAGGGTGGTAAAGAAGTAGCATTAGGGAAATTAAGATCAAGCTCCTCTAAATTCACAATTTGAGTCTTGTTTGTGGAGAGCTTTTAACAGAACAAGTTTAGCACAAAGACTGAAAACATTGAGCAAAAACTTGACAACTTCCTGCAGGAATTTTCAAAAAATATTCACACTCCAATAAAAAAGTAAAACAACAACTTCCATTCATCTGTTGTTGCTGTTTTTCAGTGGTTTGTATCGACACAAAATAGATGTTTGTTGGTGAACTTTTTACCTCTATGCAGAGCTAAGTTTGCTGCTTCCATCTGTTCCCAGTCTTACAGCTAAGATAGGCTAACCAGTCATTAGATACATGTTCATGCCAGTGTCACTGTGCAGAGGTTTATGGCATAAATTACGAAAGTACACTATACTGCAAAAGAGAGAACAATAAGAATCACCCATAAGGGTCAATAATTACACTTTGTTACTGTTTAAATTGCTCAGATTTACAGATTTTGTCGAACGTCAGGCAGCACAAATAGTATTCAAAGCAAAAATTAATCTATTACCAGGTAATTATCAAAAAAATGTTTTGTTTTTCAGGGCGTTATAATTTTCAGCAACTTTGTTTCATAACCAGCTGAAAACAGGAGCTTTCAGGAGACACTACTTATGCAACAGTTATGATCACTGCAGTGTAGAGAGGGTTTTGAATGTGTATTTAGCGCCTTGTGTCAGAATATAACATAAACAAATATCTTTACTTCATGATCAAAATTTAAGTTGGCCGGGTTTTTTGCATGCTCAGTCAGAGCCCTGCTTTTCTAAAAATCCTGGCGACAGCCCCGACTTTATCTGAGACAGTAAAATGTGCCCTCTCTTTGCCTCAGAAACAAAAATACATGCACACAAACCACATGGCACACAGCTGGGAGGGGATAAACAGATATTCACAGCTGATATAAACCGGTTTAGATACGTACAGGAGCCTAGGAGTGTCATGACTTGCAAAGATAAGAAAGAGGACAAACATGAAACAATAACTTTTGTATTCATTCCCTCCAAAGTGATACTCAGAACTTAACCGAGTCTCACAGTAAAAAAAGCAAACTGTTATTTTACTTATCAGACAAAGTGCTCTGTTGGACAAATCCCCAGCACATAAACTTTATCTAACACTATTATTTTGTCAGCGAGCTGTGCTGTTGCAGTGTACTCACAGGGTATTTGTCCAGCGGCTCTGTCAGCAGGGCATCACCAAATATGGATTTGCAGTAGTTAGCCATCTTCTCCTGCTGCTTCACCCTTTAACAGAGCAGATCTGTGACTGTGTGTTGCACTGACTGAACAAAAAAATCCACCATATATTCCATCTATATTTCACTTTAAAAACAATATCATTGTTTGTAATACTTTGTGACATGAGGTTGAGGAAAAAGATGTCTTACGAGTCGACGTGGTTCTCAAATGAGAGGATAACAGGGTACTGTGATGTCTTAAAGGCACTCTCGTTAATGGCTTCAATCACATCCTGTCACACGACAAAGAGAGACAGGCATTTTTAACACATTTAAGGACACTTTTATTGAAATCGAGCAAAGACTGGCAAAAGAGCAATGGGAGGTATAATGGAGGGAATGAACAAATCAAACAAGATCATGAAAACTGCACAAAAAGGCAAAAGAGGTCATTTTAATTATAACCAAACTAGGAGAAAGTCGGCATGACAACGTGCAAAACTTGAATGCAGAAGCCCTGCAGTTAGCTCTGAACCTCTCACATGTAGAGGCTGACAGTAAACTGAAGTGAGGTGTTGTGTTCAGGCCCTGGGGAGAGCAGAGCTCCAGCTGCCTTAAATGGAAGAGTATGAGACAAGAACTGTGTGTGCCTGCCTGTATGTGTGTGTCTATGTGAGTCTGTCTGTTTGTTATTGTGTACCCGTAAGCCTTCACATGCTTTTACTCTCTAGTGTTCACATGGGCATGAAGACAAAGGATTGACTTATTTTCAAGGCTGATTATCATATGCAGAGCGAATGCCTGCACTCTTCTGTCAGCCTCTTATAAACGCAAATATGGGGACGGCTTACTGGAGTGAGGTAAACCATGTTCATGAGGAAGTGAGGCCGGTCTCTTTTACGAGAAGAGGCCAAAGATTTATGATTACAGCTGAGAAGTACTCCCAAGAAGTGGGTTTTGCTCACACCAAAAAGTTGTAATAAATTACCCATTCACTTTCTGAGTTTAATGGTTTTTACTGTCATTCATACTATCCCCAAAATGTATAAAATATTTACTCCAGCAGAATATTTGAAAAAAAAAAAGATGAAGGAAAGTAGTAATTGTGTTCTGTCTCTAAAATTGTTAAAACGTCTTGTTTTATGTTCCTGAAAGAGTTGTTCCAAAAACTGATACCAGCAGTAAAACAAAAATATCACTTATTAAATCTACTGAGAAAGCTCATGTTTGACAGGAAGACATCATTTCATCATGTCAAATGAAAGAGGGAAATGTGGAAATGTTCCCAAAAGTATGAGTAACCACCTTGAAAAGGATCTCGGTTGTCATGGTGAACCCGTGGGTAATGATGGGCTCTTCATCTGGAGGTTTGCCCTTCCAACAGTCCAGCTCCAGACAGCGACAGCCAGACAGCAGACACTGACGGTACATCTCCGGAGAGGACACGCCCGAGAACTGACCGGCTGCACGGGGACACGGGGGAGAGGTTTAGAAAACTCGTGCTGATCAGATAATTTATGACCTAAAAAGATCAGAGTGGTTTATGTGACCTGTCAGGTACGTGTTGTGGGAGGACTTGATGAAGTAGTGGGGAATGGGTTGGGTCATGTCTTGGCTCTTGGCCAGTCTGTCTTGCATAACCACTGTTGTCTCTGGTCCCATCAGGAAGAATAAGAGACCTTCAGGAGAAATCAGATCTGCAGGTACAAGAAAAGACAGTACATCAACATAAAAACACCTCTTAAATCTTCTAACAACAAACCATTTATCAATAAATCTCACTTCTGTTTGCATTAGCAGAAAGAGGCTCATATTTGTCAATCAGAGCCTTGATCTGGTCTTGCCGCAGTCGTGGAAACAGCTCCTCATTGAGGCGAGAGTCCCTTTGCTTCTCATTGAGGAACTTGGTGAAGTTGTCCTTCGTCATGGTGGGTTTGTTGGAGCTGTGGTGCACAAAGACGCGTGACAAACACACCAAAGCTGCACATAATGTTGCTATACTGCCTCTCACGGCCTGATTCATGCCACCTGAGCCCATGTCATGTGGCCATCGCATGTTTCTGGCTATATAACTCAGATGAGTGAGTTTCTATGCCTAACAAAAGTATTCACCACAAAGAGCAAAATGGTAATGAATTAAATAGATTTTCTAGGAACTTTTAGATTATTGAGTCTTATTAGGAGGAAATGAAGCACAGCCAGTAAAGACTCACTAAGACGTGAAGATCTCATAGATCTCAGGACGAGGGCAGAGATTTGACAGAAACGTCCTGAACGCAGCTTCAGTGAAGACGTCAGGCTTTATGGAGTCATACTGGAATGTAACAACAAACATATTATTATTTCAAATGATTCATGATGATCTGCTGATGAAAAACAGTTATAAATATTTGCTCTTATCTTAATGTCATTAAAGGGTAAATTGTTATACACTGTATAAACGCTAATAATTAAACCACAACCACTAGAGTGACAGAAAGAAAAATTAAAGCATTGCTGTAAACATGTTGAAGGATAGATGGACTTAGTGTAGACGAGCAACCCACAAAAAGGTCTTTCTTTTCTAACCTTTCCTTTAGGGAGGTGTGCTGCTGCCAAGGCACTTTCCACCCTCTTCTTATCCGCAGGGAACATCTTATAAATACTGAGAAAAACACACATTGAGAAACAAATGTGAAAAAAACTCTACCGTGCAAATAAACCATCCTACACCTTCACATGACTGCACTGTAACCTACTTTTTCACCGGGATCTTTCCATCCTTGTTGGTGTGCAGAGAAATACGCACATATCTACAATCAAACACAAAAGGCTTGAGCTATTACTTCATGATGATACAGTGCTGTATTAAAACAATACAACCCTTAATAATCATGCTCACTCACATCTTCTCCAGAAAGACTTGTCTGCAGGAGTTGTTTCTTGCAGCATTGTAGGCAATTGCAAGTACGTCATTGGCCCAGTTCTGATGGTGCATGGAATTAGAGAAAGAGCAACAAATCTTTAAATTTACATTTAAATTGTGCTTAAATGTTTATTAATGACTTTATTTTAAATGTTAAATAGAAATAAACCTACCACTAGAGGGCGTTAATATAAAAGCACCTCAGGACATGAGAGCTGTGCATATTGCATTTGTACAAAACACAGCAGTGATGTCATTACAACTGATTTAATCCGGATATTGGAGTCATAAAGTCTAATAAGGACTAAAAGGGAGGGGGGAGGGGGCGCCTGGTTTGGATGGCCCTCTCTTTGTATAATGGCTAATAGCCTGTGGCTGTGGTTGGACAATCAGACAGAATCAGTGGCAGAAAGAGAGACGACTGTAAACAGATAGGGACACACACACACACACACACACACACACACACACACACGCTTACCTCACCAACAGTGGACTATCAGCCCACACTGACCAAGGAGGCAGTGTGGGCTTCCTTTGAAGGTCTTTTACCGTAATGTTACTTGAAACGTGACTTTTATTTTATTTATTTATTTAATTGCCAAGAGGGGACCTGGATCCACACACAAACATACACACACAGTGTTGTAAATGTAATGGAAAATCACTGTATTATTACCTGTGTGATTTTCTCCTTTGAGGCAAAGAAGTTGTGATAGGTGAGGTTCACCGTGTCTAGACCTGAGACAATGGTGAGCGTTTTGGCGAGGTGGTTGCTGTCTGGGAAGTCCAGGTTAAAAACATTACGGACTTTGGGGTGCTGCAGAAAAGAGAGAAGGGGTTTAATGGAATGCCGACCCCAAAAATATCTTGTCATTTTCTTCGGAGGAGTTTTTATTGAACGTGTAATGTTGTAACTAAGGCCTCCATATCACGCAAAAGCAGAAAAAAACAACAACCAGTGACCATACTGTTTTTGTCAACACAACACAATACCTCTAAGTTTGTTTCCTTTTTATGAATCAATTCTTATTTTTTCTATTCAGTAAAGAAAACATCTTTTTTCACCTCAATTAAACCATATTGGTCTCTTCTCTGTAGTGCATACAGAAGCTGAATATACCATTGTGTGTTACCCTTTATTACAAGCTATTGCCATCTCTTTCATCACTGCACAGTTTCTGCAGCTTCTATAAAGGCCATCTCTTTTTGTCGGCAGATCTTTGCTCTGGTTTTTGACCTATGGTTTTTGGTATTGTTCCTTTTATATTTATCCTTTGATTAAAAAAACCCACCAAATCCAATAAGATCTACACTTTGACACCATTCTTTAGAGATGTAAGTCTCTAGAGTTTGAACATTCCAAGAAAAAACCTTTAAATTTATGTTGTCTAAATTGTTGAAACGCCACAAAAAGAGCCCTATAAATGTTAGGGCTGATTGTTTTAAGTTCAATCATCTTTTACTGAAAAGTTCTTTAAAGATTATACCTGTTCATTTTCTGTCTGGGCTTTTTTTATTTTGTGAAAACTGGATGTTAGGTAAGCTTGGTGGTAAAATGTAAGGGCTGTATTTGCTGTAACGGTGTAAATGTTGCACTCTTGCAGATGACTCTCCAAAATAAGGTTCAGTCTTAAGACTTCAGCCTCATTTAATGAAAAACAGACTGTTGGCTTCTCGTTATTATCCTTTACTGAAGAAGTAGATTTAAGTCTGCAGTAGTTGTTCTCTGTATGCTTGTTCAAACATAGGCAAATTAGCTGGCTAAGACATGCAAACAAATGCGCACGTACACACAAACATGTACATCACTGCAGCCAGAAGACCACTGCTCCAGGTACCCACTTTTCATATGACCTCTTCTACAATCAATCACTTCAGTGCTCCTTTCTTTGCTGCTTTCCCAAAACTCCTCAGAACCCCTAAGGAGGATGTACTCCAGCTGGGATGATGCTGCGCTCTGTGCCCTCCCTGCGGGGAACAAGTTTCAGATTGGACCTCTGAACCCTCAGTGAGGGATGACGGTGGCTACATACTGTAACTTCCGTGGAGGCCAGTGAGGAAGCAAAGAGGGGGGCGAGTGTGCTTGTTTTCTTTGAGCCAGACTCAAAGAAAACAAGCACACTCGCTTGCACGCAGAAATCTTAGATTCTGGCTCAGTATGTAGTACAGAGTGAGTGTTTGTTTGTGTGTTTGTCTTTGTGTGGTAGGGGAGCAGTCTGATGGATGTGTCCATTGGTCTCTTTGCATTGCAAATCTACTACCTGTCATGCTGATGGGCAAAGAAAGCAAGTTTGCATGCCGAGATTCATGAGAAAACAAACCAGTAGAACCTCATTTGTTCAGAAAGAGGGTCATTATATTTAGTAATGATTCTTTACTCACTTTTGGAAGTTTTGCATATTTTCCTGTTCTGGTGTCTCTGATAGTAGCAACATCCAGGAACGTTGTCTCCTAGAAACAAGAAGCACAGATTCATTTCTGTTACTGATTTCAACATGTAGGCACTCATCCAAATATGGATCCAGATACAAGTCATCCTTTGGCAAAGTGCAAAAAAACTACAGGATTTACTCTCTTTGTGTTGCAAATCTTTGAAAGCATCTCCGAGTAGTATTCATGTAGGAAACTTCTGTGATGCTTTTCCATCTAAAATTCACACCAACACTTTAAAGTTGGCAATGACTGAGCCCAGACACATGAGGAAAACATTTGATGTACTGGTTTTATGATGTTCTGGAAAGCAAAAGGTGCTTCGATGAGTGAGAGGGAGAGAGATGAAGCACACAATGATAGTCTTCTCTGCACAGTGTATCATCACAGTTCAGTTGCACGCTGCAGCAGGATGGTGAGCCCACATCAGCAGCAATCGATAATCTCCACAAGCTGCTGGGACCGGAAGGTGTGATATCAGCTCTGAGCGATCCCACAGCTTTGGCAGAGCCTCATCTCCTGCACTCTACACACACTCTAGATCTGAGTCACTAAAACACCTCTACCTCTGTTTGATATGCTGTCAGGTTGTGTTTGTCTGATGTAGAAAAAGGCGGTTATACTTCTGTGAGCCACTGAACTGGAGTCAACATCTCTCCACATCTATGACATTCATACTCTGGGTATTGATTACCTTGCTTTGGTTGATCCAATACACATAAAAACCTTTGGGATCCATCTTCATTGTGACTGGATGAGTTTTTGTAGAGTCCTGGATGGAGCAGGAAAAAAAAAAACACATTTTCACATTTGTTGAGTTTAAACCTGTAAAACAAAGCTGCCAGACATCAACATGAATTAAAGTTACAAATTTGAAATAAGCTACTATGATTTTAGGATCAAAGATTGCAGTTTGAGCTGCAGAGATTGATCTCCACATGTACCATTTTGAAAGAGATTGATTTCCCTGAGTATCCACTCACCTCAGACCACTTGGTGAATCTTTCACCCTTCACCAGGTAGTCTTTGACCTCCGGTGGTTCCAGAAAGTGTCTTTTTTTATTCATTTTGTCCTTCTACAGTAAGAACTTAATGCTACAACTAAAATATATCCACCATCTGCATGTGCACTATAGTCATCTCAATAGACTAGCCTATCCCTCAATCTGTATCCACAATATAGTAGACTAAGACTCAGTTTTATGCATCAGCTCTGTCAGTCCGAGGACACACCCCAGCAGATATGCATTGCAAATAAGGATGGCAAAAAAACAAAGCAAGTGACTTGACAAAAGGTGAATGACTTGCTCCCAAGCTACCCTAAAAGAAAACCTTAAATTTAAGTGAAAGGGTTTTGAAAAACTCTGAATTGTATGAAAAACAATTATAAAACTTTAGAAGAAAGAAGAAGCATACCTTAGATCCTGCCAAAACCTTTGGAAGTATCTGATTGGAAAGGCAGGTGGGAAAATGCTTTTCTTGTACTTTGACTGTACCCTTTAAAAGGTGATATTCACAGGTCCTCTTCACACTGTTATTAGTAGTTGCTTTTCACAATCGGTTTTTTATTTATTTATTTTTTTTTAAAAAAAAGACAATTTGACTGAAATGAAAGCAACAGAATATGATATAATTTAAGGGCAAACTACTAAATTTTAAGGTTAAAGCGCTATAATTTGATCATTTCTGGTTCATCCTTTTTTCTCTCTTTTTTGTTGCCATTGTCAGGATGTTTTGGGATAAAGCTTTGTCTTTCTAATTAAAATTAATCAGTATAAATAAAATCTGAATCATAATCAATTGAATTAAGTAAACAAATAAATGACTTGTTTAAATTCAGCCTGTTCGTACATCCACGCGCAACATTGTTAACACCAACAGCAAATTACCACCTCGATCAAATTGTGCCGGAGCCACCTGTCCAGGGTCATAAAGCTGTATCATTTATCACTAAGGCTGGACACTGACGGCTGTTTCAACAAATGATTCTCGTTCATTTGGATATCATTCAAATAAACCTCCAGGTCTTGTAATATCTAATGCAAACACTCACCGAACTGGGCGCCACAGGAGTGATATTTGATAAACCACAGCTGACTTAGTTTGTTCAAAGTGCTGGTGTTTTACGTACATCAAAATATTATGACTGGGGGGAAAAAGGGGAATTACACATGATGTCATCACACAGGTGTAGGAAACCTAATATTAAAGCTTATCAGCATCCTCATCTCCCTAGTGAAAGATATTGATGTAAACAATAAAAACTTACTGAATGAACACCTTAGTGTGGATGTGTGCGGATCAGTGGGATGACCTCTTGTGTATCATGTCATATGTAGAAATCAACCACAGTGCTGACAGTTAAGTTTTCCAAAAGAAGGAACAAAGATATTCTCTACCTCTGTGTGCGCTTTGTTGAAATGTTCAAATGTTAAATAAAGTGTCTCAGAACAACATGTGGTCATTGTCCTTGTTTTTTTAACTTCTGTATTTGTGGGGTTTTAATTTTTATTATTTTGTATTTGTAATTTTTTAAAATTTGTCTTATACAAACTTAATGACTGTCAGCATTAACACATTCATCTCATGCAACTAAGATCTATAATTATCAAGTATCTAAAATATTCTGCCATGAAGCCCATATTTGGACTGGTCTATTAGTGTAAGCCATGTGCTCATTGACCAAATCTTCCTCTAGTGATACATTCACTTCATATCTGTGATTTCAGGTAAGGGGTATAAAATTCTTTTGCTATGTTTCTTGGATTGTCTTATCAGCTTTTTCTCTTGTTAACTTCACTCCAAAAATTGATGAAACAATATGGTGTGACTGCACATCGCAGCTCTCCTACATATTTTTAATGCCACTAACGACAAAAATTCTGTGACTGCTTGTTGTTTTAAAACATTAATGATTCTGTTCAAAAAAATAAAGTCTTCATGATTGCAAATGTTGTGTTTTGTATATTATATTTATATATATATAAAAATATACAAAAAATAAACAAAATATTATATTTTGTGGTTCGTTTTCTAAAATCTAAGTCTTTTTTGTTTATTTTAAGGTGAAAGTTTACTCTTTGTGACATGCAAGTGTAAGATTTTGGAGTTTTGCCACAGTTTGTGATTCTTTATTTAGTGTGAGGTTTTATCATGCTTTGTGAAATATTTGACTTTATTGAAAATGCGGTCCTATTTTCTAAAATCTTTGCTGTGTGATATTTGAGTTTTGGTAAAATGGGTTTGGTTTTGTATTGCATATTCTCTTTGTGCTTTGTTTGATGTTTAAAAAGTTGCTGTTTTTGTGAAAAGTCATTGTGATTGGTTAAATGTGGTAAGTGTTTTGCAAAATTAATTTTCACCCTCTGGTCGCCTTAACAATTGCATCAGAAATATCAATATTTATTTGATGGTTATGTTTGCTGCTGTAAAATTGGAAAATAATCCATTTATTTGATTATCAATCTTAACTAAGCAGTAGCGAGGAGAATTTAGTCCAATTTAGAGGTAAACTTCAGAATAACAAGAGTGTTTGTGTTGAGTTGGTTGTAGACCACAGAACTATTGAGCACTGACTGTGTTTTAATATGTTACAATCGACCTATATCTGGTTATATGTTTTCGCCTCTTCACCTTCACCTGTTTGACCTCTACAGCCTCCCACGGGGCATGCGCAGTGAAAACCTACATGCGCTATCCAATGTGCTGAAACGCGGGGCAGGTATGACGAGAACTAAAATCATCACAAACGAAGCAAATATTTAATTCGACTTGTAATGTGTATGTAAAATTATCCTGTGATCGGATACGCGTTTAATAATTCACAAATTCCGGTTCAATGGCATCCATCACCAGCTTTTCTGGCTCGCTGCACATTTCTAAACTCGTCCCTTCCACTTGGCTGCGCACAGTGTAATGTAAACACTTTGCAGCGTCACTTGGACAACTGCTCATCCTCACTTCAACATCCTGCTCTCCATGTGCAGCCCGTGCGCCCTGATGTGTGGCCGATTTCTTTCCTCCCAGGCTGCTGCACAGCTGCTGCTTCTTTAAGAGCCACCGCCCGCCCCCTCTCCTGTATTTTTAGCTGAGCCAGCCACTTCATTTGCTGGATAAGACAGACAGTTGTGTACCGTATGATCTTACTTAATCGTTTTAATTAATCAAATCTTACACTGCGGATTTGGCGAGGGTCTATGCCAGCTGTTCTCTGGAAATGTCGCTCAGGCTGGACATTTGTCCCGCCGCTGTCAGATGCTGAAACGCGCAATCAGCCTGTGGATGCTTGATGTCCATTATGAAACGCAATGCTGCACTGGGTACCGAGCATCAGGCGCTGCGTTTCTCACATCAAATGAATCACAAGAAATCAATTTAGCTGCAAAATTCTCCTGTGGTGCGGACGGTTCACAGTGGTCCAGCATCTTTCTCCTCAGCCTCCTGCCTCCGGTCTTCTCTTGGATTGTGGGTAACAAGAAGCCTTCAAGACGGAGGGGGTGGTGGAGCATCGAGGAAAACATAGGGGCAACATGAGAGAGCGGGACTTTATGCCCAATATGGAGAGGGGCAAACCTGCTACTTACACGGGGGACAAAAAGGCTAAGATGGCTGCTAAGACGAACAAGAAGTGGGTGAGACTAGCCACTGTTTTTGCATATGTATTGTCCGTGTCCTTAGCAGCCATTATCCTGGCAATTTACTACAGCCTGATCTGGAAACCGACCAGTGCGTCCTCTTCTGCGGGGAAGCCGGGAGTGCCCGAGGAGGTCACCCCCACCGCGAACATCTCAACTAACATTTCGTTAAGCAGCAATGTTACAGAGTGGAACTCTACACAGACTGGGTTGCTGACTGTGAACCAGAGCAGGCTGGGTATGGCCACCCCGCACAGTGCGCCGTCTCAGTGGGGTGAGCGAGCACAGAGTGTGGCCGGGTCTCCGCGCTTTGCTGGAGCTGAAACTGCGCACACGCAACAGCAGCAGCAGCAGCATCAGCATGAGGATGGACTGTACGCGACTTCCCACGGTCACACAAGTGCGGAGAGATCGGGGACACAGGCGCAAGAGTTTCAACCCGGTGTGAGCCACTTTTCTCAGTCTACGAACAGGGAGTCTGGAGAGGAGGAGGAGGAGGAGGAGGGGGACATGGAGGAGGAGAAGAGAGGGGCGCCCAGACGGAGTGACGGGGACCAACGCGACACAGATGCAGCGACCGGTCCTCCATCCTCCGCACCGGGCCTGAGAGGGGACTGATTAGGCCTCCTGCACACACACATACACACACATGCACACGCACACACGCAGACACACACCTTCTAAACACACACTTCCCCAATAAGGAGTGTTTTGGAGACTAGATACCGCAGGTCGGATAACACGCAGGTCCTCTTCTTGGAACTGATTTCGCAGAGCTTCTTATGGATGCTGAACTTCACATGTTCACGAAAATCTACAGACTATGACTCAAAATGAGGAGACCTTGCTTCTTCACTGTTCCCTCTTCAATACTAACTATGCGTTTTTTGTTTTTATTTTTGTTTTAGGCCATCTGTATGCCTTAAATTCAATGTGTGTCTACTCTACTCCTCGGACAGTTTCTGAGGCCAATAACCTGCCTGTACCTGTGGACGACACTGGCATAGATATTTTGTTGAATTTTAGGACACAGCCCCCCAGAGATGCTTTTGTTCTTGCGGGATATAAAACAGGCACCCAGTGCTTAACATCACTGCCATTCATCGGCTGGTCTAAATCAGTTCTGCATTATTGCATTTGTAACATATAGGCTGTGTTTTTCTGTCATGGATCAGACCTGGATTCCAAGTAGAAGAACCTGCATTATTGAGTTTTGCTCAGGTATGTGCATATAACCATGTAAATGTACTGTGATTTGGTTATGTACATATAGGGCAGGCATAGCTGACATCTTTTTGGCCTATAGATGAATTCCTAGTGTAATTAGATGATTTTTATTAAAGGTGCAGTATGTATAATATAAGTATAACAATATAACAAGGTACAAATAAACATCCTTAGAAAATGATTCATTTTTATGGTTTTGTAATAGATCTATGTAAATCATAAATTAGCTGCTGATATTAACCTATATATTCATAATATTTTATTTATTCAGAGCGAGAATGGATGATATATATTCAAATAAATGCTAGGTTTTTTCCTAACATCTTACATTTTGTTTCAAGAATGAGACAATGGATGATTTTGGTGGTTCATTTCTGCTAAACTGAGTAAAAATATAAAGAAAAAAAATCCACATTTTTTGATTAAAAGAGATTGGCTTATTTGAAATGATAATTGTAACCCTGACGCAACAGAACACGTTGAATTTACGGTTGCTCTTGTGTTCTGGATGTTCAACAAATTACATCAGGGGACACTTTAATTACCTGAGTGACCCGTCCTGTGTGTCTCAACCCTCGTGGGAAGAGAAGCATTCATCTCCCAGTCTGCTACAGTTCAGCTGCAGTTCTCACTGAAACCTCTTCATACAGTCACATGTGGTGAACTATGAAGTGGAAATAAGACCAAGCACCCCGTGCGCTCTCTCAGCAGCATGTGAGGGAGGCGTATCGATTTGAGAGCACCGCTGTTGCTCTGTACAAAACAAGAGAACACATTACACAATGCTGTTGGTGCTATTTTGATCCCACTCTCTCTCTCAAAGGGACTCGCTTTGCTTGAAAGGTTTGGTTTTGAAGCTGCCAGTGACAAGCACCGTTCACTATCACTACGGAGATGAAAGCACTTGGTTTCTGCTGAGCAGCCAGTGATGTTGCTCTGTGATGTAAACATGGATGACACGCACAGTTTTGTTGATATGACAGATTTTCAGATGTGAAGCCAAGGTATGTGTCTGTGGAGCTAAACAGGAAGTCTATTCAGCTGGGGAGATATCATAAGACACAAATATCCCTCATAGCTACAATGTAAACCATCTGTGCAGGAAAAAATGTAATCGCGAGTATACATAACACAGTGACAGGCCCGACAATGCAACAGTGGCCTCTGTGTGGAGCGCAGCCCTGACAGATGTGTTTCCACTGCTTCTTATGGTTTCTTGTGACAAATGAGAGGAGTAATGAGCAACCTATTGATGAAGAAGTTCATCAGTACTGACAGCCATTACTGGAACTGCATCAGGAACCTGCATATGACCTCCTGACTCTTGAACCCACTCAACCAAGTATGATTGTATTAGCTTGTGGGAGTGAGTCATCTGTTAAATTTGAGCTCAGGATAGGATTTGATCACAAAACCAGTTAATGGGTCCAATGGTTTCTTTTAAAAGAAATAAAAAAAAACACATATTTACTAATCAACTCATTAAAAAGTGCTATCTAATTATCTTAGCTGCTTACTGAACCATTTTTACTCAGTGGTGACAACTGCAGCTGTTGATTTGTCAGGAAAAAGGCAAAACAGTTGCTTTATAATCTCTGGCAGACAATTTCACACTTAAGTGTCATCGGAAGAAAGAAAGTGGTGTCTGGATTATTCACTGCCAACACATTGGAGGAGTGAATTAAAATTGAATGCCTTTAAGCAATTTGAATATGCTCTAAGACACAAAGAAAGTGTTGTCCTATTTATATTTTCAGCACAATGATAAAAATCTGTTCATTTTTGTTAAAAGTCTAAAGTCTTAAAATGGGTAGGACTCTGTTGGCTCTCCCGAACTAGTTGGGATGATGAGATCAGAACATCCTCTTGTTTTTCAGTGGATTAGAGTAGATTTTTTTCTCAAGAGCTTGTCATGTAGCTCATAAATTGAAGCAAAGAAAAATGAACAGACCACATTTGATGCAAAGGGCAACTTCAAAGAGACTTCTCTTTCCTCATCAGATTTGACATCATTGGAGGTGAAACATTGCACCATGGAGACCTTTAAAACAAAGCTGGAGGAAACAAAAGCCTTCTGATAAAATCTTATTCCATTATCACACCAACAGCAAAAGTTTGGAAGTATGAGCATGTTTTTGCTGTATAGCTCAACAGGATGGAGTCAGGAAACAAAGCTTTTACTGTTTAAAGGGCGAAAGTGTGAAGTTATGCAAAATAAGGAGAAAGTTGAACCATGGTATAAAAAGCTAGAGGGAAAAAATGAGCTTGATATTCATGCTGTAGCCTCACTTTTCTGAAAAATATTGACATGTATTTGGCATGTTTTTTTTTGTTTTTTTTTGTGGTAAGGCTCAGTAAACTGTGTGTGGCACTGGGCAGAGGTTCATGGTCAGACAGATCTACCATAAACTATAAAACTCTTAATCTCTATTGTGTATCTCTAAAGTGTGACATTATGCCTTGCACATTGAATAAGTGTTAACTGATTAATTCACTGTAAAAGGTAAAATCAGGTCACTTGCTAGCTGGAGTTATAAGTGATACCAAATAACAACGCACCACTGTTCTGATAATATATACGTATCTTATGCAGCGAAAAGTTAAAACCAGATGAGGATTGTTTGCTTGCTAACTGGATTCAGCATTATTCCCCCCATGTATTAAAATCTCCACACAGTAGTCAACAATGGGTTTGCTGGCAGGCCCTCCGATGGGTTTATTAAAGGATGCTAACAGGCTCACCTCAGATCAATATTGCAGAAAGCACATGGGCACCTTGTCAGACTCCTGTCTCCAGACTTGTGGGAGGGGGTGGGGGAAGTAGTCTCCTTGATCAGGACAGCTGCTAAGGCGTGGTTGTTACATCCTGAACCAAGGCAGGCCTGGTGGGATGACGCACACGCTTAGTGGGGACTGCCAATGTGTGTGTGAGGCTCTGTCAGGGTTGCAGGTCCAACCTCTTTTCCACTTAACCCACATCCATCAACTGTAATGAAACACCTTACAAGCCTCCAACTGTTCGCTCACTGTTATTTCAGGGACTTGACAGTAATTCGAGCGGGGGCATCATTTTAGCTTTCAGATAAGCTTGAGGAATTGTCCAACATGTTTGAAACTATGCTTATATCATGGAGAAAAGATGAGTGTTCTGATATCCCTGTTAGATTTGTCTGGTACATTACATACAACAGCCTGTGAGCTCCACAGAAGAAGGAAAGCAGCTAGCATAGCCATCTGCAATGCAAGTCAGTCTCTAAACTAAGACTTTAACAGCAAGGTATGTTGCTAGCACTTAACTACAGTTTAGCTTAATGATTGTTATCATACTGTGCTGTAGCACATGAAAGTGCCTCTAGCTTCTCATGTGAAATGGTTTGAATAACATCTTGTTTCTAATCTGGTGTTGAATGGGATAAAAGTATCTGCCCAGTGATGTGACGTAAGTTAAATTTAGCCTGATGATTAGCTTTGGTGGTGCTAAAATTGAGGCAACATTCTTAGTTTTAGCCTGATAATTTAGTTTTTGTACTTTGCTAAGGCAAACAGTAGCTAAAGGTGTCCTATCTAACTTAACTATCTTACTTTTTCCCACTTTCAGATTTAGCAATTTCTGCCGTTAAAAGTAACTCTCGTGACCTAGCATTAGCCTGATTTACCAACAAGTGTGTTCTTAGGTGAAGCTACTTTTCTGTCAATTACATATTCTACACCAAGCTTCTTTTCTATTAGCTCTCAATTTCAAACCTAGCTTCAGAAATCCAATTTTTACCACCTGTGTGATCTGCCTTGATAGCTCTCTGCACCAGCTTGCTTAGGAGCTGCTTTGACCGATAGCTGAACTTTTTATTTTTCCTTTCAAAGCTTCTGGAGCTTCTCTCCTGCAGAGTGCGGCTGACATAATCCTACACTGCACTTCAATCCTCTAACAGCCTACAGGTCTTATTTCCATAAAATCAACACCCCCACTGTAGTGTACAATTGCGTCAGACCCTTAAAACTATGAGCTAGCATAGCATTAAAGTGAATCAGGAGCGTTATGGGCCGTGTTTTATATCACCTGTAGAAATCAGTATCAAAATACTCTGAGAGTGTGAGTGAGACCGTTGTAGTTAGTGTATGCCAGGTCTTAAACCCTACCTCAGCGGCAGAACGCTGCTATAGAGATAGCCTTGGGAAGAGATCATTAAAACAGTGGCACCTATGGGAGGTCCCACCTGCAGGGCTTGGAGGGAGCCATCTCTGGTGCAACAGTCCTGCAGAGACCTGGTCTGAAATTAATCAAATCCGACACAAAGGTTGACTCAGTGGTCGAGTGTAACCATACGTACTGTTTATGATGCAATGTGCTCTTCATTCTTTCACATCTGCTGCATTTCTTAGGCGACGTATTCCTCAATGAGAGAGGATTCCTGCATATTTGTATTGTTACTGCAGGTTAGTGTCGGTTAGATGAAGGTAGGGGACGGAAAGGGTAAGAGAGGGTTATCATACAACAAACAAACACCATGATAAAGTAAGGCTTTGAAATACAGAGAAATTTATTGATGTTCTTCAGCCTCCGTCCAAATTCTTCTACAGTAAAAGATGCAGTTTTGCAAACAGATTTAAACCAGGTGATCAGTCTGAATTTAGTCATACCTTAAAACACAGTCATACACAGGCACTCACTGTTAAATAGTTCTTGTGAGTGTGTGTAAAAACATGGAGGACAGCAGCAGACACCCAGGGGGAGCAAAAACAACAGGCACCTCTTAAATCTGACATTCAAGTAGAGTGATTATGCAGATGTCTAAAAGCTGAATGCTTGACAAGAACAAATGTACAAATGCTTCCTGGTTTTAGGTCCTAGATTTCATTTCACTAAATTTAATCCCACATGAAATTTAAAACATTTCAAGAGAGATTTTTTCAATTACCATAAATAAGAACATGTTTGATACAGCATAAAGTCCCATTAGACACATGTTCTGGATGTTTGTTTGACTGTCTGTAAATCTTGTGACTGTCCTCTTGGTTTCCTGGTGTTTTGTATTAAATGAAACCACAGTAAAAGCTAACAAGGCCCCACAGCTCAGAGCACATCCACTAATGTTCTCGGAGGCGGTTACATAACTGTTAACTATCCTGTAGCATTGATGAAAACCAAAACCTTCCTTGAGTTCTTATCACATCAAGCCTTCTTTATCACAGTTGTTCCTTGATACTGAAAAATACAATTATAGACAGCAATAAATAAGATCAGAACAGTACATGTCACAGAAGTATGTAGCTACTATAATGCACTTGGACGTTGTTTTAGAAGAGTTTTAGAGAAACAACCTGGTTAACATTCTGTTGTCTTAAAGGAGAGGCAAATAAATAAATCCATACTGAGGCTGCACTGTTAGTACAGTACATTTAACACCACGGCATGTTATGATACAATGACATGGACATATGCACACCCTCAGTATATTAACAAGGCAATATGCAAGGCACAAAACTGTCTAAATCCTAAGTGATGAATCTTTTCAAAAATATTAGTTGTATTTCATTATTAAAAAAGACAAAATATAACAAAACAAACAAGGACTTGCAGCATTTCGATCGTGGACAAAAAGCTTGCCCACATGGACGTAGACGACTTATTATCAACATCTCTTGTGTCAGTCCCACAGAGGCCAAACAACTCTAAAAAGGTTGGAGGTTGTCATCATTTAGGGCTTTTAACAAAAGCAAAATTTTAATGGATGAAAAAATATGTTTTAGTTCTGCAAGTGGCTTTGTTAAACTTTGACTGTCTTGTTTCTGCTTGTAGTTAGAATAATGCTGTACTACCGTGTAATCTAAGCTGAATACCGTACATGAAATCAATGGGTTGTCCGTTTAGTAGAACAAAAACCTGTTTTTTTCAGTAGTAATATTTCAAAAACTTGTCCTCAATGTTGGCTGGTTTTATCAACCAACAAGTCTTAAATGTGCAGAACATTCATGTATTACTTTATGATTAGTGGACGGTGGTCGACCAACGCTGGTAGCAGTTAATTAATAATCATTTCTCAAATTTTTAAGTCTAGAAATATAGACTCTACTGTTTGTCCATCACAGATGTTATCGCATTTGATACAGACTTCATCGCATGTGGAAACACATCTAAGGCAAAATCAGCAATTCAATCATTTGACTGTGGCTGACGTTCATTTTCAAGGGCTACAGAAGTGTTACTGACGAGCTAGCCGACTTGAAATGTCTAAACAAATGTAAACATTCAGAGATATTGCACTCAAGTAGCACACTTCTTTTCGGAGTATTGTGTCAGGACACATACTTTAAACTCATAAAGTGCTTGGATAAAACAATGTGTCAGCAGGGTAAAACATTTGTCCTTCCTATGTTTAACTTTTCTGAAAAGTTCAACAGATTGGACATGCCACAGAAAAGAACAAGACATGGTGCTTTTTATACAAATAGAGACATCTCAAATGAGCTATTTGAATAACACGATGCATCCAGAAACAGAGAAGCAATGCTCTGTGTTGCTGTAATTTGGTTTCAGTGTTTAATCCAGAAAAATGCCAATCAAACTATCTTCCCATGCTCTCTTGCCTGAAAAAAAAAAACAAGAAAAAGAAGCATGTAAGTTACAGCTGATTTCTGTTGTAGTATTCACACATCCATTTATCCATCTCCAGGCCAATTGCTTTCTTTTCTTCATGAATGATTTAAGCAGGCAGTTACATATATTATCGTGCTGCTTCAGCTGCGCATGAGATGAAAACACGTTTCCTCATGAGACTAATTCTCCTGCACTCCAGCAGGCCTCATAGGTTGTGAATCTGCTTTAAAGCAAATTGGATATTACGCAGCAGCTGTGCAGGGATACTGCCTGTCTCTTTATCTATTAAACTCATCATCCATTTGCACTTTCGTTCACTAGTCCATTTACATATCTATCGATTCTCTCAGCCCTCCTTCCCTCTCAAACTGACCTTGTCGCTGCTGGTTGAGTGTGTTGGGTGTGTTTCTCCTGACTCCAGACTCAGGACAGACAGTCCGGAGTCTATAAGTTCCTCTATTTAAAAAAAGACATAAAAATATGCTTATATTTTGTGTTTGGCATCTAGATGTTCATCCAGAAAAGAATGAACAGTTTCTGCATGTACTACATACCTGTGTTTGTGTTGCTGATGTTGCACTTTGCTAGCTCTACAGGCTGGACACAGCTGTCCTGTAAGGAGGCACAGGCTTTTTCAGGAGACAGGATGCTGGGATCTGTGGGGAGAGTGGTGTCCATATTTGTACTTTCAATTGCAGGGGCCTTTTGCTGGGCAACAGGAGCCAGACCACCTTCCTCATGATGAAGGCAGCCATCATCCTGCATGGCACTTTCAAGAGGCTGCTCAGGTCCCTGCGCTTTATGTACTTGTTTCTTAGGCGAGGAAGCTTTTAGAGAGCTCGAACTTCTTGATTCTGAGCCAAGAGAGTCCTGAGAGCCCGAGGTTTGCCTTGTGTGAGCCCCCAGGATGAGTTCCTCTGAGAAGCGTACTTTCTTCTCTGATCCCCGAGGGGATGAAGCCTCTGGCCTCCCCTCAGTGGGGGTGTCCTCTCTCAGGACTGCAGCTGACACAGACTCTGATGTATTTAGTAAATCAGGGCTAGGAGACAGCTTTGTCTTTAAGTCCTGATCCCTTGGATCCTCCACTTCAGGATCTGTGAGGGCGTCGAGTTCCTCTAGGAATTCTTCTAATGTCGTGTCAGGGGTCTGGTGGATGAGACAAGAAAAATGTTGTTGTTTATGCTTCTTTAATAACACTTGTCAAACCATTTCATACACACAATTTTGTTAGCTCACCAGTTGGCTCTCTCCTTCTTCATTTGCCTGCCATCTGAAAAAAAAGAGTTTCATAATTGAGAGCTGCTCAGCTGAAAAAGTTTTTTTAAAAAACAAGCAAGGATAAATCTGATAAAAAAGCCCATCAGTTCAGACATACTGTATTTACTTTGTTGTTGAAAGTTGGAGAGGATGGCTACCCCTGTTATATTAATACAGTAAAAATCAAGCTATAGCCATCAGCCAGCTAGGCCAGCTAGATTTAGCATAGAGATAGGAAACAGGGGGACTGACACCCCTGTTTCCTTAAAGGACATTTTATATGTGTTCAGCTTCTTCAGTACAAAAACAATGATCCCTCATAGCATCAAACAACAAAAACAATCCCTTTCAAAATGAAAAAAAGGGAAAAATGTGTACTTTCCCATTTACCTTCTTAATACTGCATAAAATTTAAACTCCTTAAACTCATGTGTAAAGTTACATTTTATGTATTTGTATTTCATAACATAGGTCTCTCCCAGCTGTAGTAACTACTTAATTCTTATTGGTCAAAGCCCTAAAACAATATAACGATAGTGAACTCTGTAACAAGGGTAGCTCCAGTATGTAAAGGAGTTTCTGAATCATTTCATCTCCCTCCTTGTTCAACAAAATACGTTGGCATTTAAAGTTATGACAAGCTGTTTTATATTTATTAGTATGTCATATCATCAGGCTAAATAATGTGAATGGTTTCTTTTTAATATTACCTGTAAAAAAAAGTTTATGGTTGATGTCTGATCAGTCATGAGTGATGAGCGAAAACAGAGCAGAAAATTAGTGAAGACCCACGAGGAGCAACCATTAGAAAATGAGGTAATGGCTTCAGGACTGAGTGAGTAAAAAATGTCAGAGTTTAAAAAGTTCAGGGGGAGAGAGCCTTAAGTGCTGCTATTACTTTCTGCATCTGCTTAGAGTGCAAACAGGAAAAAAAAGCTCATGTTTAGACTTTACTCCGAATGGAAATCTTCAGTCTAATGTGAATTTAACACATTGGATGGCTGATAAGAAAGCTGTTGCCATGGAGGCCCATCCAACTGTGGAATCTGAGCGTCTTTTTAAAACCCTCTATAAATAAATCATTTTCAAATTAATGATATCATCTTTGGATCAGGATTTTGTGTCGATTTGTTTGAATCTATAGTGAGTATCCAGGCAATAAATGGGTCTTATGGTGGTGGGATTCATTTTTGCATAACTGATGGTTCACTCAACGTAATCCCACATGCACTTCCCAAATATAGAATAATTCTTTGAAACTGCATAGACAAGCAAGAGATGGAGAGACAAAGGAACAAAGGGATATGTGGGGGAAGAGAGCAGCAGGTACCTAAGCTCTGACTAGCAATGATCTGAATAATGGCCATGGACTGACTCTTGCTGCACTGATACCCATTGGCAGCTGAGGCCTCAGCACAACCTGAGAACAAGAGCCTGTCAGCACTCACCTGGCTGCTGTTTTGAACCGTACCTTTCCCTTCAATCCGCCCCCCAGAGACACACATAAAGAGAAAATCATCTGGGACATAGAAGTTACACACTGGAAGTCTATAAATCTGCGTTTTCCAGGTCATTGGCCTTGTGGTTTTTAGTTTTCTGTGCGCCAACGCTTATGTAATAACACACCCTGAAAGCGTCCTCACTGCACAACACAGAGGCTTTTTTCACAAGAGAGGAATAGAAGGACAAGAATAAATGTTGTGAAACCTCCAAGACTTTAAAATGAAATCTCTGTAAGAACGACAACATGCCTTCCTCATTTGATGTATTTTGATCAAATGTTTTCTAATGACATTTGGTGAGAGAGACTCGAGGCCTGATTCACAAAAGGATTGTGAGGCTAAACCTGTGCAAATGAACTGAGAAGACTTTAAATTCCCAAAGCACGCGCAGGTTTAACCCTCCATAAACTGCACAGCTGAACAAACAGTGTCAGTGTTGCTTGCACGCTGTTGAAATGAGCCGTTATGAATTCATTTGGAGCAAAATATACCACTTTTTATGCAAAAGTCAGCCTCACTGCAAAAAGAAAATGTAACTCACCAACACACCACACTAACAGAGCCGCTTACTTCAACAGCACTTTTCTTTTTCATGGGTTTAATTTTTTTTCCAGAATGCTGGGAACATTTTCGCCAATGCCCTGCAAGAAGTCCGCTGGATGTAGTCAGCTAACTTTGTCATGAATTGACTCCACAAAAAAATGAAAAGGGGGTTCTGTCTCATCATACATTGAGTTGTAATCTATCTTTGTCAAAACGCTGAACTTCGTGAGTGTTTTTGCAATTTAAAATCCTCAGAGACAGAGTTGACAACAGGGACAAATAATGCATAACTCAATCAGTGTCCACAACCCATTCTTAATTAATTCCCCCATCAGCTGGCTGGTCAACTGGATGTTCAGTGGCCTCACTGTAGATTAGTTTTCGCTGTTTCTTACCTCCTGGCTCTCCCAGTCAGACGATCTATGCCTTTTGCTTTACTGCTCATGACTGGCACATTTTTTGCTCCCTTGTCTTTGCCCCTCTTATCATGACCTGCGACAAAAGAAAACTTACAGTTCAAGTCACAATTATGACATTTTCTGTCAAAAGAACCATTGTAAATATACAAAATATTGTGACATTAACCCTAAGACAGCTACTTTACTATCATTGTGGGATACCTTTTGAGTTAGTGCCTGCCCTAGATTGTCCTCTTCTAGCATTTCTTCCTCCTAGGATAGTGAAACATTGGTTAGTCTTTAAGGGAAAAAGTCAATGATAAAATGAAGCACATAATTTGGTCAATTTTGTCTTCATGCTCTGAGATTCATGAGATGATGTCCCACCTCTGTTTGAAGGCCCCCAGTCTCTATCAGGAAGGGTTTTGCCTGAAAACCTAAAAGCAGAGGTTCACTTTAGACAGAATCACACAGCAGGTCATGCGTCTTGCTCATGTCTAATGTATTACTTTTAGTTCTGATGACATAATAGCCCCTCTACACCCACATCAACAAGCTCTTCTGACATTCAAGTATCCTCATAGTACATTAAAAACGGGTGTAAAATCGGACTTCTGCAGAATCAGGAAGAGGTTTGTGCCTCATAAGTCACTTCCTTGCATTTTTACGGCCAGCGATACAATCTAAATTGTTGAATCAAAAACACATTTCCTCTTCTATTCTTACTCCAGGCCCTTGTTTAAGCCTCACCAAATAAGGTAAGGAATTCCATTCCTTATCCCAAGATAAAAATAACCGCTCCTCCTTTGTCTCTTTACATTTTGATGCTTCCTCAAACGGCACAATAATTTACTCTGCAGTTTGGCAATTTGTGCTCAAAGCTGGTTTGTTAAACATCTATCATACACTTTAAATAAATGGGCCGTAAATGTGAAACAAACTTCAGAATATAAGGACACAAGTTATAGTAATATGCTATTAAAACCTGCTGGTACAGTTATACAATTGCCTTGAAGTCACTATATGATTATGCAATCATTAACGTCCTGTGACTTTATTCAGTCTTGTGATCATGTGCTCCAGAAACCTTATCAAATGGATTGTAATGCCAATAATCCTACGAGAAAGAAACAGGCTGTTCTTCAAGGTCATCTTCTTTCTTATCTACATCAGTTTCTCAAGTGAATAAAACTTTTCACTGACTTCAAAAATACAGGAAAAAGGACAGAAGAAACAACCCAGTGATAAAAATAACTGCAAGCTAGTCAGGGGAAAAGCTGATTAAGTGTGCTGCCTCACAGACACCAAAAAAATGTTACAGTGTGTACTAACATATCTGCATGAGCACTATGGCAAACAATCCTCCTCTGAAGTCTTTTTATTGACCTTCTTGCACTGAGTGAGTTTAAAAGATGGATACTCAGAGACTCTTTGTAGGTAGGCACTAAAAATATTCTAACATTTGTGAAAGTGAAGCATTTGGGCCAAGTGTGATACTTTCATGGGGTCCACAATCTCTGGTGTGCCCACAAACAGAAATAAAATGAGAGTACGATACAAAGGTAATGAGAATTACCCGTGTATCAAAAATCGTCATTTTTTTTAAACTCTGCTCGTGTGCTTCTGTTGCTTTAAGAGACACTTGTGTGGATTTATTTCATAATCTTTGTACGTGATCATGCCTGAAGTTCCCAGTTTTTACCCTTTACTTTGTGCCTGAATTAGCTACACTAACAGCGTCTGGCCTACAGGCATAAGAGTGGCATCAGGAGAAGAGAGTATTTAAGCATATTATTCAGAACAGACCGTTTGCAATGATACTACAGGAAATAAGAGGATTGAAGACTTTCTGCTCATACTGCTTGGACCTTCATGTGAAGAACATGTGAGGCTGATTAAATTTAATTGGCAGAATGAACATTTCATGGTCAAAGACAGACTACAAAAGAAGGATTCTCCCAATCTGAGTAAAAGGAAAAAGATAAAAATGTACATGACCATGCAATCACTGTCTCCTTTAGTATCATTTCTTAAAGCCCCCTTTAAATAAACTTGCTTTTTTGTGCTTTTTATTTTTATCCTAACTAATCTTTTCAGCTTGTATTTGACTTCAGAGTCTGGGCTTCTGTTCTTAAATTAACCTGCTATGTCTGGCCTAGCACTTCTATAACTCTGTTTCAAAGCTGCTTCATAAATAAAGTTATCACTGTAACTATGACAGAGCGTGAGACGTCAGCAGATTATATATACCCGAGGGAGGCTGAGTGCTGCTCGGAAGTCTTACATGTTCTCAGTTTTGTCCATATCCCATGCCCGTCTCCACTGGCCCTTAGCGTTTTTGTGGCGAGCCACTCTCTCCCTGTCGATCTGCTCGCGCTCTTTCTTCCACCGCAGATACTCCTCCTGCTCCTCTTTCGATGTGGGGATGTTGAGATCTGTGCAAGCCTGTGGGCTTTCCGGCTCCTTATTAAACACAAAACAGGTCAGTTTGATTTATTCCATCATAATAACAATAACAAGATTTTTTTTAATATTTATATAAATCATGGGAGTGTCTACACATTACTAACTCCACATGCTAATCAGAGCAACAGCCTCAAATAAACAAGACCAGCTTCTTCACTCCAAACACATCCTTAATCAGAAAAAGGTTGAGGATGTTGGCCATACCCCATATCTTTCGGTGCTGCAAGAAAATATAAAACTACTGGGAAGAAATAAGCCAGGGAATAAGAAAAATACTAGGTTACGAGCTCCCTGTGACCTTTGAGGTAATGTTACCTGGGCAATCTTACGCAGGAAAACATACAAACCAAAGACAGAAATACTACTTGCAGCATCAAAGAAGCCCATTATAAGGAATTGGTGTAAGGAGAACCCACCAAATCAGAAAAACTGTCTGGACATGGTGGAAGAACTATACGAAAAGGAGAAACTTACACACGCTTTACAACTCCAGCAAGAAACAAACACCTGAAAGTGGGAAAATGGAATAAATATAAATCTCTTCACATGACTTAAAAAATGGACAAGTTTGATGGAGGCTACATGGACAATTTTCTTTTCTTCTCTATGAATGACACCATGTTTTGTGTTTGTTTTTATTTATATTTTTCTTTGTATGACTGTATGACTGTATGTCTTGTTTCTGTTATGGTTAAAAAATGCAAATAAAAGAAAAGAAAAGGGGTTCAAATATAGAGGGTTCAATAGAGGAACAAACAATGAAGTTTCAATCCTTCTACATTACTGAACACGCCAATCAATGCCTCAGTCTAAACACAAAGAGGACTTGTGGGTGTTGACTCATTTCAGTCAGTTCCTCTCGTATTACCATAAGAGCTTATTGTTTGTCTAACACTAAAGCTGCAAACAACACAACACACTCCTCTGGGACACTTCCAGGAAAAGTGCTGTGTCCATTAAATCTGGTGAGGCCTCCTTCCTCTCTTCTCCCCGTCACCTGCTTATTGATGTGATGAGCAGAAAGTAGAGCTTGTTAATACTAAAAGGTGACCTGATGCTGGCTCTTTAACACATCAAAGGATGCAGAGGCTGTGCTCTTGTAACAAACGCTCTGGAGCAGACCTGCACTACAAACACTGCCGTGCTCTGAGGGAAAACATGTAAAAAAACAACAGGGAGAGACTGCTTATTGTGTCTTGTTTGTTTTTATACAGCAGAGGGGACAACAGCGCTAGCAAAGAGACATTTTTGTGAGGTTTTGGACTGAGAGAGGAAATGCTACACACTACTCTGCACATTATGTCATACAGAGAGAAAAACAGCAGTAGGCATGGATTAGAAACTCAGATGGGTGATGTTTTCCTCTCAGGTGTGAACCAATCACAGTCAAGTAAACATGTTGCCTCCTCAGTACAGTTACCAGTGAGCATGGCATCTGTGCTCATCTCTCTGTTTTCCACCTCTTCCCTCCTCCCTCTCCTCGGGCCCCTCGAAGGACACTGAGGGTCCACACGGGAGAGTGTCTCCGCATGTTTCAACAGGCCGAGTGCTGCTGCCAGCCTGGCTGCTCTGCTAATTAGCACTTTTCAATTTTTCACCTCCCCCAGGCCTTTAGGGGCGGGGTTGTCGGGTTGCGAGGCAGGTGAGGTGGATGTGACACACAGTTGGACTCCACAGAGTGAAGAGACAGCAGGACAAACAAGATTTTTCCAAATATCTCAGTTACAAAAGGATACATCATTGCTGTACTATGACTGTGATCATCTATTTCACCATTTGTTTAGCACTATAAATGACATCCCTAACAGAATATATTATTACATCTGTTTTATTTGTTAAAGAAGGAAGGGGATTTAGACTATCCAGACCCTTTAGTGGCTTGTACAATATATGAGACTGTCAAGCAAACAGATTAAATCAAAGCGTCATTGAAACAATAAATGAGTCGCAACAAACTTCTAGTTCATTAAAACAAATGCTATCTACAATACTATTACATTGATTTCATCTTATTAGATGCATCTATTTAAGAAAAATGTTGTTCCCCTTTTGAGGCTGGGAGATTTACAGGAAATAAGTGTTTAAACCAAATCTTAGATAACTAAAAGATGCAGTAATAAGAAGTGATTGCTCTATCTTTGTTTCAATCAACTTCCAAACTATCTTGACGAACTCAAGAGGAAACAACTCCATTCACCATCTAGTGGACAAAAAAAGTCATTTTTAATCATGACTCATCAAGTCATATCATTTTAAACTTGTTTCTTGGCATCCGTGTGTTGTTAAAACATGAATATTATCCTCCTGTATTGATTTGATGATATCTTGGTGGATGTCAAACCAGAAGGACTGTGCTCTTTTACTCGACTGTCAAACTGCTCCCCTCTCCTTCCCTCCAGAGATTGTCTACACCGGGCCTGGAATTGCCACAAGACCTCTTCGGGGTATTTGTTAACCAAAACAGTGAACAAAGCTGAACGCTGTGACCTCCTACCCTTACACAACACCTCATAAATACTAACTCAGTGTGATGTTTCCTTGAATAGGCTGCAAGCGGGAACAGCACAGAGAGGAATGAACAGCCTTGCTTGTCATGTGACATACAGTATTCGGTGGAGTCTTTGGAGCCCGTACCTCCCCTCTGCCTCCCCATGTTAGTCTGTTTATCGCATACTTGATCTGAGACAGCTCTGAGCGTCTCCAGCAATGTTTACACGTGAGCCTGCTAAAGGCAGATGGGGACAGGCTGTGGGGTAGGAGGGAGTGTGTTTGTGCTGTGTGTTGTTCCTGTCTGCATGTGAATGTTTGAAGTGGGGGGATTTGCATTTCTTTGTGATTTTGAGGTTGTCTTATTAAAACCCTGTTAGTATACATTATGAACTTAATGAGCTGAAGATTTAACCATTAGGCAAATGAGATGTTTTGATTCTGAATTCTGTTAGCTTAGGAGTAAAAATGTAAATGTTGACATGGTTTGTTTTTAGGTGTGTATTACCTGCTCTGAAAGCCCGTGCTGCTCCTCAGTGTGACTCTGCCCTTCTTTAACATCCTCCTGTCACAGAGAAGGACAAATAAAAAAGAAAGATTGAGCACAGCAGCATTAAGGATGACACAGCAGCTTGTTGTGAGCCAATTAAAAATGGTTGTAAAGACTGGTGTTACTGCTGCCATTGACATCAAAGTAAATCAAGAACGAGCGCAGACTCATCTGCTGGATTAAGAAGCCAACACTGCCCTCTAGTGAACTAATGGTGCTATGGTATATTGGCACCTGTAGTTGTAAAGGTTCACTCTGCGATGAGGTCATCAAAACAGAGCGCCAACTACAGGTTGAACTGTGACAGGTTAGAAAATCCTACTCATCTTATCAAAGGTATAAAAATGTGTGAATTTTGGTTCTTGTGTATTTCTGCCCGCAGCGACTGGCTTCGATGAACACAGTGGATGAGTCATGTCGCCATAAACAGCAACACTTGAATGAACAGCCAAGAGGGGTAAAAAGAAAATAAATACTGAACAGAGTGCTCCATCACACGGACAGACAACAACATAAACATACACACTCCTTCCCACACACCTATGCTGTCTGGCTCAAACACAAAAGACCACAGACTACCTTGCTTCTTCTTTTCTTCTTCCTCCTCTCACTCTTTCTTCCTCTCCCTCTCTGACCGCTTCCTGGCACCTTGCCAAGCCGTCACTTTGGCAGCATAATGAGCCTTTTCAGAGTGAGAAGGCAGTCGAATGTTAATTAGATCAAATTGGCCCTTTCAGGATGGTGGGAATGGGGAAACAATCGTGCCAGAGGCGAGTCGACCACTTAAGGTTTCAGAGAAGGGAAACTAAGGGCTGGAAACAAGCGGTGGGGTGCCAGGAGTGTCTTCCCTTGTCTTCCCCTCTGATTCTTTCCCCTTTTCTTCGCCTTTGTATTTCCTTTCCACTGTCTCACCCTCTCTCATGAGTGAGAGAGAGAGACGGCCCAGTCATGGGGTTACAATCTGCCTGGGACACAGTCAAAAAACCACACCCCAGTCACACAATCACTTGTTTCCACACACTCACTCTCAAAATATTTCAGAGACAGGGCTACAAAGAAACATGTAGCAGTGAGCAATTTATTTTACTCCATGCAAATCCTCTCTGATACTTGCCAGATATATCCATGACACTCTCTCTCACTCTTTCTCTCTCTCATGAAGCGTGTCAAATGATACCGGTTATGTAAACAGCAACCACGTGGAAAAACCGGGTCTCTGGCTTGGGATTCACAGATGACTGGGACACCAGAGAGCTGGTTCAGTCCACTGAGTAAAAAAAAACGGGGTACAAACCAAGCAAGCCAAAAATAAAAACACGAGAGCATCCGGCTCAGTCCAAAGATTTAGCGCACATAAGCTAAGAACAAAACAACCAATCAGATGCAGACATACAACGCTGAGACAAAAGAGCCATTTGTTTTGTGTCTGAAGACCCCTCCTGCAATCAGACTGTCTGTATTCACAGTGGTGAGGATCAGCTGTCTGTGTATCAGCTTATTAATCAAGCAGCTTGTTTCTGTCTGAATGTGTGTGTGTATAAGAGTGTGCGTTTGACTCAGGCAGAGCAGCTGTTTCAGAGTTTCTGCATACCCGGGGGGGGGCCTAAGGTCAGTTACAGTGTGGCATTTTGCAGCCTGGCTAAGGGCAGTGCATGTGCATATGTGTTTCTGCACATGAACATGAGCAATACAGTATAGAGTTAACAACAGGGCATTTTGCTGGGAGAGGACCTGACAGCGTTCGGCTATCTTTGATGGTGTTTGAGGAACTCCGTGAACTGCACAGCCTGTTCCACACACCCAGAGGCATCTAGAGTCAGAGGCTGAGTGATTATTCATGTTGCCTCAGAGGGAGAAAATACAAAACATATTAGCGATTATGAGTGGGAGAACTCTGAATTACAAAGAAAGAAACTAAAAAGCTTTTAAAAGGTTTTTGTTTTGTTAAGTTTGGTTCTCCTCAGAATCTACTAACCAACAGCTCTATCAGCAGCCCCCAGCTTTAATCCCATACCAGTAAGTCAAAGCCCCATTCCACCTCCTGTCCACAAGCCATTGTGCTTCATCACTGGATGGGTGTGGCCAGTCGACATGTCTGACATGTATGTAAAACATGTTGAGCTGCAGCACTAGAGAGCGAACAAAGAGGGGTGTGGGAATGGAGGCAGACGCAGACCGGAGGGTGCATGCTGAGGGGTACGATCGCCAGAGCGTTCTCAGAGTTTGATTCAGACCTGTGCGGCTGCCTCCCTCTTGGTCATGTGAGGTTGTTGCTTCGCCCTCCCTGCTGACTCCACACGCCTCGCCTGTCCGTCTTCTGCAGAGGTCTTGACATCCGCAGGGTCTGGCCGATTCTCTGGCCTCTCGCTTACCACCCTCTTACCCTGGAGAGAAAGGTACTCATATTACAGTATAATAACTGTTATAAAGTGCATTTAAATCCAAGGGTGCCAGTCACTTCTCATGTGTAAAGCACGTCACAGAATAAGGACCACCATAAAGAAAAAAAAAGAGATTTTCAAGAAAAACATAGTTCATTTTCATGAATAAACTCATAGATTTATAAGAGTTAGTTGTTGATTTGTGTATAAGAAAAAAATATATAAATTAAAAGTCATAATTTTATGTTAAAATATTATTTTGAGGGGAATGAGCAGAAGAGCAGATAAACCACAGGTGTTACCTTAACAAAATTTTCCTTCTATGATCCTTGTTACTCATTTTGGAGCTAGATGCTGGCTGCTCATTGTATGATAGTTTAGCCTACATTTAGATTCATCACAGCCTGTTATGTTGTGATTTCATTCTCCTAAAATTACACTGACTTATTAATGTTATTTACAACACCAATCAGAGCGAGGTATTTAAGTCATGCAGCTTTGTGTTTCTTTAGATATTTGATGTTTTATGGGTAAGCCAAGCATGCTAAAAAAGAACATGTGAATAAAAAAGATAATGTGAAAATATTAGCAGTGGCCAGAAGACAAAGAAAAGTGCTTTAAACACAACACACTGTATCATTTAGTTTATGACTTTGGCATACATTAGCATTAAAGGTTTTGCAGGCATCGATGGTGTGTCCAAGTATCCAGTAATGATGCCAGGTGACCTTTGGAGGACAGCAAGCAGGTTAACTTTTGCATATTTTCATCAGGTCCAACCAAAATCTTTAACCTTCCCGTAAGCCTCAGTTAAACTTCAGTTATAGTGCTAAAAAGCTCACTAATTAGCAGCAATTAGTACTCTTGTACACAAAACTATGGTAAGTCGGTGAACCATCACTCACTAAACACTGTTTTAGCATTTTTATTTTAAGCATCCCACTGAGCAATAGACGGCTATTAGATGTCTTTTTAAACCTAATTTCAACCATCTGTATATTTTTAGATGGAATTTAGACGTTGCACTTTAACCCATTATTCTATAACTGTTTATTTCAAAAAGCAACTGTGAGTTGCATAACTGATATCCAAGTATTGAACCAAAATAATTATGATAGCCATTGAGCAATATACAATGTAGTTTAGATACAGCCCAGATTTAGATTTAGTCTAAACTTGGTCCAAATTTAGACGTCTAAAAAACTTTCATTATTAGACCTGTGGTTTTTCAACCAGTCGTCTACGCTACATTTAGACGTCTATTAGACCTCTGTTAGACCAAAAAATGCTCATTGGGGTGGTAGCATGCAGATGCTAATTTCCAGCTTTACATCCCCAAACTTTGTCTGAGCAGCATCCTAAATATGTAGGTGCTAAAAAATTACGGTACTGTTTTTACAATGGCCACTTGGAACTGGCTCTGAAAGCATCAATCCCCAATTTATTCCAATTTTATAAAACACAGTACAGCAAAAGTGTTGGTATGTTTACAACCTGGCACAAATCAAGTTGTTTTGATCTGTACTCTACTTCAGCCCACTGCATTCATGAAAACTGAACAGGGAGGGAACTTCTGATTTTATTAAGGCTTGAAGTTGTGAATTATTAAAGATGGGACCACTCTGAGAAACAGAAGGGAGCCACTTGCAAACTGATAAGCCACAGTGAAGCTAACTCAGTGATAAGCTGAAAATCTAACCTCTTTTCTTTGTGGTCAGGAAAAAACAAGGTGGCTCCAAAGCCAGACTCAAGGCTTCAAACAGGGAGTCTACAAGCCAATGGGTGATGTCATGGTGGCTGCACCCACTTCTTATTACAGTGTTTTGAGGCTTTGAGTGAGAGGATGTAGATCAAGTATATTTGGTCTATTTAGAAAAACTACAAAAAAATTAAGGAATTCATCAGAAGGTTGTAGTTTACACACATTTAGGCCTAAATCTAGCATGCACTAAAGAATTGTCTCAACATTAAACATATTCTAACTAAAATCTACAGCTTTAGCTCTCTATGTATTACTTTGGTCTACTTGTATGTTTTGATTTGGATATGGATTTGCTGTGGATGAAAATCCGCACTGCAGTGTATTTACCTTTTTACCAGCCATGGTGACCATTAACTGCGTCCTGTGGCCTCGCCCAGGACCCTGCGGTGGAGCTTCACCTCCTCTGTCAGGACCAACCTCCTGCGGTTCTTTCCCAGCTGGTGAACCACCACTGAGTGGTTTTGTCACCACCACACGATTATCCTGCTGACCAAGGACAAGACTGAGTTTTAAATTATTCATATAGTTCAGAGCATCCTCTCTACAAAAAAGCACAATTATCTGTCTGTCAGCTCATGTTAAAAAAAAACTCACAGTTGTGGACTTGCTGATTGTGATGGTAAGATCATCAGCTTTGCCTTTGCGACTCTGCAACGCCATTCCCTCTTCTTCTGCCCTTTTCTTGTCCTCCTCTACCTCCTACAAGAAACTCAATGAAAATGACAAACTAATCAGGAAGCCGGATGGAGCTGCAAGCTGTTTTTAAAGAAAAAAAAATCTTTTTAACTCAAACTTTTGACTCTGAAGAGACTTTTCTGCCTTCAGGCATTTGTCCTCACCTTGTACCTTTTCATGAGTGCTTCATTCTTTCTGCGGAGAGCCTCAATTTTCTTGTCCAGCTCCAGGTCCCGTTCATGATCCCTTTTGGGCATCATGTCAGTGGGCGTCTGTGAGAAGACACATGAGATAACTGAGTTTTCAAAAAAGTACTTTTTTTGCCCTCTAACTGTAAGACAAAAATATTTTTATCCAGTAAGATAAAAAAAAGAGTTCTACAAGTGCTCTACTTTAATGAAGTTACACAACAGTATCCTGTTCAAAAAATAAGATCAATCTAATCCAAACTAAAAACCACAAATGAAAAATCTACAAATCTGACCAGATATTGCAGGCAAACATTTTATGACAGATATAATATGGTTGGTAAAAAAAATTACTTGATGATTTGTGAGACTATTTCTGTGGGAACTCTTAAGTTTGAACGCCCAAATATTAAAAAATAAATTAATTGTTAGCCAATAAAAAGTGCCCTAGCGTTTCCAAACTACTGCATATGCTACAATAACACACCCAGCACAGATGGGGCGTTCATTACGAAGCTCAGTTACACAGGGTGAATACATATGCAGAGCATCTTAAACATCCCCATGTGGTCAGCACGGCATGCCTCCATACCAAGAATCCCAGTCTGCTCTCATGGAGCTGCTATTAGGTGTGCCTTTCAAGAAAATCTCTCTCCCAGACTCATTGTACCAACTGCAAACATGTGCGAGAGAGCTGCCGAGCTGAAAATGTCAACAGATATTCAGAACAGTCAAGATTAGGATTTGATTCAGAATTATAATGGGATGGCATTTCTCCAACATGGATCTCATTTCCTTTAGCCTGCAGTAACTTAATGTTCTGTATCTAATCTGGTCTGTGTAGTCTTTTTTTGGTGTGTATGTGAGTGTGTGTGTGTGTGTGTGTGTGTGTGTGTGTGTGTGTGTGTGTGTGTGTGTGTGTGTGTGTGTGTGTGTGTGTGTGTGTGTGTGTGTGCATGTGAGTTGGCCCTTTGCTGCAGAGCAAACTAAAGGGCCTGTGCAGACAAGGATTGGTAGAGTGTGGCACAGGATTACTAGAGGTTCAGGTCCAGTGAATGACAGGAGAGACATGATATGACAGATGAAGTAAACAGGAAGATCTTTTGCGCAAGATGTTTGTTTTCTGCCTAAGTGTTGACTAATGATGCTGAAGTGAGTTCCATCTTATTGGATTACAGCTAACAGTTTGTTAGCATAGATGAGTACATAAACAGAACTTCAGGACAAAAGTGAATGACACACTGTAGAGGTCCATAGATGCTAGGATGCATAGGATGCTAATTTTTATGGCTAAATGAAACGTGTAAAGCCTTGAACAACACACCAAAGAGGTTTGGTCCCTACTGGCCATTTCTCCATTTGTAACATCTGTGCAGCTTGTAACTCATCTAGATTGAACTACAGCTTAGTGTTGAGCATAACTAAGCTCATGAGGCATGACTGATCTGAGTGACAGGTGCGAACATTGTAGCTGTTGGCAAGGTGGTTGGGTAATGGTCATAACTCCATCTCTTCACCGGTTTCTAGATAAGTCTAAAGTTCGTTGACAGCATTTCAAGTCTGGTGACTGACATCTTTGGGCTTCAAAACGCATCTTCATGTACCGACAGGTGTCATCACTGAGACCCATGTCCACGTTTCTTACAAGCAGCAATCTTTACTGAGAACTGAAGCAAACATAGAAGCACAAAAACATGCAGTTCCTCCAGTGTCCATGTGAGGCTGGCTCAAAAAGTCAAGGACACCCCCATTAGTTAGCAATGTTTGAAAGCTTATTTTTACTGTGAACATTACATTGTTTACAGCTTGGTCTAAAAACCGTTTGGCATATTTTGATCAGTTATTTATTCAGTCACACACTGGGTGATTTAAATGGGTGATTTCTTTGTATAAGACATTTGTTGAGAAGAATTCAACATAAATCTGCATAATTGAGGTCATGGCTGTGCTGACACATAGATGGACATAGATGTTGTAGCTGTTTCCCAGGGTGTTAAAAGTCTGTCTCAGCTCCACCTCTTTGTCTGTGTTCAGGCTGTGTCTAGTTAGGTGAAGTTGGCATTTTCCAGTCCACCATTCTCGGATATTGAAAAGTCTTCATTTGGTGGTGTCACCTACTATGTTTTACAAGGTATACATTTTAAACGTCTGTGGCTCTTTCTTTGTTGGTGATTACTGCATTTACTGTTTTTGTATTAATCTGTTCCTATCACTTTTATTATCATTTCACCCTGCTTTTTGTGTTTCATGCTTTTATCTGTTTTACTGTTCTTATTTCCTCCACTGCTTTTATGGTTTTCATTTATTCTACTGTCTTAATTTTTTGTTCTTCTGTCGTTATTAGTGCTTTTATCGCTCTAGAATCCCTTTTTATTGTTTTGCTTTTCATTGCATACATAATTTTGCGTCATTGTTCCTCTCTGTCTTGATCATCATTGTTGGGTCCTTGTATTGTTTGGGTTTGAATGATGGGTTTTCAAGCTGTTTGGGCTCATTGGGTGGATTTTCTTGTTACTGAAATCTTTCTTTTGTTGTTGGTCACTGCTTGTGTTTCTGATGTGTTTTGGCTTTCATATTTGTGCTCCTGTGCTTTCGCTCATCTGTCATTTTGTAAACCCTTCTTTTAAAGGTGCCATATAAAGTTATGTTTATGATGGTTACAAAGACTGCACACATCCCTACATGGGAGCAGTGTCAAACTCGTGGCAAGGAAACTTTTCCTTCAATAACAAAGATAAATATGAAATGCCAACATGAGGACTCGTCTTATCATGGTGCTCCTACTTCATATAGATGCAAAATAATTTTAGAGACACATGCCCCAAGCAACAAAATGTAGAATACTGACATTTCTACTGCTACACACCCCCAGCTTGAAGCTCAAGCTTGAAAATGTGAAAAAATAAAGTTATAATTCAATATGTTAGACGGATCACTGTAATAAGGCTAATGTTTGCAAAAAGCATAAGAAAGGATTTGTCTTCCTCTCATCAGCGACTTTATTTAGTTATTCAGATGAAACTCAAAAAGACAACAATTGTTTTGTCTTGTTTTTTTAAAGGATCTCTCCCTTTCTCTCAATCAGTTTCCTCAGTTCTAGATCTACACTGGCATCATCTGTTGTTATTCACAGCTGAGTAGATGTGACCACAAGGCTGTCAAATAGAAAAGTCGCGAATGATGCTTGCTGAAGCCATGGCAAAACATAATTCAGCTTGAAGCTCCGCATTCTCCACACTCTGAATTATTCGGAGGGGTCAAACCATCTTGACGAAGGGAAGTGTCAAAGTGAGTCAGTCATCCTCCACTGTTTTCTCAGTGATGACAAGAGAGTCAGGGCAGTTTATATGTGATAATACCAGAACAGTATGATGACTCACAGCCAACAAGCACACAAAGACCATCACATTGGGACTGCAAGGAATTCTTTCGAGCTATTTTCCATCGTTGCTGCTGTTTCGGCTGCAGAGATTGGCTAAAGCTGAGATGTAGCCGGAGTTCAACAGTCTCACTTTGATGGTTGTGTTGTAGAGATCAGATATCTTCCCAAGTGTCAGCACAGACTTTCAGTAAAACAAAAACCCAAAGGCACTTGTGTAAGACCTGCAAAGACCTAGTGAGCATGAGAAAAGTTGTGACTCACTCAGAGAGAGCACAGAGCGCAGCAGACTGGAGAGCAGCTACCTCACAGCTTCTAGTTGTCAGGGTATCCAAACACAACAGACCATGAGGACATACCACCAAGAATAGGCGCAATGGAGAGACACGCTGCCGTCTCAGAATCTCAGCAAAACCGATGGCGCAGTCTGATGTGAACGCAGGTCTCCTTAAACCAAAGTGGGGGGCAGAGTCCTTCTGGGTTCAGCCGGCCAGATCTGTGATTGTGTGGCAGAAAAACCCCAAAACACACAGAGACGTTGTGGGTCTGCCAGCCATGCCTGGACAGGCAGGCAGGCAAGCAGAAGAGAAGAGGAGGGGGCCCTGCAGAGAGAAAGCTGCCAAGGCTTCCTCTCTACCCAGCGTTCCTGCCACCTACAGCAGCTCCAAACAGGGGAGGGAGAGAGCCAGAGACACAACATAAATGCTGCATGTAGCCACAGCTAAATCTGCGACAGAGCAGGAGAGGAAGAGAGGGAACCTAATACTGGGGAGAGTGTGGGATGAGAGGAGGGAGAGAGAGAGAGAGAGGGGAGAAGTAGGCACTCACGGGTCTTTCCATGTCAGTAGTGGGAGCTGGGCTGGGTCCAGGCGCGAGGCAGCCGTGGCAGCAGAGAGGGCTGCCTTGAGTCGACGATCATGCCTCGATTACAATGAGCCAAGTTGGGCAAAGCGCCAAAACGTCTAACAAATGCACAGAGCTCCCCTGTTAACGGATTTCACAGCACCCATCCGCTGGTCCTCTGCCTCTCTCTCCCTCTCTCTCTCTCCAACCCTCCCACCCTCCTGAACATATGCTCTCTCTCTCTCTGTCTCTCTCTCTGTCTCTCTCTCTCTTTCTCTCTCGCCCTCTTTAAAGCACTTGCTCTTTCCTCTCTTCACTTATCCTTGGCTCAAAGCATGCTAGCTAAATCCTGTCACCCTGGGAAGGAGTAATGTTTAGGTTAGTTTGGAGGTTTAAGCACTACGGCAGAAAAAGAAAGTTCTATGTTTTTGTATGTTGGTCACTTCTGCTTCTTAGGCACAGAAAATACTACATAAACACAATTACATTTAATTTTAAATCTTTCACATTAAATACTTAAGAGGCGCCATTAAAATAGATTTATTTTTTGGTCTAAGTCTTTACGTCTATTCTTTCATTTTTTCTTCAGTGTGCTTTGAGTATAATCTTATCAGATAATTTATGGCCTGTGAAGGTGGGATGAAAAAGCATATTAAACCTCATCACTACATAAATCCAGACATCATTAATGAGATGCATGTGTTGTTTGTTTTCTCTGTGGCTTCAGCAGCTGCGTCTCCTACGAGCTGCAGACTACATGTTTAGAGTACTAAAGAAGCTTTCTACAGACTGGTGGAGGGGTGGGGGGTTGCCTGCTGCACTTCCCACAATTCTTCATGCATGGCATGGTGCCTTTGCTAGAACCATGTCTGAGGGGCTAATGACATGCAGCTAACAGGCGGGCTCGGTAGACAAATGCCACAGATGTCTTAAGGAGAGGTGTAGTCAGTCACTTGAGACTTGGAGTCAGCACTCTGTAATTTCTAGAGCATGATGGGAACAATCACATCTTTGAAAGTTACCACTCTGAGCAACATTTTTGCCTCCCAACACCACATAGTTTACATTCTAAACGGATCAGTCCCGCTAAAGACCAAAATCCCTTTATGAAATGTTTTAGTCTACAAGTAACCATATGTTATTTTTGAATTCATGTCAGAAATGACTTGAAAAAATTTGTGTGTGTGATGTTGTGGGCCCCCAACATGACTAATACCTTAAACCGCAGTACTGACTGGTGACATAAGCAGCTGAGTTTTAACCTTGTGATCGGGTTTATGAGTTGCACTTGCCACTGAAGGTGTTTTCATGAAACCAAAGAGGCCACTGTCAAGTGACAGGAAGTTAAAGCTTTTGATATTATGACCAGCCAATGTCATTATTTGGCAGCCAACTCTCTCCAAGAGTACCCTTCTAATAAAGACAATGAAGCTGCAAGTAATACTGTCAGCTTGCTGGTATTTTGTCAAGTGTCAAACAGGCCCACAATTTGACCTACAGATGGGGCTACAGTCCACATCACAGCATTTAGTTATCATGTAAAATATCATTCTCATCTTATAGACCCTTTAATTTGACTTTAAAACGTCTTGCTCAGCAACTTACCAAGGTCGTTTTCTCTGTTTCTTATGACTTACAAATTATTTTAAGTTTAAAAGGCCCCTGTAAGAGTGTGCATTTTAACGCTTGATCTGTGCTTTTGATCATATATTATTCATTAAAAAAATAATGCATAAAAACAATTTATTGGGCCATTTAAGTCTAATTTGAACTAACTGTTTTAATTTCTTATTTATTTAATCTTATTCCTGTAATGTGAAGGTTCGATGTTAGGTGGTTGAATAATAACTAATGATGAGCAAAGCAGGATGGAGAGGGATAACTTTCTTAACAGCACTTTTACTCTTCAGCCATTTTGTCATGAACCAAAACATAATCCAAAAACTAACATCCTGCACAACTCTAATCACATGTCACAGTTGTAACTGTAATAGTTAACAGAAATATCTGAATTGACTTCACTGTTAAAGCTTACATTCCTATCTCTATTCTTTTCTATTGTTGATTGTGTTTTCAAGAGTAAGTTTGAAGACTGAATTAGGTCCTCGTGCTAAATAAAGTATTTTGATATAGATTTTTGTTCTGGTTCTGATTTCTGTTTGGTACAAATTTTGCCAACATTTAAGAGTTTATGAGACTATGTCTGTAAAACATATCAAATAACCTATGGTAACTAATCACAACTACAGTTTTCGGTAATTTGTTATCATTCTTATGGCTCGACGTGTACTGACCTCCCATTGGCTTGATTCGCCGTCTTTAAGTTAACAGCAGAATCAAAGTGTAAGTCCAAGTCATGTCCACTAGGGTGCGCCAGATATTTTTTTTAACAGAAGACCCACAAAGCGGAAGAAAGAACCTGTACCATCAAAAGCCAAGCAGATGAAAATAAAATACCAAATGCTTTTCTAACTCCTAATCATATATGTTTTGTATTTGTTTCAACGTTAAAGAAGAGTTGTTTAATGTTTGCTAAAGAATGTTGTTGTAATAATAATATGGCTGCATGAATTGTTATTGAGGTTTCTTCATGTTAAGGAAAAAAATAGTTCTTTTGTTTTTGAACGACACACACACACACACACACACACACACACACACACACACACACACACACACACACACTTGTTCATGCTAAGCGTCACTCAGAATGTGAAGCTTAAATGTCTGAAATATTCAATTTTCATATCTAACATAAGAAAAAATCAAAATATGTGAATAATATATGGCCTCTGCAGTCCTGAAAACATAAACCAAGTTATTTGAGGTTAGTTTAATCATCTGCTGCACAAGTCCTCGGCCATCACACTTGTTTGTTTTTCTCCTGTACACTTCCTAGGCTATCTCAGGTGAGGCCTCAGATAAGATTGTAGGTGGCTGCCTGACAGTAACAGGTGTGTCCTCCAATTATGTAATTATGAGGTTTGAAAGGACCGCAGACTGTACAAGCACATTTTTAGTAATGTTCAGTTTATGAGTCAGACAAACAGTAAATGAGGATTTAGTGTAGTTAAAGTCTTGAATGCTCTGAATGTCAGTAAATGAAGGCCATGAGTTCACCTGTGGACTAATGACCTCCATTATCTATGTATATTCATTTTCATCTCCATGGTGATGCTGCTAGAAGGACGCGCAGTGTTTGGCTTTTGTTCAAGATACTTTCACTCAAGTTATTCGTGGGATTCTTGTAGTCAATGCTCCCATCAATGGTATGCAAAATGACTGCATTTTAGAGCAAAATATATTGTGTTAGTTTTTAAAAAGTTTATTTGAATATATCTTTAAGTCAGTGATTCAGCAGAACAAATGTTACATGTCAGATTAGGATTCAATTTTTTTTAATGTCCCCAGACGGCAAATTGGGTTGCAGCGAGAAGCACAAAAAAACACACAAGACATGAAGTTACAGCACAACCACATAACATACACACAGACAAATACCACTGGCAATCAGCCAGTGCACGCAAACATGTTCACTCACAACTAAAACTTGCCTCCAATTAATTTTTGTACAAACACTCCTACCATTAACAGACTATGTTGCCTGAAAACATATGACCTCATAACAAGTATGACTTGTTATGGAGCACAGGTGAAATAAAACTGACTTCAGTGCTTTGAATCTGAATCTGCCTTCTGTTAGATTTTAAAGAAAAGTTTCCCTTCACTTTTTGAACATGTTAACATTTTGTATGAACCACTATCTTTTGACATGGTCACCTATTAAGAAAAAGAACTTTATTGTCCCCTGAAGGGAAATTCAGTTGTCTGGAGTCTCATTTTTCATGTCTCAAGTCATTGACTTTTTAAAAAAAGGGTTATAAAGTCTGATGAGAAAACAATAATTATACAACGCAAACAATAATTTATTGTTACAAGAAACAATTTCGTTATAGCAAGATAATAAGTCATGATCACGAGAAAACGGTGCATTAAAAAGAAAAATCCATTGCTTTTCTCGTCTTCAGTGGTTTGACTCCAAAACATTTTTTAACAGAAGAAAATCTAATTGTCCATGGGTGTTGTTATTTTGATAGAAAATGAATGAGAATTGGTGTTTCATGGAAATTACTCCCTTCTCTTACATTCGAGACTAACACTCTGTTTTGCTTTGTTTCACACATGTACTCAACTGAGGTGTAAACATAGGATTCATACAATCATATGACAGATATACAGTAGAAAAAGGAGCCCCAAACACACTACCCAGATGTGTGTAAGTCACCCATAACATGGACACTTGTAAATGACAATGCCATGCTGAACATTGGCATTTAAACTGAATGTTGAAGAGGAGAAAGTCAAATTCTGATTAAACTGATCACATGACAGTTCCCAGTTTATTTCAGTTCATCTTGACTGAGCATGGGTCCAGAGTTGTCACCAGCATTTCTGGATCATGTCTTTGTATGGTTTCCTCTTAACATGATATAGCCTTAGCCTGCATTTGTTGGCACACAATGAATCGGGTGTTCATGGTTTTTAAAGTTATTTTAAGTCCGTGCAGTGATTTGCACAACAGAGTTCTTCATGCAATGCAACCTGAGGATCATGGCCTTCCAGCAGTGGTTTTCATCCTTGTCCACGGCCTTTTGAACAAAGATTTCTCCAGCTTCTCTGAAATTTCTGGTAAAATCCCCAAATTCTTCGCAATTTTAGGTTCAAGAATATTATTCTAAAATCTCTGAACTGTTTGTTCTCACACAGTCAATCACTGAGAGGTGAACCGGTCTTGACTTTGAAGAGATGCTTTGTCAGCATTACATAACTTGTTGTCCCTGTTCCAACTTTTCAAAACATTATGATGGCATTATATTCAAAGTAAGCATGTATTTCATTTGAAGGAAATCAGCTTTAACATTAGATTTTTACTATTTACTATGGAGCTGAGGTTTTAAAATGATTTGCAGGGAGGCAAAATCTCCTCTTTTATCCACATTCATTCTGCTTTCTAACCTTCCTTTTACTGATGAAAACTATTTTCATTTTAAAGAGCTAATACAGTCTAAATACAGAAGATTTAAAGCCAAAAATAAAGGAAATATAAAATCTCCTTGGAAAGATTTAGCAAGATATGGCTTGTTTATTTTTTTCTATCAACATTCAAAGTTTTTTAGCAGCAGTACATGGATAGGACAGTGTGATTTTGATGGTATGATATCAATCGGCAGCTTTTCATTTGCTCTTCTTTGTTTGTGTCGTTCTTTGACAGGTAGCAGAGAGGTGAGACATTTCATTGTTCAAGTTATTTTAGATTTATGACTGACAGCTTAAAAACACGTCACCTCAATAAGCTGTTTCCTTTTACAAAAGGGTCAAGGACAAGGCCCAGGACAGGAGCCAGGGAAAGAATCCAAATCTGAGTCTTGATCTGGATCTGATTTCTGATCTGTTTTCTAAAAAGGACACAGAGGAAAGGTAAGAGGAAAAGGACAACAACATAAAGGGAGAGGACCACCAGGCAGCATGGGTGGTTGTGGTGGTGGTAAACATGGCGGTTGTCATGGTGATTGCACTTGAATCGGAAGAATGTGTCATTCGTAAAATAATTAAAAACTTGATAAACCAATACATAGAGACTGCTTTATTTTATTTTCACACAAACATAACTTCAGTGGCAGACACATTTATCTGTGGCAGACAAGCATTGTTACATACTGGGTTCATAACTCCAACGATTTCAACAAGACTTTGAATTTAATAGTGACACACATGCTTGTAAAGCTGCATGATACTGTTTAAATGTTGTGAGAAGAAAATAAGTCAGTAGACCTAAGTAAACCAAACAATACCAATATATTTTTTAAAATCAAATGTTGACAGAAAACAGCAACGTGAAGAAAAATATCACAATTTTGGTGTAAAAAAAAAAACTGTCTTATCTTGATATTTTTTGGATGTTGATCGTCTATGAAAATTGTATACATATATTACATTAAGCGAAACATGCGTATTTGCTGTCATGTAAAGACAATGACATAAAAAGATTTTCCAATAGAGAGGCATCAGTGTGATACTTGCCAAAAACACATCAGCAGTGAGATGAACAACTCACAGACTGTAGTTTTAGAAACATGTAAACACTGTGAGGGGGAGTCATAGATGTGTAGGAGTCATATCAGGAGTTGATAAAGGTATTGAGTACTGCTTATCCAGTAGATGTCAACTTTCACTGAGGTGTCAGGTGAAACTTTGTCATGTACAAAAGTTCTCCGATGACACCGCCATTGTGGGGTGTATTTGAGGGGGGATTAGGGAGAGTACAGGTCCCTGGTTAAGGATTTCACCACCTGAAGTCACCTGAATCATTTGCAGCTTCATACATCTAAGACAAAGGAGATGGTGCTGGACTTCAAAGGCTCCACCCATCTCATCCACCTGTTACCATCAGCAGCGAGGAGATTTAGTTGGTTGTCTCCTACAAGTACCTAGGGTTGCAGCTTGACGACAAACTAGACTGGTAAACTAACACTAATCACCTTTAAAAGAAGTCACAGAGTAGGCTGTACTTCCTCAGGAGACTGGCATCCCTTAATGTCTGCAAGAGAATGCTACAGACGCTCTACCAGTCTGTGGTCTCAAGCGTCCTCTTCAATGGAGTGGTATGTTGGGGTGGGACACACAGAGGCTGGACAAGCTGATCAAAAAGGCCACCTCTGTCACTGGTGCGGATCAGGACTCTGTGGTGTTGGTGGCTGACAGGAGAACTCTCTCCAAACTGCTCTCCATCACTGATAACTGTAGCCATCCTCTGCATGAACTGGTGGTGGGGCAGAGGAGCTCGTTCAGTGAGAGGCTGCTCTCACTGAACTGCTCCACAGACAGACTCAAGAGGTCTTCCTGTTGAGAGCCTCTTAGGCTCTTCAACACAACTCTGGGGAGGAGAAGGAGATGAGGGGCGAAAGGGATATTCTGCACATGTATGCACTCTGCACTTTTTACACTGTGCTTTTACCTTCGATCTTAGTATTATTGGCTATTGGCTATCTATCTATCTATTTATCCATCCATCCATCCATCCATCCATCCATCCATCCATTTAAACGGTTCGTAAATCTGTTTTTTTTTTTTTATCGACATTCATACTGCTTCCCAACCTTTTTTATTTTATGAAGATATAGTTTTTATTATAAGGAGCCGGTCTTGTCCTTACTTTTTGCTATGTTTTGAATTAGGTTATGTTTTCTATTCAAAATATACCAAAACAGAGGTAATGGATGGGGAAAATTTTTCTGATCAAACATTTTTTGTGAATTGAGAGATAATCAAAAGCTGTGTCACTTTTGACAAAACCATTGTATAGCTACACCCCTAACCTGAAGTGTTCAGTCAAGGTCATACATTTATTTTAGGGTGGAGCTGTCATTTAGTTTTGTAGAGAAGAACATAACCAGGACACTCCCTAATCTTTCCTGTCCTGCAACTATCAAACTGTAACTTTTCAAGACATAAAGTCTGCATGTCTCAATAACATACCTACATTCTTTACTGACAGTCACCCTTTAAATACAGCCTGAACATTCACATCAGGCGTACACGTTTTGATTCCTGCAGCGTAGACGGTGTTTGAAAGGGCATTTCATCTCCTCAACACGAGTAAGTCTTCTCTAATAATAATTTTTGTACACAGAACTCAGGAAGGATGTCAGATTTTTACTAAAGGTTGACATTACTTCAACAACGGTCATTTCACTTTTTTTGCAGTAGAGAATATATATATATAAAATATATATATATATTTATATGTATATATATATTGAAGTGTTTTATAATTGAATTTCAGACATTTTTTGTCAAAATAGTTCATTCAACTCATAGAGGATGAACACTTTTATACAGTAATCAAAATGTACAAACACAGGTGTTTTAATGGACTTAAGTTACCTGGTGTTTTTTTCTTTAAAGCCAGCATTTGCTTACGTTGGATTGTGTTTCAGTTACAATCATAAAATGTTGTTGCTCCTGATAATTTACACTTTCTTTGTCTTCTAATCACAGGTGGGAAAACGGTGAGAACCATTTCCTTTTTAACATGTAATAAATTTGTGGTTAAGAACATGAAAACATGTCAACTCATAAAGCTGTTCCCCTTTTTATAGATGGACGAAGATAAGAAGCCAGAAGAATGTATGGGCAAAGGGCCCGACAATGAGAATAAGGGGGGATGTGGAAAAGGAAAAGGAGATGAACAAGGTGATGTTGATAGCTATGTATAAATAAATGTTATAAAAATGCAGATATTACAGAAAAAATGTATTAAGTTTATGATTATTAATGACTTTATTTTAGCAACAACAAATTATGACCCAAATAATCTATATTATCATAAAAAAGAGAAAGTTGGTGTTAAAATGGTATAGAAAGTCTATATACAGAAGATTTAAAGCCAAAATAACTGTAAATGTAAAATCTCCACAAGATTTTGCATGATATTGGCTTGCTTATTTTTTTTATTAACATTCAAATTTTCTAAGCAGCAGTAAATCAATAGGACAGTGTGATTTTGACGGTATGATATCAATCAGCAGCTTTTCATTTGCTCTTCTTTCTTTGTGTCGTTCTATGACAGGTGGCGGACAAGTGAGTCATTTCATTGTTCAAGTAATTTTATATTTGTGATTCAGCTTGAAACACGTCCCCTCAATAAACTGTTTCCTTTTACAAAAAGGGTCAAGAAAAGGCAAATAAAGGAAAGGAGTCAGAGGAAGACTCCAACTCTGGATCTGGATCTGGATCTGGATCTGAATCAGATGGGGTAAGAAACTTCTTCAGTTGCCTAAAGACAGCTTCATACTGTTTCTGTAACTTTACAGTGCTTTAATGTTGATTTTTCTATTTCCTCTTTTAGCAAGGAGGACGCAAAAAGGTAAGAGTTTACAACCTTTTTGAATTTAGGTGATAGTTTTTTTTATATGTATATAAATGATTCAATTTTAAATGTGACCACTATTTTACATGTGTTCGTTTTCCAGAAAGGGAAAGGACACGGGAAAGGACACGGGAAAGGACATGGGAAAGGACAAAATAAGGGAAGAGGACCCCCCATGTGACAGGGGTGATTGTGGTGGTGGTAACCGTGTCGGTTGTCATGGTGATCGCTGAATTCTGTGTCACTAAAAATAAATAACTACTTGATAAACTAATACATAAAGACTGCTTTATTTTGTTTTTACACAAACATAACTTCAGTGGCAGACACATTTATCTGTGTCAGACAAGCATTGTTACATACTGTGTTCATAACTCCAACAGATTTAACAAGCCTTGGAATCCGCTGTAAAGTGTAAAGCTGAATGATAAGTTCAAACATTATTATTTTTTTATCAGTAAACAGAAGCAAAGAGGTAAGAGGAATAACTTTGTCCTCATGTAGTGCCAAAGGCAACAAAACCCAATAGTTCTTGAGAGAAGCTTTAAATATGTGGATGTCTAAACATGTGAAACCACCACTTAAAAACAATATTTCTTTTTTTTGCTTCAATATAACTATTTCAAACTGTACTTTAAAAAAAAGAAAGATATTTAATCCCTGACTCTGAGTCTAATCCTTATATAACTAAAGAAATTGAATAAGGACGTTGTGTTTCACAGAAGTTTGATTATGGAGAATTATTGTTTTATCTCACTTCCTCCCCAAATTCTGACACCACTATTCTTTGCTGCTTTATTTCACACATTCATACAAATAAAAAATAAAAAAACAACACATGATCTCAGGTCCGCAGGGTAATGTTTTTATAGTTTAGAAAATACACACAAAAAAAGCAATCCCATTCTCGTATTATTGTTAAACTTTAATCTAATTTCAGAAAAGACAAAGTGGTATTCCCTGATTTATAGCATCATGACAGTTCAGTGTCACAGCAGTGGTGACGCTCCATCAATGTTAGGTAGTGTTCAAAATTTCATCTGTGACACAGCAGAAGCTTCAGGACAGAATCTGATGGCTGATGAAACACTTGATGTTCATAATGCTGAAGTGTACACAAAAATACACATGGGAAGTAAAAAAAAATGTTGCATGTGTGTCAGATTTCAACAGTCTTTACATTTTTCTTTAAGTCTTTTTAACAGATTTATTGGTCTAAATCCTTCTGTGATCAAGTAACTGTTTAAATTTTGTCCACATGAGCACTGTGAGTACAGAGAATTCTTTATTTACAGATGCCAGTGTATGAAAAACTACCCACAGAGCAAGCAGATGAACTCTTTCCAGTTATAAGTCCATCAAGGTTCATTTCAGTACATTGGAAGGTGCTGGGCTGCGTCTGAACATTGGGAAGAAATCAAAATCAAATCAAAATCTTTTCTTCTTGTTGTGCTTTCAAATTGAAATGTTTTTTTTTTTTTCTTCCTTTATCCGTGTGTGCCTGAACTGAGTGTTGGCCAGTACAAGTATCAGTGCAATCAGTACAGTGTGAGAAGCAAAGCTCTCAACACATCTTGATTTTCTGTGTTTAAAAGGGATTTCTAATAGGTGTACTCAGTGCCATTTGACAGTTGAAATAACTGTACTTTGAATGGAAATAATAAAACCTTACATACTTGAAATTAAAGGGGGGGAAAAGACAAAAGACAAAACAATCTCAGCGATTTAACTTAGGCTCTGCTCTCTATTTTATGCCGTAGGTTACCTGATACCAGTTCCTTTTCACTCCCAACACACAGTACTTAACAGTTATGGCCATCATGTTTGTTAAAGGATAAAATTTGAGAGGAAAATTGTTTGAATAAATTGTAGTGTGGTAAGAAAATAAGACCTCGTTCTTCTTCATCTGGAGCCAGAACAACACCTTAGTCTGTATCTCAGGCATTTCAAAAACTGGTATAAAAAACATGACAACTATTGTGTTTATCTCAGGTACCTTCCCATGTTAACACGGCAGAGCTCTGCTTCAGAAGAGTCCATTGACCTGCTCAGTCTCAGGGTCGAGGTCGATGTCATAGAAGCAAGGCCTGGTGGGTAGACCAGGGATTGTTGGCATCTAGGATGAGCAGAAAGAGATGGGGGGTTAGGAACCTCACAGCGTATCTATCCTGGAGTCATCAAAAGAATGAGAATTTCATTGCCTGCAAAAAACACAGTCCATAGTTGTCTGCGGCTTAACCAAGAAGAATTTCAGCATACAGTTTCAAGTGTCTGGAGCCAGTGAGTGTATTCATTTTATTTATGAGCTGTTCATGAATCAATGAGGGAAAACTGCTATCGTTCAACACTGGCTCTTGGAAAAAGAGCTGCTTCCTCCTCTCACTGCTCATCACATACACAGAGTTCTGTTTGCAAAAGACAGCACATAAGGCTCTGCACTAAGTGGAGGTGCTCTTATCCACAAAAAGCCGCAAAACAAAAGTGAGTTGTGAAGAGAAGCAGAGAGCGGCTAAACTACGTACAATTCATGGTCCTATTTTTGACTGGAGTGCATTCCTTGTGGATTTATTCCTGTGTTTTATTTGGCACTGTTTTTCAAGAATGTGTTTTTACAACACACCTTACACTGTGAAAAGTAATGTTTTATTTGGAAAGAAAGATTACGACAGCTGAGTTAATAACCCTCAGATAGCCTCTGTTTTTTTATAGCATATACTACTCTTCATAAAGGATCGATACTTGTAAAAGGTGGAGTTCTGAACGCTGTCATGCAGTTTAATGTGTTTGGGAAGGACAGTGAAGACAGTTGTACCATTCAACAGCGTTGAAAGAAAAGACTCGTTAAGTTAACACAAAAGAAAACACACCGTGCCAACCAGTGGGAACAAAAAGCCAGCGCCAACGCTGGCTCGGATGTCTCTGATCGGCAGGATGAAACCTGTGGGCACACCCTTCTTGTCAGCCTCATGAGAAAGCGACAGGTGAGTCTTTGCCATGCACATTGGCAGATTGCCGAACCCCTTAAGGAAGAAGAGAGGACAGAAAAACTTTATTGCATGTTTAACAAAGGACTATTCAAGCTTGTTTTAATGAGATGACTCTGCCACAGCAACAGTCAACAATCAGGCCTGTCGAGACCGACAAAAGAATCACACTGAAGTGGACAGACGCCAACCTGTTTGGTGTAGAGCTCCACCTTGTGCTGGGCCTCTGGAAGAAGCTCAATATCATCTGCTCCGTAGATCTTCTGAGCAATTATACGAATCTTTTCCACGATGGGGAGCTGAAAGGGGGTAAGAAAAAGACAATGAGAATAATCACAGACATTACAGAAGGAGCTAGTCTTGTGAAATAACTATTTACAGCAAATTCAACCATCAATTTTAACTTCAATCATTTCAAGATTCCTAGTAAATCCCAAAACAAAAACAGAAAACTGGTGGTCCTAACCTCCAAATCATAGAGGAACTTGAAGTTGCTCGGGGCTTCAGAGGCTTTCTGGACAGCTTGACCCAGGGCCACGGCACCCGCCCCACCTTCAGCCCAGTGGGAGCAGCGCACGGCATCGAAGGCACCAGCAGCTTTGGCCATTTTGCAGACCAAGTCCAGCTCAGCCTCAGTGTCTGTCCTGCAGGGCGGTCAGAAACAAGAGTCGGAGAAAGACAGACGCAGACTCCTCAGTATGACAGAATGACAGCTATAAATTGTCAAGTAAATGTCAATAGCACTTAATAGGCTAACCTCGAAATATTGGCTGTTTGTCAGTTTCAAAGCAACTCAGTTAATCTGATTAATTGGCTTGAAAAAAAAAAGTTCATGTAAGTTATAAGTGATGGTGAGTATCATTGTGCTGCAAACAAGACTAGCAGTTTGTGTTGAGTTTGGTTTCAGAGCTTTTCTTAAAAACAGTAAGTACAGCTTTAAATCAAGTAAACAAAAAGGAAAAATCCTGTGTATCCATCTTTTCTCCTGAGTAAACCTTTACAGCCATCTCACTCCACTTACTTGAAACTGTTGACAGCCACCACTACTGGCACGCCGAAGTGCTGTGCGTTCTCGATCTGCTTCCTCATGTTGCTGCAGCCCTTCTCCAGCAGCTCCAGATTCTACACGCAAGAAAAATCCTTTAATATTAACTTAGTGTAAGTGGGAGGAGCAGCAAAAGATCTCATCTGTGTAAATCCTAATAAAGGTATTGAACTTTCACAAACAAATGGTGATTGGAGAATTGTTTTAAAAAGGCACCCATAATTATTCACCTCTTCAACATATTCCTTGGGCAGCGGCATCCCAGCAGTGACCTGGAAAAAAGAAAACATTTTTAGTAAAATTCAAATAATCCAACAATAAACAAGACACATTTTCTGCAGCAGAGTTGTTGAAGTGTGGAGCAAAGCTCTTGTTGTTGTTGTTGGGATGTCGAGGGAAACTCACGGTTGGTCCTCCTCCGTGCATCTTTAGTGCTCTGACAGTGGCCACCAGCACCACCACATGAGGTCTCAGGCCGGAGTAGCGACATTTGATGTTGAAGAACTTCTCCATCCCGATATCAGCCCCAAAGCCGGCCTCGGTCACTGTTTGGAACAATCGACAAACTCTCTTCTACGGCCATGTATGACAAGATCAAGTATTTGTGAAATGTAGCATCGTTTTAAAATATGTTGCTGTAAAACTCCACTGACCTACAAAGCCTTCAGGTCCAACCATCTTCAGAGCTATTTTATCTGCCAGGATGGAGGAGTTGCCATGGGCAATGTTGGCAAATGGGCCGGCATGGACAAACACAGGGGTCCCCTGTGGGCACAAACAATTTACACGTAACACAGAACATAAAACTCAAGGTGGCGTCATCCTACCGGCTAAACTGCAGGTTAGGATTATTAACAAAAAGCCAGAAAATAACACAAATAAATAAATTATACCTTTAAAAATTTAATGAAAAAATAAATTTGGGAGTTCAAGATCTTAGTGCTCCTAAATGGTGCTTTGGTTTTGCGAAGTAATACTTTGCACGTGGGTTCCACTCACCTCCAAGGTCTGCATCAGGTTTGGCTTGATAGCATCTTTCATTAACACAGCAAGAGCACCGCTCACACCCTATAGAGAAAAATATCCCATGTTTAAAACAAATCATATGTATTTACAGTGGAACCTGCCATTTGAGACTCTTTAGGTGACTGACCAGGTCCTCAGTGGTGATTGGCTCTCCACCACGGCTGGTGGCCACAACCATTTTGGCCAAACGCTGTCTCATGTCCTCCAGGCTGCTGGTGAGGGCGAGCACTGCCATGATTTCACTGGCTACCGTGATGTCAAACTGGGCCTGAAAGGCAAAACGGAGGGAAAGCATGACCCTCAGCATCAACAACACTGATGAAAAACCACGCTCAGAGAGGGATAATTGTTACACATGCAGAAAAGACAAAAAGTATATGAACCCAGAGTTTACATATAAATCCTGTGCAATTGTTTTGGGGCTTATTTTGTGTTGGTAAAAATACACTGTTGCAGAAAATGATGGCTATTACACTTTCTTTTACCTCTCTTGTGTATCCCTTTTCAGTTGCAGACTGTCCAATTGTAATCTTCCTCAGGAATCGGTCATTGGTATCCAGCACTTAAAGTGACATAAATGCAGCATATAAACTCTACATCAGGTGAAAATCTTAATCAAAATAACTGGGAATTATACAACAGATTTAATGAGGCAGATAATGTAAGAGGATTAAGAGACCTCCTCTCTCTTTGTACCTCTCTGCCAGGTGACAGAACTTGGCTCAATATCTAGGCGGGCAAAGCGGGTGATCTCTTCTTCAGTCAGCGCGGAGGGGTCAGTCTTTTCAATTCCAAGTTTCTAAACAAAAACATCATTTTAGATGAACTCTGTTGTCCGGACTTTAAATGGAGTCAAAAATCAAAATTGATCACAATTACTTACTTTCAGTCGGTTTATCTGGATCGGGGAGAACTTCCTCTGTCCTCCACTGAGAGGCACCAAACGGTTATACAAAGCCTACAGATGCACAAAGAGACAATTGTAAATATCCTCAATGACAAATTAACTATTGAATAAGTGTTTAAGTTAAAAAGAAATTGAGGTCACACCTTGTCAGACTGTGTGGACTCGTGGAACATGCGAGCATCGATGGCTGCAGCCACCAGGTTGTTTGCAGCTGTGATGGCGTGAATGTCACCAGTAAGATGGAGGTTGAACTAAAATTGACAAACCTATTAGTTAATTGCTTTTTTTTTCCAGTTGTGCTTTTATGAGTTACATTTACTTCAAAAATGAGTGAAATACCTCCTCCATTGGAATGACTTGAGAATATCCACCTCCTGCAGCCCCACCTGCAGACAGAAAATTAAACTACACTTAAAAATACCAGTTTGGAATTGAAAAAAGATGCCTTTCTGCATCTGGTAACCTCTATAACTTCTCTGTTTATGTTAATTTTTCTAAAACTCACCTTTAATGCCAAAAGTGGGACCCTGGGAAGGCTGTCGAACACATGCAAACACATTGAGCTTCATGTGGGCTCCCAGGGCCTGAACCAGACCGATGGTAGTTGTGCTTTTTCCTTCGCCCAGCGGAGTGGGTGTAATGCTGTGAACATGAAACTTTTGTCAGGGTTCTGAATTAAGTAGTACAAACTGAGCGCCTAAAACGTGATAAAAGGGGAATCTGTGGTAAGAGGGGGAATGAATTCAAGGCATTTTTGGGAATTTAATCTAACTGCAGAGCAAGACGAAGAGCGAGCATGCTTAGCTGTGGTAACTTACTGGATAGAATGAAATGAAAGCATATCCCAACAAAAACTAATGAATCAGACAACAGGAATCATAAAAAAGTTCAATCAATAAACAAACAAATAACTACAGAAATAAGTGGAACTGACAAGCCAGGAGAAAAATCAAGTCTAAGAATGCAGATAGAAAAATTGTTGCTGTTCTTTTTGTCTCTTATGATCAATTTCCAAACTTTTTTAAAATATCACACAATACTTCTGTTCCGAGACATAACAAATAATACTTTGGTGCTGTAATCCTATTTGGAAAATGATTGTCATGCTTGGACTGAAAAAAAGGATCAAAAGGGTTGAAAAAAAAAGAAGTAGGCAAACAGTACAGTAGAGCTCACCCTGCAACCACCACATATTTGCCATCCGACTGGGCCTGCAGCCGTTTGATGATATTGAGCTGGACCTTGGCCTTTGTCTTGCCATACAGCTCCACCTCATCAGAAAGGAGCCCAATTTCTTTGGCAAGATGATCGATGGGTTTCGGCACGCAGGAGCGAGAAATCACAATATCGCTGTTGGAGTTAAAAAGGAAAAAAATTATCTCCTTTTTAAACTTAAGGACAGGCAGATGCAGTAATGAGTAACACATTGTTATAGAGCCCCTCATGGGGCAGCAAATTAGAAAAATCTGCACATGTGGATTATTGTATTTACGTTTTCTTTGACAAGTTAACAGAGTGCATGACAGACTTAAGAAGACAAACCTTGGCACAGGCTTCTGCAGGTTGAGTTTGGTGTAAGAAATGTCCCACTTCCCTGGCTGATGGCTCTCCAAGAAACGCTTCGCACTCAGCACAGTGTTCTACACACAAACATTCATTCAGGGTCAAACTGATAACAGTGACAAAGAGTGTACAACAAACACCTGAAACTGTCTTATAATTCAGTGAATTCAAACATCCAATTTAGTCTTCAATTCTCTCTTCAGATGAGCCTTACCGACATCAGCATGGCCACCGTCATGGGTCCAACCCCACCAGGCACAGGGGTGATGAAGCCCGCCTGCTCTTTGGCTGAGGCGTAGTCAACATCACCCACAACCCGCTTCCCACTTGGTTTTGTATCATCTGGAAGACAGGCAGAGAATATCTGTGTGGCCTTTGCTTAATGACTTTAATAATACTTTGACACCAATGCATCATATAAAACAAAAAAAAAATTGCGTAAAGGTACAATTCTTTATAAACCACACCTTTAACATTGCTATTAGCTGTTATGAATGTTTATAATCACTTACAAGGACTGTTGTAAAGGCATATAGATGTATTCATAAGACTATAAATGTGCTAGTCGTCCATTATAAGAGTTGGGGTCATATTGAGTGTTACCATGACTTCTAAGTTAGTTTGAATGGCATGTGCAGTGCCGTCAGACATACCTGGGATGTGGTTGATGCCACAGTCGATGACCACAGCTCCTTTTTTGATCCAGTCTCCCTTCACCATCTCTGCTCTCCCGATTCCAACGACCAAGATGTCTGCTTTGCCCACCTAGACAAGAAGACAGATGTGAACACTGGTCGACTAAAAAGGTGAGTATTTCTAACATTGACTCCAGGATTGACAAACTTTCATTATTTATCAGTTAACAGCTGATGACATGATGATCTCTATTTATGCCATAAGGTGGCGACAGAGATCTGTGAACTGATTACTTCAGCCCTGACAAACTTTTTAGGTTAGGTCAAGCCTTAAACAAAACAAACCATAACATTTTCACATGTTACAGTGTATTACAAACTCCTGTGGCCTTTTGTATAAACAGGTACTAATATGTTGCTGCGTACAAGAATGTTGTCCACTGACACTCTAGGATAATACTACGTGAGAGTGTGTGCACAAGTTTTTTTTAAAAACTGAATTATGTTTTGGGCACGCCGTTTCTGGGCTTTAGGTTCACGTACACTTCTGGTAAGGACTCCATGCACTGTTCCCAAGGTTTCCACGATATCAGATTTTCATCTCACAATGATTAAAATATCATGCCATAAAATACTATGATAACAATACCATCACATTGTATATAGAAAACTTAAAAATCAAACAAGACATTACTTCACAAACTTAATATATGCAATTACCTGACATGTATCCATTTCTAATACTATCCAAATTTATAATCTACCCACATCACCAGCCCAGTGACTGAAAATTCTCTACCGAAGTAACTGCCTTAAAAAAAGATTGTTTGTCATGCTTTTATTTTAACATTTTTTCTGTCTTGCTTTTAGGTTGCTTTATTTCTGTGCTTTTATTTTAAAGTACACTACTACTTTATTTTAAACTACACTTCTAGATCCTAAGTCAGGAAACTGATTGAAAACAGTCAACTAGAGAACAGTTAGGAAGAATAAATGAACCAAAATAGAACAAGCTCCAAGGCTGTCTTTTGATTCAGAATTAATTTTAAACAAGTGCTTAAAACCTCTTTGATACCTGCTACAGATTGCATGCTGGCAGTCTGCTACTTCTTCTTCACCTATCTTTGGTTTTAGGATGTGTGGCAACCAGCAAATAGGACCACTATTATGAACTCATGGGATTACAGAGAAAAGATGAACTTGCATTTTATCTCCTGCACAGACAGCTCATTCAGTGTCCAAATAAAAATGTCTTAAGTTTCATTTTTGAATTTGGGCAGCTGCCTATTTTCTGCAAGACATTGACATTAATGAGGAGCAAACCTACAAATTCCCTGCACCACACTTTATTCACACTGGTGTTGGAACTAATGGCTGATAGGTATAAGACTATCAGACTGTATCACTGCGTTCGAAAGTGGTATCACTGTCATACCTCTCCAGCCAGATCAGCTGTTTTAGAGTGGCAGGTGGTGACAGTGGCATGGTTCCACAACAGCAGGTCATGCATGGGTGCGCCCACGATTTTACTGCGACCAAGCACTACTGCTCTCTTTCCTGCCACTGAAACACCTGCAACAGAAGAAGACCTTTCAGAGACCAGATGTTTCTCTAAGTGATAAATGTAGCTGGGTACATCTAGTTGCATTTACCTGTCTGTTTTATGAGCTCCATGCAACCATTTGGTGTGCAGGGGATGAAGCAGTCACCCAAGTCCCCACGAGAAAGCTTTCCTGCGTTAATGCTGGTCAGTCTGTCAATAGATCAGATTGCAAATTAAAGATGTACAACAGTGAAGATTTTTTCTTTACAGCACTAAAATGAATAAATAAAGTCTAATTTTAGAAAAAAAAGAGTAAGGCGGTCTCAGAATGAACACCCTGGTCTTTAATTCAGTTCCTACCCGTCAACATCCTTCTCAGGGGCCACAGCGTTGGTGACCTTCTCTGTGTCGATCTTGTGGATTGAGTCTAAAGGCAGCTGCACGATGAGGCCATGAACAGACGAGTTCTCATTCACCTCTGTGATACTGTGAAGAACCTGCAGACAGAAAGAAAGACAAACTTTACACTTAGATACTTTTAGTGTTTCACTTACAGTGTTTTCTTACGATCTCTAAATGCCTCCTCACCTCCTCCTCTGTTGCAGCCTTAGGAAGTCTTAAATGTGTGGCATTTATTCCAATCTGCAGCATTAACAGAACAAAAGTTTAAACAAGGATGAACAGTCAAAGTGAGGTGTGCAAAAACATCTGAATGTAAGATAACTTATCGACCTCGGCTGCCGCCTTTAACTTCATGCTGATGTACAGGTTTGAATCCTCACGGTCTCCAACCTGCAAACAACAACACCATCAACACACTGCCAATGACACGGATGAACCCTAACAACATGTCTCCTTCAGGGGCACAAAAATAACACAAATCCTTACCTCTGAACTGTCTCCAGAGGAAGCCACGAGAAAGCACATGGCAAAATTAGCTAAAAAAAAAATACTCAAATCACTTTGTACCGAAAAACCTGATCATTAAAATATCACACTAACCTGTAAAACCACCAGACCAGGTCTGAAGTTGGGGTCCTGAAGTTTCATCTGTTCCACATCCTTCTTCAGGCGCTCCCTCACCTGACTGGGAACATAGGACAACAAAGTTAGAGCACAGACTGGTTTATGATTACAACAGGAAAGGATAGTACCATGACAAGGCCAAAATGATTATCTTTTACAACAGCGACAGATTATATGACCAAACACATGCCATTTGGCTCTCTCTTTGTCAAACTGGTAACCATTTTCTAATCCTTTGTTGTAAATGTGGATTGCACAAAAAGGTAAGTCATGAGGAGAATGTGAATCTCGGCTTGGTTACTGCTTCAAACACACAACGTATCAGATGTATTAAAGATACATGAATGACACATATTTGGGCTTCATGTGAAGCTCATTGACAGTGATTATTCAACACAACATGTGATTACGACAACTGACTGTGAACTCGTGATGCAATGAAGTGATACCAATTTGAACAACCCATACAGGATTCTGGGGGGTGTTTTACCCTGGTGTTCTTGCATGTCTCTCAAATATACATGGTGTTTTTTAACACTTAACCTAGATACAAACTGATTTCTTTAGACCTATTCAAACTATTAAGGTCAATTACAGCATCAATTCTTAATTTGATTAACAAGGAGAAATTGATTAACACAGCATGACTTACTGTTCATACTATGTTATTCAGATACAATATTTTAAGTATAGCCTGCATTATGTTTTTTAATTCACTAAAATGAACAAAAACTGAGTGCTATCACTAAAATATGAATAAATATAGCAAAGTAGAGTGCTTTCAGGCTGTAGAAAACCACACATGATAAAAAACAACAGATTCTATCTTATCATTTGACCTCTGTCCATATTGGCCACTTGTCCAGGACAATCAATGGTATGTCGACCTTTATAGAGTTCAGAGATAATGAATGCAAATCCTCCCATTGAGGGTCCCGCAGATCTACAAAGAGGCTGCAAGGCCCGTTTGTGTCACATAAACGAATTTAACTAATGAGTCCTGTGAGGACCAGCTAACAGGGTGCAGCTTGTCATGTCTTGTGACAGGCACATGCAGCTAATTGTCCTAAACTTTCCATGTGCATGTGAAGGGGAAGTATTGTTTCTTTGCCAAAGTCATTCTTTCATACATACTCTGCAATCTAAAATATAAGGAATTAAAATGACTAAGTTATTTGCAGGTTACCAGTGATTGGCTTTTGCCTCTCTGTCACCTGAGGCCACTGGATCGATGGGGCAAAGATCACATCAACACCTTGGGTTGTTACATAATATTTCAGAATTTACAGTCAATCGTTGCAGAGCTGAATTTGCATTGAGAATAATAAGTTTCAAAAGCCGACACATCCCGTATGAATCAGTTTAAACTAACCAATTGTTGCATGAGAATCAGAAGAGATAGTTATACAGCAAACAGTCTGCTCTGATTTCTTACATTACCACACAATAGGAACTCTGACTGGCACACCACGTTCACGTGGAGAGCATAGTGTACAACCAATTCAAACAAAGTGAGACAAACCAAATGACATAGTTAAATATATAACAGTTGCATAAGAATATAGGATGTAAATATGAGTGAGAAAGTTGTTTATTATTCTGCTCAGCTGTTAATATTAGACTACTCATCAACTTTCTCTTTTGAGCTAGTTAGCTGTAGATATAGCAAGTCTCACAAACACGTTTTATCTTTTTTTTTTACAGCTTCCATTTTTATAGAGCAGGACAAAAGCTGATACTTACGCAGAAACCTCTTTCCCACTTATGATCTGGGCTGACATCTTTTGGTCCTGAAAGTCCGTTTTCTAAGGTGCTTGTGATCTCCTGCACGCACTCTGTCTGGCAAGAAGAGGAACACGCTGACCACGGCCAAAAACTTAAGGTATTCAAACTGCGTCTGGAGTTGGCGGTGGAGACGTAGGCTTCATTCTAAAGTTCAGCAAGAGAGCTAAAATCCAGCGTAACAAGTTTAGGGAATGGCGTCGAAAGCGTAACGTAGCCATGCCAGGGGGTATGACAAGGAGGGGAGGCGGGGTTAATGACAGGCTGTCAACACTGACAGCCAATCAAACACAGCTAAAAACATGCCAGTAAAACCTCAGAACCAATGGAAATCCTCCTTCAGCTGCGCTGCCCACAAGAGGCGGGGTTAAGGGCTGGCATTCAGAGGGTGTAATTATACTGAGGATCAGCAGAGGGCAGCACTTAAATGTTACTTCCGTTTAAAACAAAAACACTAGCAGTGTTTACGTGTGTGTTTGGAGTTTGATACCCTCTGGAGATATGTAATTCAGCAGAAACTACCAGAATTACCACTGTACAGAAAAAGCCTTATGTTAATCTGAATAAGACATGAAGACTAACAGAGAGCTATGGAGAGTGGATTCTGCGCTCTGAGCGACACTGAAGAGCTCCAAACGCTGATTTCCAACACTCACAGCAATTTCCTTTTCGAAAGGTGAGTGGAAAACAGACTCTGCTTTTTAAGATAGGAGGCTTGTGGGATCTGTTTTGGGATTTGGGAGAGAAATACACATCACTCGTCACTTGTGCCATGTGCAGTTGTTGAAAGCTAACCCATTTTGCATTGCTGTTGTGTGGGTTTAACTGGTGTTAAGTTCACTGGTGACACTCCGAGCAGTTTCTCCATTATACATCCAAATCGATTGAAGCTACAACCCTAATCTCAGGTCATATCTCTGAAATCACCTGCATGATTCATGTCCACACATCTCCTTAGGTCCAAGACTCTGTTTGAAGAAATCCGTGCATCTATTAACAACAATAATGAAGAGGACCGCTCCTTCTGGAGGCCTGTGCTTCCCTGGGGGGGCGTGTTTACCATTAAAGCAGGGCGGAAGGCAATATCCTGCACCCCTTTATACGTCAAAATCAACCTTAAGAACACCTGTACCATTGATGGCTTCCTCATGATTCTCTATGTTATCCTGCGAGACAACCAGGGCTTTCACAGAGAGCTGGCCGGCTTCCTGGGGAAGGAGTTTGTGGAGTATTTCCTCTACTTGATGGACTCATGTGACTACACCACTGTCAAGATGCTGTGGATCTGGGAGAGGATGTCCAAAAGACAGTACCGCTCTGAGATCCGTAAGGCAGCCCTGGAAATCGATCTGTTTGGAAATGAGCACCAAAACTTCACAGAGAACCTGGAGAACCTCATGTCCACCATACAGGAGAGTCTGTGCAGCAACTGGAGCTGCCCAGCTCGTTTCCAGGAGTTCATGAAGACCACAGTTAACATCAGGTATGCTGCACACAAATGATTAAATGTTCCAGTGCTTTTAAAGGAACGTAATTCAACTTCTGCGGCCAGGTGGCTGTCTAGCATGAGTCTGGTCCTACCCAAGGTTTCTGCCTGTTAAAAGGAAGTTTTTCCTTGCCACTGTTACTCGTGTTAGATGAGATGGGCCAAATCCTATCTTAGCGTCTTGGGATGACGACTGTTGTGAATTGGCGCTATATAAATAAAATTTGATTGATTGATTGATTGATAAGTAGACACTGAGTGGATTGGGACCTCTCCTTGGAAAAAAATTAACAATAAGAAATCTCCATCTGTGTAGGAATGGTGACACAGGAGAAGTGGTTGGGTTATATGTATACGCCGATTTACTTCTTCAGCCCATGGTGTAGACTCCTCTTTGTGTTTTTGAGAGGAATTACTTTTCCCTCAAAGAATGATTCGAGGAGGTGATGGAGACTTGATATTTGCATGGATGATATTCATTTATGTCTCTTTTTTTTCCCCAGTCCTTCTCATGAGCTGCCTCACAGAGACCCCATTCAGTCAGCTGTGGATGAATTCTTCTGCCCCAAGCTGCTGCTCTGCTCAGAACAAGGGTGAGACACAGGTATTTAATCAAATATTTAATGATTTGTTTCATTTGATTCAATTTTTTCTTTATTGTTTCCACAGTTGTGGTGGTCTCAGGGAGTTTTCCCAAAGAGTTTTCTGCCATGGACCCCCACCATTTGTCATTCTTAACATGCAGCAGTGGAAGTCAGAAGAGCTGTCCTATGTTCCCTACCACCTTGCACTCAGCCAACACAGGTATGAAGCCTAGACTGTCCCCATTGGATAAAATACAGCACCATGGATGGCCACACTATGGTGCAAATCACATGCAGGAAAAAATTGACTGTAACGCTGGTGCTAGGACAAATTTGAAGTGAACATGATGCATGACAATAGTTAGAAACAAGATGTAAGACGTTATTACAGATATACTCTGAAACCAAGTTATTACATAAGAGCATGGCGCTCAAAAAGTTTTGATGATAATGTAGAATTTTTCCCTCATTTTTTTTTTATTTGAGTAAAATGGCCGTGAGAACTTTTGCATTGCATGGCTTTTGATCCATAGTGTGACAAAGTATCTGACATTCATGGTTGTGTACAAAACTCACATGGCACGGTTGGTTACATATACTTCTAAATAGATTTTTAAAATCAGACATTAAGCCATGCAAAACGTCTTAAACGGGTTAGTTGTTGTGTTGCTTAATGAGACTAAAGAACTGCTCATAGTCTCAATAAAAGATGATCCTTTTTACATATAAATAAAAAGGAAAGCTTTTCCCTTTACAAATAAACAGTAAATAACATTAAAACTTTAAATTGTTTTCCTTAAAAAGTGTAATCACATGACATTGAGCATCGTTGTGTAGTGGCAGAGAAAATGACCTCAATTCCTCCTTTCTGCACAGGTACTTACTAGAGGGCGCCACACTCTTCAACAAGGAGGAACATCACTACTCTGCAGCCTTCCAGATTGATGGCTGCTGGATGCACTATGACGGCCTGAGGAGTGACAACCTGATCCTGTTACACAAACCACCAGAGTTCCTGCTTCTTTCCTCCCTCGTCTACATCCGAGCATCTGACAAGTGAACTTTTCTTAATGCAGGCGCGCACAGACACTTGAGCACAAGCTGTAAAACATTCCTACACTCTTTCTGTGCGTAGTTTGGCATCACCCCTTGAATGGCATTAAAGAAGTGTGTTCATTTTTCCATTGTTATTGCATAAATAGATTTTTGTTACTCCAGCTGTTGCTTTCTCTGTTAGTTGAAGCAGTGCAGAATGATACATGATGTATTTCCCCTGAATTTTGACAGAAAGCTTGCTGTGCTAAAGGGTTATTACTTCTTTTGGCTTGCTTGGAATCCAAGTCTAAAATGGACTATAATAGTTCTGGGATGACGCACATAAATGGAAATTACTGACTGATGTAAGAGGTATTAATTTAAAGTTAACCAACAAATATGGAGAGAAATCTGCCACCTCTGGTAAACAGGTTGCTTAATAAGGATTTGTTTGCTGTTTAGAAGCCTTGCAGGAAATGACTGTTTCTAGTATTCTTGATTCCCTACATTTAAATGAGAAATTCACGCACAGTAGCCCTTTTCTTGAATTTACAGTGGTGCTTTCTCTATTGACACTATGGTCTTATAACAACTAAACAGGCTGAGGAGCTGTGCCTGGTTAAGGTTCTTAAAGATTTGTATTTGAGGTGAATTACCATGAGTTATTCCAGACTATAACATAAAGGTTGAGGGTTGCCTATTTTTTTCTTACTCAACAAGATGAAACATGACTTGTTTTTCTTACAAGATACAAAGCTGGAAGCATGTCTATCATAATAGAAATGCAAGAATTTGAATGCTATCTAGGCACAGGGCAAACGTTAAATATGTTTATGTATACATATTGTTTTTAAAAATGTTTGAGCATCAAATGTCTCATAGTGCCTCACCAAGGAAAGGTTCTGTTTGAAGTCTTGATACAAATTTTGATCCTTGTTAATTTTTAATCTTTTTTTAAGCAGAAATCTTTAAAATGCAAATACAGATATTTTGGATTACGCGTGTTGGTTTATTTTGTTGCACTTGCATGGATGGCTATAACAAGACAAAAGCACAAAAGCAGACAGTGCCCTATAAGGCAGGCATTTATTTTAAACTGGGTACAACTGCACCACACAAACTGACTGAATGTATGTAAAATGTCCTCATTCAAAACATGATCAAATGTGAAAAGCTACTGTTTCTACACCTAGGGTTATCTTGTACTTCCAGTATTGATCCACAGGATAGAAAATTCAAGATCATCACCTCATTTCAGACACACTATGGGAAATGTAAAAGAAGCAGAGTGGTCATTTGGCTAACATTGACATCAGTTTCAAAGAATTCTTCTTTCAGACACAAACAGTCCACTGCAGACCAGGCGTAAGTCATCCATCCACTTTCTTTGAACAAGCACTTTGGTGAGAGTGGTGGCAAAAACATGACATTAGATAGGTCTTAAGAAGAATGCGTACAAACTCAATTCAAACATCCCTTCATTTTGCAGATTCACGTTTGCAGATTTTCATCAGTGTTACTCCAAAATTCTCTAAAGTTGCAGATAGTATTCACTTGAGCAATCATGACATTGTACACAACATTGATGCTGGATGTATCATGGCTGCAGCACATAATTACGCCTGCGTGATCTGTGCTGTGGCTGTTCAGTGACTAACAATGTCTCGGACAATAGACTGAACACAGAATAAGTCAGCAAAACAGGTTATAGGACATTAGCAGTACAAATTATAATTTTTGTGACAATACATATCAAATAAAATGCCAGTCACACTTTTCTAAATAAATGACACATGTGCAACAACACCCTTATATGACACTCTCAAAATAAAGCAGAAACCCAAAGTAAAGTACTCAATATGGTTAACAGCAACTAACTAAATATCTCACCAATGACCAATTTGAAAGGCAGATACTGTTGAAGTTACTGTCTGATGTAATGGTTTCCATAATTTAAGTACACATCAAGGATTGAGTACAAGAGGAAGGTGGAAGATCACCTGTCTAGTTCTGGTCTAGCATTTATATCTGTCTGTGGGGGGAAAAAAGCTTCTTTTGTGTGGACATTAATTTTGGCCTTAAATTCAATCAAACCATTTCATTCTGTTACAATTAAAGCCGAGTAAAAATTAACAAGCACACACAAGAGAAAACGACACAAGTGGGATGAAGCAAAGTCCAAAAGGTACCATGATGTTTCAGTGTGAACAAACTGACGTGCCATGTTGGGATCTGTTACAGCAATATGAGATGCCTTGGCTTCTTAGAGAGACAAAACACAAAACATTTTCATCCACAGAGGAAAAACAGAAGTCTTATTGCATTATCTAAATGCCATTACCCTAAATTAAAACATATGTACAAACTACAATATGTATCAAATAGTTTGGTAAGTGCAATGCAGAGCTCGGTTAAAGTTTCCACTTGCGTGCAAACATCAGTGCACTAAGCAACTCAAACTAGACTTGGACATTAACAGCCACTCAACAAAACACAACACACCCAGCCTTGACTTGTTTCGTGCCCCCCTCTATTGCTGTGCATTGCTTGACCTGTTCATTAAACCAGTTGCCAGGGCTGCAAAGAGTGACACCCTCTGTGAATCAGGCACACTCATGGGAACACTCTGGGTTTCCTCACAGGACACAGAACAGGTGACGGTGGCAACATGGCCTGAGTTGTCCAGCACAGCCCTTGGTTCGTTATTGTCCATCCTTATGATAGCATGGAAGAATGTGACGCTTACACATTAGCAATAAGGGTGACAAAAACATTTGAACTGGCACAGAAGGGAAGATTTATCTAGAATTAGAGGTGATACAAAAAAAGTCAGGATTTGGCACTTTACATGAAGCTGTGAACAAAATTAGCTCATACCTGAACCTGCAAGCAAGCAAGACTGAGGCAACATGACAATCACATGGTGATGGGCGCAGAGAGCAGGTGTCAGGCTCAATCACAGGTAGAAAAAGTCATATTCATAGCTACAAGTGAAATTGCACTGGAAGCAGGTACTGACATGAAGACAAAACATGCTCATATTTTGCAGCAGGGGCAGTTTAGAGGAAAAAGTGTGCTAACTCAGGTAAATTATGAGCAAAGGATGAAGCTACATGAGAACCTAATTCTTTTGTTATTCTAGCACAGATTCCTCTGTTGGTAGGGCTTCATTCAATTGCATGATTGTGGGTCTTTAATTCCACTAATTAAAACGCACATGAGCAGAATATCTAACGCAGTGATGTGGCAGAGGCTGAACAGAGGTTGACCTAGTTGTATGAGGCAACACAGACAAACAGCTGAATCCTGAATCCTAAATATAGCACCAGTTGGTATTGTGATCAGACCAAAGGGTGAAAAGAGCCAAGGTCGATTTCAACTATTGTTAAAAGAAGCGGGTTCATGACCTGACCCAAACGAGCTGTAACAGAAGATCAAGCACAGGGATGTTTAATGGCTCTGAGGATGAAGAGACTAGTGGCAAACACTCTCAGGAGAATTTGTCATTCACCTCTACACTGACCCTTGAAATTACACAAAACACACATTCACTCACACACATACACGCACGCACACACACACACTAGTGACCCAGTGCAGAAAAACATTTACAGGCAATGCACTAGAGGATATATTCATATCTATATATTTCATTTAGACTATTTACAGGAGAGAAAAAGGCAGCCCTTTCGGAGAAAATAGAAAGATTGAAACTTTTCTCTATTTTGTGAAGCACTGATTTGGATGCAGAACTTCTGCGACGCTGAGCCCGAGCATCAGTTCTGCACGCAGACACGTACCCAAACAAACAATCCTATCGGACATGCATGTACCCCTCAAGCATACACACAGACACACACGCTACATGGCCTACAGACACATAAACATACATTAACACCAGCAAACTGCTGTGTGTCACAAAACTTGAACACGTGGTTCCAGTTGCAGCAGGAAAATTTAAAAAAGGTGTGTTCAACATAATTAATGGCATGAAGGACAACAAAAAAAAAGTCTGCTAACGTAATCTCAGAACAAAAGTGACAAGTTTTCCCCCACAATTCTCTGGGAAATGGCTCAGAGTCCTTGTTGTGGTCCAGCAGCAGTAGAGCAGTCATCTCCTCGGTCCCATGACGAACAATCTTTCTCTCTTTTTTAACACAGCTTTGCAGCTCTTTCTTGTCTCTGCTATCACAGCTGTGTTTCTCGTTTAGCCGGCCAGCTAGCCCAGCACATCCATCCACCCTGCAGGCGCTCTCTACCCTCTGATGTTCATGTCTGTGTGCAGCGCTCCTCTGCATCTGGAGGATGAATGTAGGGGAAGAAAAGAAAAAAGAAATGTCTTTGTGTCTAAGGTCTCTCATAGGGTCCTAGCTGGCTGGGCCATGGGTCAAAGGGCAGTTAGACCAAAATTGCATCGACAATACATCATGCCGCTAGAGTCCAACCAGCTATCTGAAATAGGGTCATAGCGCTGGACAGTGTTCAGGTAAGATGACCCGGAGTGACCTCCCACCACATAGAGGTAGTTGTCCACGATGGCAGAGCCCACACCTGCAAGACAAGGTGATGGTAATATTGAGTTAATTCACTGGACTCTAAGTGCTGAAAATTGACATTTTTACTAAAACGTGATCAACTCACCAGTGCGGGGTTCATTCATGGGCCGACATGCTGTCCACTGGTTCTGATGTGGATCATACCTCTCTATGCTGGACAGGTGTGATACGCCGTTGTGTCCCCCTACCACAAATATGAAGCCGAGCATGACGCCTACTCCGAAGTTAATCCTCTTGTCTGCCATGGGGGCTACCATTTCCCAGGCATCCTTGCTGGGGTCGTACCGCTCCACACTGTGTTGAACAGATGCAGCAAGTTAAACAAAACCTTTCAAAACATTTCAAAAGTTTGAATAAAAACTGATTCAGTCTTGAGCTTGTTCAAGACAAGTTCAGACTGAAGCTTGAGACTTGCATTTGAGCATTTTGTACGAGCAGCAGAAGGCACCAACCTCTCCTGCCTCCGACCTTTTTCATTATGGATTTTTTTATTCAGGTTTATTTGATTATTATAACAAAATTATGATTACTGTGTTTTTTTCCCCTCATTATATACGTATAAAATATTCTATAAATTATGCAATGCACCCTAAAAAAAAACCAGTGTCCAGAAATCATTCATTAGTTTCAATTGCAATGACATCAACAGATAAAAACAAAAGCTTTTGTACCTTACTGGTCACGACACAGGAGGTATCTGGACAATTTTAAAAACTTGTCAGGCAATTGAAAACTGTATGAAACACTGCTAAATATGTGTTTGCACCTATTGGTCTGCAATACACATAAAAATAAAACAAGTTGTATGCTTCCCTAAGACAGAATTTATGAGTTTCGACCCTACTCTACATGCAAATCTGAAACAAAGGGCTTCATATGACCAATGCCAATTCTCTTTTAACAGTTTTTCAGTTTAGCTAACCTCATCTCAAACACACACACACACACACACACACGCACGCACGCACACACACACACAAACAGCACTGACAAATTAACAAACATGACATGACTCAAATGAATCTTCTGACCCTCTGACAGTGATCAGAACAACAGCAATCTGGGATTATTTTGCAGCACGCAGGAACATAAAGTCCATGGGGCAAAGATGAGAAAATAGTCCCCAAAGATTTTCTGTCCAAACACATTCTCCTGAGGGGTTTCAGGAGTCAAGGAAACAAGCAACAGAGACGCAGCTCTCCAGAGATCCACGGCAACAACAGAGGTCTAACCAGCAGCACACAGTCAGCCACCCTCTCGATGAAACTTTAGCAACCACTTCTGTCTTTACTCCTCTTCACTCATTAACAGGGCTCTGCAGTTTTCTCAGCAACACTTGACATCCTTCACTTCTCTGCCAGATACCTACTAAGACCTATTTTTATTTCAGAAAAGAAGGTGTGTAGAGTTCACAGTGTCACGTTACTGAAGTCAAATGTCAGGCGGAGTAAGGAAAAGTAATTCAGGGATTTGGTCCTGAGTGGCTTTCTTTGAATAAACACAAAAGCTACAGTGAAAAGGTAAAAGTTTTGACAAAAGAGGTGTCAACATCATGGGAATACAGAAGCTGAGCAGCAGATGACTTTAGCCCTCTGCAACATGTTCAATATGAATAACTTGCCAGGAAGTTACAAAAAGATCACATTTACACACAAAACAGGGTCAATTTTCAGATGAACTAACAGACGAGAAAACAAGACAAACAGACACACTGTCCAACAAGCCCACAACACCCTTATACTTCCATTTGTATTGTTCATTGTATTACCTGTTCATATGCGCTGGGCCGTAGCCTCCAATAGCGTACACCATGCCATCCAGCACAGCCGTAGCAAAGCAGCTGCGGGACTTCGTCATGGGTGCCACAGGCTGCCACTCTTTCAACTTGGGGACGTATTTCTCCACCGACTGGAGGTAGTACTGGCCGTCATAGCCTCCAAGGGCATACAGTTCACCAGCCAGGACCACCACCCCTAATGTGCTGCGACACTCTGCCATACGCTCCACTGTGGACCAGGTGTTACTTTCAGGGTCCCAGCTCTCTACCGTGCTCTCATGCCTCCGATAGCTTATGCCTTGTCTCATGTGTGTAGCGATGCCTCCCACGACATAAACTTTGTGATCTAGTACTGCTACTCCAAATTCATATCGAGGAACACTTAGAGGAGCCAGTCCTATCCATGAGTCTGTTTGAGGGAAGTACATTTCCATGCTGAAAGACAAAAAGACACGTTTTCCAATTAGTATGAATCTACTCACAGCACATAAAGAAGACATAACCAGTGCAGAGGTTATTATTACCTTTCTAAGGTTGCGAATAGTCCAGCCTTGCCTCCCACAGCAAGCAGCACCTTTGGGGCACACCTGGGCCGTGCTGACAACACAGTCTGATAGGAGAGCCGGTGCTCTGGCATAAAATGATATTTAAGGGCCTCGTTGAGCAGGTGCTTGCACGCATGGTCATCTCGTATAAGGTGGTTGGCTTCATATAGGCGGGTGAGAAATTTGACGCTGAGGAGTGGAAGGCGGACACAGTGCAGCAGCTGAGCTAAATGCTGCTGTCTTTCAGTTACATCATATTTGATCCATGACTCCAAAGCGTAAAACACAGTCTCCTCTGTGACCACTTTTAAGCAGTCATTGGACACAATTTCATCCAGCTCTGCTCTTGTCAGTTCAAAAAACTCCTCAGTCTGACAAACTTCCTCAAAGTTCTCACATATGAACTTTGTTGCAGCCAGGCACAGTTCATGACAGCCATATGTCTCTGCAAAGCGGGAGATGCCTATACAGTTTCCTGCATCCAATTGGCTCTCTAAAAAGGAGCAGCACTCCTTTAGTACTAGCTTAACCTGGAGTAAGTTGGCAGCTGGTAGCAGAGACTCCACTGTTTCCTGGGAGATAAACACAGTCCCAGTGTAGGCATACTCAACGATGGCCTGGAAGAGAGAGAGAAAAGGAGTCACATAAACAAATGCAATGGTACAGCAGTTAATCAGTGCTATTGGGGGTGTCTGCTGGAAAAAAACATACCTGTAGAGCAGTTTCATCAATACACTGGAATTCCACCTCAGATGTCTCCTTTTCCGATAGGTTACCTGTGAACATGGCCTTAAAATATGGGCTGATGCTGGCCAGTACTACTTTGTGGGCATGGATCTTGGCATCACCCACACGCAGGACGATGTCACATAGTTCATGATCCTGCCGCAAGAGCTGGAGGCCTTGCAGCAGCTGTTCTGAGTGAGGCCGTTTCAGACTGGCAAACATATAGGACTGGTCCTGCTGGTCCATCTGTAGGCAGGAGTACACATATGAGTGCAGTTGTGTTAGTTTGATATGATTACTGATCTAGTGGAAATCCCTCAGTAGTTGACACATGATAAACAATCACTAGAAATACAGCCAATAGTAGAAATGAGGTTCTTGCCATGTTGCTAGTGAGACTAAAGACATTATAAGAAAACTGGGCGCAGGCCTGTGCATCATGACGCAATATAGCACGCGTTATGGATACATGCCTGGGCAGGGTGATGCATTCAGGGATGTATTGTAGTAATATCGCCTGTTAGCGTTTACTCTCATGCATGCTACAGAAGCATCACCTTCTTAATAAAAGGAAAAATAAACTTCAAAATTCGCTTCAGACGGACTGCTTTGCATGTATGATTTGTGAAAAGTAGTGACGTTACATTTCGGCTTGTCGTTTGTGGCCTTGTCTTAAATTGTGAATGGAGGACACGGCCAGATCAAAACTCGATAGCTTCCTCTTAGCTTTACCACAGCAGCGGCTGCCAGCTACAGCGCTAACAAACACTGGTGAAAAATCAGCCAAACTGCGATTATTTTATGGATGCAGATTCCCAGATATACAGTGTTTAATATCTCTGTTAATGTAAGCACCGTGGTTTCAACAATATTCGACTAAAGCGAGTAAACGAGGCCAAAATCTCAGTTTGATTGCGCTGCAGTCAGCGAAGGTTAGCTGCTAAAAATAAACACGGTAACTGTGGCTAGCTGCATCATTGATTGATATACAGTAACATGGCTGACAGATACAAAACGTGACGTTACGACCAGCTATAATTTACCTTTTTTTTTTAGGAAAAAAAGGAAACAAACCTGTAACCTGTTATCCGTCTGTTGTGCCGCTGTAATGACCGATTTTGCAGTGGCGGAGTTCAGCGGCGACGAGTGAACCCCAGGCGGCTTTCAGGAAAAACAACCTACTGCCAACCAAACCTAGCCACAGAGCTACAGCTGAGCTCTTTTAACCGTAGAGACAGGCAGCACACCCACTTCCGCTCATTTCAAAATAAAAGCACATTCACAAGGAAGCTCTACACTCGTGTCAACAAAGCATCTTAACAATTGGTTTAAGTTTTATATATATATATATATATATATATATATATATATATATATATATATATATATATATATATATATATATATATATAAAGCAGTTTTGAAAACCTTTGTCCACTAAGACCGTCTTAGTCTGTATTGACTTGGAGATGATTAGGTTATATTTGATCAAAATTTAAAGATGGAGGCTGATTTTGACTTGTATGTGAATGGAAGCGTAGAAGAAGATTACAAGATTAGACCAAAGAAAATAACAAAAATAATATTATAATTATCAACAATGGTTGGATTTTACTCTAAGAGAAGCTTAAACAAAAGGATTACAAATAAGACAAAAGCCTAACAAAATATAATAAAAATATATAATAAAATGCAATATAATTTAAGATAATGTAATGTAATACAGCTAGTGATGTTTAAGAAATTACTTACTACGTGTGCGAGTCAAATGCCCAACAATATATTTTTTAAATACACTGGATTGTGCTTTTGCTTCACGTTTTTATTTAACAAAATAAATAATAAAATAATAATACAAATAATAATACTAATACGACAACAACTACTACTACTACCAATAATAATAATTATTATTATTATAAATAAATAAATATGATGTTTGAGTATGAATCACATTTAAAAGGACCTGACTGACTTAGATCATACCTCAAAACCAAACCAAACCTTTGAGGTATTTCAAACTAAGTTTAGGTGCACACATGACGTGTTTAGTGAATTGAACATGCCGAGTTCGTCCTGTTATGTGTGTGTATTTCAAGTTTTGGGCTGTGTTAAGTTCACTCCTCATCTCAGTGTGCGCTGCAGCGCTATGGTGATGTTACCACCCGGAGGAGCCAGGAACGCGTCACCATGGAAGCGCTCAGTTTGCGACATGTATTCGCCATTTTGCTGCCTCGGTGAGTGCGTGTGTAGGCGCATTTAAGTGTAAACACCTCTGAAGCTTTCAAACATTTAACCTTCCAGGCACCAGCTAAAACAACCGAGGAAGATATCTGCACTTAAAGAGCTGTAGCTGCTGCATAAGGACATGGACGTTTGGACGACGCAACATTAGATAGTCTCCTAAAGCGCGATCGAAGAGGACCAGAAGCTATGCGGGGTCTGTTTTCTTGCTGTTTATCAAACTTTGCTAGCTCGGGCTCTCAGTTCTAACCACTAATACATGTAGCGGTTAGCTTAGCTCAGTTAACGAACTCTAAGGCTCCATGTAGCTTCCTAATGCTTGTTAGGCTGCTTAACGGTCATATGTTGATAGGGACTGATATAAACCTGTGAGAAGCATTTAGTCATGTAACTTAGACCAAGATACTATTGACGAAAATGAATTGTAAGTATTGGCATTGTATTGGCAGGAAGGACTGTAACGTAAACGTTGTAAACGTTAAACGGCCCATCCTGTGGATAACTAACGTAGCCGTTTCTGACAGCCACAAGTGGTTGTCTTTATTCGCTCTACCTTCCGTCCTAACCCAGTTCATGTGATAATGGAGATGTGAAGGAACAATAAGCTCTTTAAAGTGTTTTGTGGCTGTGTTATAACATGTTTATTTGTGTTATTACTGCTGCTATAAGCATTTAATTCTCCCCAAGCAAATGAAAATCTATGTAGGCGTGGGCATGCTGCTCGATTGTGTAAAAAATCATCACCATTATTTTAGTTGATGTTGAGATCACGGCTATTCAACAAAATGCCTCACTGATTTACTTGCATTTATTGAACTTAAAGACTTCCATAACACTTGTATATACTAAACACACATTGAAAGGTATATTTTAGGATACAGATCATTGACCCTCACTGTTAAGCCTGGCCATCATTAGCGTGTTAATGCTTGTTATCACCACAGCCTGTATCTCCTTGATCATTCTGTCCCTCTGCTTTACTAACACGCCGCTGCCCTCCTCCCCAGTAGTGCTACACAGTCCTATTTTCTTCACAGTATAACGGTATTGTCAAGACATAGCAGTCCCCACCTCACCTATTTTGCAGCACACACAGCTTTTTCAGAGCTCTTGATGATGACCTTCTTCTTTATCTAGATGGTATGAAGCCCTGAGAAGAGGGGAGGAGCAGAGGAACTGGTCCTTTTAGAGAAATGATTCGGATTTGCCCTGTCTTATATCATTTAGAGCTGTATAACTGTTATATAGCCTCCTAGCACCTGATTCTGCATTATTCCACCTGTACGATGTCTGCTTGTGCTCCCCCTTTTTATGTCCTATTCGTTGAGTAAAGCGCACCCTCCCTCTCTTCTATAATAGCGGAGCGCTGGAATTAACTTGTTTATAAGTAGCTCAGATCAATGTGAAACAAAGTTTGGAAGCACAAGTAAGTTGCAGGGCGGCACTTGATTAATGGTGGAGGTTGTATCTTCAACACGTGCAACAGCACTACAAACAATCTGGTAGCCACAGGTGGAGAGAGGAGAGCAGAGAGGGGAGCAGGAGGAAGCAGGTCTGTGTATCCCTGAGTGACAAAATGAGCATGATGAGAGAGGCTGTCGTTATATTAACAGGCGTGTTTTTAGCAAACAAATAGGTAGGCTAAACATTTTTTTCCAACTTACTGTGTTTTTCAAAGAATTAAGAGTTTTTCGGTTCAAAGAGGTTTTAAGGTATGTAGATGTACGTGATGCAGATGTCAAATCATGGCTAAGTGTTTCTGGTAATCATGAGATCAATATCAGCAAAAATAATTGTGATTATTGTTATACCATTATAGAGCTGCCCTACAAAATCCTATTTGAAAGATGAATTGCCCAGCCCTACATGTGCGTCAACCCCTGTTAATTTTCTGATTTGTATTCACAGCTTGACAAACAGATGAGTGGTTTTCCATCACCAACCACTCAGAATGAAAGCACGAAATAAAGAGGAGGAACATTATCATCCTGCATATTTGGATTCTCAAATTTGACCACATCCTCAAGATCATCAAAAATGATACCTGGATTGATCACCCAGGAGTTACACCAGAAGCTTCTGGACCTCAAGAACTACCAAAACCGCACAAATGGAATGGAAGAGCTCAAATATGTCCTGTCAGATGTGGACATGAAATCAGTCCCTCCTGGCAGTATCGAGGAGTTAATTAATTTTCTGCCGCGGCTTCTTGATGATAGTAATTTCATAGTATTTTACAGCACCTTACAAGTTTTAAACCTAGTCATTCAGAAGCTAGATAGAGGTGTTGACAAATATTTCAAACAGATAGTCTTAGTGGCTCTTAAAGGCCTAGGCGACACTCGCACTATCCCAAGAAAAGAGTATATGAATGTGTTTCGCCAGCTGATGAAATCTGTACCACCGCAGCAAATACTGGATCTCGTCATTGGCAACTTGAAACATAAGAACTCAAGAGTCCGGGAAGATGTACTCCACATCATTATTGCAGGCCTGCTCACTTCTCCAAGGAAAGATTTCAACATACCCAGGCTTTGCTATGAGGTCGCACCATACCTGGCAGACAGCAAAAGGAGGGTTCGCCATGCTGCCCTGGAGCTGTTTGCTGTTTTTGACTTTTGCCTTGTAACAGGGATAACACAGCCTCTATTGAAAGCTGTGGTTGAACTGAATGAGGATGCAGAGGGTCTAACGGCAGCTGTACAGGCTAGACGAGCAAGACACATCCTCCCAACACTTTCCCCAGATTGGACAGTTCAGTATGGCCTGGTGATGCCAAAGCAAGGACACTGGTCATCCTTTCAGAATGGTTCTGCAGCTGACCTGGATTGGGTGATGAATGGAGGGCGGGCAAGCAGTGCAGTTTATAGCTATGGCAGCTTAGGATCTCTCACTGATGACATGCCCCTACAAAGAAGGATCATAAGTGCGAGTAAAGGGAAAAACAAGCTACCCTGGGAGATATCCAGCTCCTCATCCACAGATACCGACCAGCAGTGCAGCACCCCAAACGGAAAGATCTCTGAACAGGTGGGGTCCATTATCACTGTCTGCTTGCTATATTCTCATTTATCCTAAGTGATAATTGAATCACCTGGTGACCTTTCTTGAATTAGTTAGTGTTATTATTACTCCGTTTCTCTCTGTAAAAAGAAAATTGACACAGTCTAGAAGAATATTCTGTCAACTGTAGCTGTATTTACTCTGGTGTATGACAGAGATTTGCCCTTTTAGGTGTTATTGATTGACATAAATGAAGCAGTTACTGAGGTAAAAAGCAATGTCCCCTCCCTAATTTTACCTAAATATCCTCTTTAAAATCAAAAGCATTGAGAGTTTAATCAGCCATTTGTTGACTCCCTGTTCTGAGCTTTTAGAGGCTCAAGAGTGCTTTTCATATTGACTTTGAAGTTACAGAGCATCTCAATGGCCATGCTGATTTGCTCCCAATCAGTGAGTAAGTGTCATCCATGCACGGAGCACAAAAGGAGTGGCTATTTTTGTGTGCATGCTTTTTCTGTCTCCCAGTAGTCTTCTTATAAAGCTTTGACTTGATGAAAATTCATCCATCTTCAGAAATCTACAATGTAGACCATCTGTTAACAGACAGAATTTTGAAGCTGACATGCTGATCAGACCAAAAACACTGAAAAGGCTTGGGGGCGGTATTTCTCTTTCCTTTCTATTAAGAGTGCTGTCTCATGAAGAAATGTGGATTGAGCAAAATAGAGATAGAAATTACACTTCAGCACTCTGCGATAACCATCTTTTCAATCAAACTCTGCTCATGTGTCATCAGTGCATCCTTAGACACATTCATACATAGGAACATACGTCTCAGAATCTTGCAATGAAATTAGTCTACCTGCATTGTCAAAAAATTGCTTCTTAGTTCATTATAAAGTAAAGAATATGCAGATTGTTTTAAATCTTCCTGATAGACATACAACACATGACTCATTTCTGTAATCTTTAAAAGAATCAACATCAACCCGTCAAATCATGACATCACAGGATGAATTGTTAGGTAAAATTATTTTTGTTATTAGCTCACAAACTTGATAATTTCTTATAAATTTGTAATTGTCTGGCTTTGTTTCGTGAGGTATTAAATGACCAGTTTTGTTCCCAAAAATACAATTCAGCCATTGCCTCCATTTGAATCACCGTCTGTTTACAGCACTGTTTCCCAGCAACCCCATTAGCGCACAGTGCACTAACTAAAGGGGATGTGAAATGTAATTGGTAGTATCACAGGGTTAGCCTGTAAAACATGGTTTGTTTAGAGCTGTGATGTTGATTGCTTTCACACTAAGTGCTCCTCAATGATTGTTGTTCAGATTGGAGGCAGTGGGACCAACCTTGGTCCCTCTCTCTCTATCGAAGGCTGAGTTTGATGCACTGATGCAAAATTCTGTGTCATATTTGTCTCTTTGTTTATTGTTTATCAAAATTTCACAGGTTGCAGCTCGAGCGTTAAACTTTAATGAGAACATTAGACGTTGTGAACATTCTGTGAAGTCTGTTTACAGTAGCAAAAGGTCCACTGAATGCCAGTGAACCTTGTCTGGGCTGGCCAAGTATCTGCTTCATCCCTTTGTTCAGTTTGGCGGATGGAATTACACATACACTTATGTTGTTTACACAAGCTTTTTGAACTTCATACTTGATTGTTTCTGTTTAAGGAAATGATCCTCTGCCCACTTACAGGTTGGCACTGAGGATTTCCCCACTCTGTCCAGGAAGCACAGTCCAGAGACCTACGTACCCAGTTTCAGTAAGTTTGTTTTCTCCCCTCAGTCAGCCTCAGACATGCTTTCATTCTATATGAGGTGTTAAATACAGTTGTGGTTGCATTAGTCCACTTCAGATGGACTCAAATTAGAGCAGATTCAAATTGGATTACCTGGCTGAGCGAGAGGAGTCACTGTGCCACATGTCAGTAAAAGTCCTCGAAGTAGAAGCTTCAAAAATGTCATAAAAGTCTCACAGCTACTCAAAAGAGAGAGTTACATTGCATCACACACAAAAGCTATGTTTTCTAGACTCTAGCCTGCTTTAATGTTGTGAACATTGTTATTGAGGCATGTTTAAAAAGAGTTGCTAAACTTCATATTCTTATTGTAAATTACTTGTGTGCTCTCCACAAAACTTTCCCCTTCTTACTCTCAGTGGACATTTGTAGTCCATGTCACAGTGAGACATCTTTATTGGAAAAGCTTTATTCACCCTTAAATGTTACTCAAGCTTACATGAGCAAGAAAATGTTGTACAATGAGAGCTCCACTATACTGACTATAGACGATTGCTTCCGTTGCAAGAAGGCTCTGCAGCTGACTGTCACAGAAATTCAAACCAGGTGTTTGTTTTGCGGTAAATGAGGCAGCAGATTCTGGGTTTATAGCTGCTGCTCAAGTTGAAAAAATGACCTGCCAACAGCTCCACCCTAGTTGTAGCAGCTTCTCTTTGAACATTCTTTTTTAATCTTTCTTTTCCAACATGTTGGAAAAGAAAGATTGTGTTCATCAGCTCAGTGACTTTTCCAATAGATTTCACCCCATGGTCCCACAGGCTGTTTGAATTCCACGTCTTAACACGGGATTAGACTCTCTTTAATTGCTGCTATTGCAATCGTGGCACATGCTCCTGATCCTGTAAGGACTTCAAATAAAGGACTTGTGCAAACTGCTCTTTTACATACTCAGTAGAATTCACAAAATTGTATTCAGTTGTGTTATGTTATTCTTTAGTGTCTAGTTTTTGTTGCTGCAGCCTTAATACTTGGTAGCCTTTGGGTTCACAGTCACTGTTTAACAAAGCAGATTATCAATAAAGTCCTTTTTTTTTTAAATCATGTGGGGAGGCTGCGACTCAGTGGTACCAGCAGTAGTATCCCGACTGGAGGGTCTGTGGTTTCAGTCCCAGGTTCCACCCTGTCCATGGGCAAAATGCTTGAGCCCAACATGCCCCAGCTGGCTGTGCCCAGTGGTGTGTGAATGGGATTAGTCAAAAAAACCTGATGGCCTCTATACATAGCAGCCTCTGCTATCAGCTGTGTGGATGTGCTGTGAATGGATAAATGGGACATGTGATGTTAAAGCGCTTTAAGTGGTTAGAAGACTAGAGAAAAAGCTATATAAACACAGTCCATTTACCATTCATTATATATCTGGTCAAGAAATTACTCATAAGGAAAAGTGACAAAATAAAGAGAGAGGGGAAAAACTAATTGAAGTGACAGTAATTATTTAAGTAATAATACTTAAAGAGTAACTCTCTGAAAATGTTATTTTTAAACCATTCAGAAAGGTAAAAACTGTTGAGTAACAATATAATCATCACCACGGTAACAAACATGTTATGGTACCCTCCTGGGTTTTTCACTCAAAAAAGTTTCTGGTCATGTAGGGTTTTCAGTGTTGTGCAACCATGTCAGGCTTATAAGGCTAATACCTTCCAACCAGGTACTGCAGAACCTCAGAGGCCACAATCCCTCCAAAGAAGAGTGTCTCCTGCTCGCCTCAGAAGAAGTGGGAGCCTCAACTTGGACCCAGACATATTTAAAACCACCTTCTCTGACCAGGATGTTGGTGAGGACTCCCTACTTCAATATGATCAGACACAGTGTCCACTTCTCACATTGGTTTTTTCGTGTTTCCTTACTTGTGAACACCTTGTCTCACAACAGCCCCCAAAGGACGCACTCTCTCAAGGAACCCGAGTGTTGAGCGTAAATTTTCCCTCCCCTCAAACTCCAGCATATCAGGCTCCTTCCTACTGCCCTCCTACCCGCTGGCTACACTCCCAGGAGGCATGCTTACTCCAACACCGTCCCGCCGCCATGCAGACTCCTCCCTCTCGATGTCCAACACTTGGCCCAACAAGAAAGAGAGCAGCCCTCACCAGCGGGACACCAGCCCCAGGAGAGACACAGCAAGTGCAGGTAAAGGCACCACGCTAGGACATGTGACTGAATGTTAAAATGCTGTGGCAGCTCTGTATCAGCAGATTTTTTGTCGTCGACTTTTCCCGCACCTTTTAGATGACCATCCCTCTAGCAGGCGCCCTTCACGGCCTCTCCGTTCCACTTCATCGTTTCACCCGGTACTGACCAGCCCAAGGACTACCTTGTCTTTCTCGCCAGTCATCCCTACAGCAGAGCAGGTACAGCCACAACGAAGACAGAGATCCATTTCTTCAGGCAGCCTTCATAAGCTGCAAGACAGAGATAATGAGCTGGACCCTGACCAGAGCAGTCCAGCACAAGATCTTCAAGAGGATGATCCTTTGGATATGAAAGAGGTGAATGAAAAGTTCTTTTTTTTAGCCTGAAAAGACTTTATTAAGATCTATTTTGGGCCCCCAGTAGCTCCCTAGTAGGGTCCTTAAGATATAATACTGAATACACAAAGGCACAACCAGCTACTCCAAAGACATATTTGCCTTTCTGTGTTGCAGATGCTGAACTCTTTGCGCTCACTGCGCAACAGTGCAGCCAAAAAGAGGGCCAAAGTGAGCCTTAGTAGTTCAGATCAAGACCCAGACAGCCCTGACTCAGCTACAAGGCTAGACCTGGGTCTTGAGTCCCCTTCTCACATTTCTCCAATGCTTTCTGAGAAAGACAGCAGAGTGAGTGATGAAAGACTTCAACTCCAACTTGACTCCAACTTTAATGGCATCAAAACCAGGTAAGGAAGCCTCATTGTACTGAATCCTTGATTTCACACACACATAGTGATGAAATTGTACGGTGTATGTCTCTCCTGTAGCCTGTATCATCAAATGAGATGTTGATGCATCTTCATTAATCAGTAAGGACATTAGGCATGTGTTGCTCTATGGGAGTGTTAAAATAGTCTCAGCTTTACTTTAAAACATGTTTTCAAAATGAAGACCATTGAGTTGATTCTTTGGGTTTTATTTGTGGTGAGCTAGTTCTTGTTCTTGTTCATGTGTTTCTGTTAAATGATTTAATGTTGTCACAGACCTGTTGACATGTTAAAACCTGGTAACAAGGCACCCATGTATGTTTGACACAGTGTTGAACAGTGCTAAGCCGTTCCAGCATAACTTCTCGCTTGTCAAATCTGTCGACAGCCCCAGAAACTCCACCTCTCCAGGAATGAAACCTCGCATCGCACGAGTGCCTTCTGCAAAACTGAGGTCTTCAGTTTCCGCTGACTTCCTCAGCCTCCAAGGTGAGGAAAAGCTTGATGTTTTTTTTTGCCTAACCCTTTTCTATTGATAAGTCTGGTTCTTAATGTTGCTGTTTTTTTCTCCCTAAGGATTGCCAGAAAGAAATGATTTGTTGTCTGAGGTGGGTGTAGTTGGACAGAGAGTCACTTACTCCAATGGAGTGATCAAATCTGAAGAAGAGATAACAGGACTATCTCCACCATTAATCAAAGCTTCTGTCCATGGATCAGTCAGAGCTCCAAAGCCTGCCAAAGGTCAGGCAGCGTCAATAACAAACAGATCAGAGTTATATTTTTGTCATTGTCGTTTTCCAGCAAAGCACCTTTGTCTTTATGATTAAATCATTAGTAATTTCTTTCTTACTCTTAGGATCTCAGAGCCACAGCAGCAGAAACTCACCTGCCACAGATATGCCTGAAGGAGTCATTGGAAGAGGTCAGTCTGCGTGGACCTACTTTTCTATATAAGAAACATGACTGATTGTGAAATTCATTCCTCTGCCAAACCGTTTTAGCCGGATGCTTTTCACAGCAGATTGCAGGGATTCCCTCAGAAGCACAGCCAAAGTTTCAGTGGGATTTCTTTTCTCATAATCCTCTTGCCAAATAAAAGACATTTTCAAAAACAGGCTGATTGTCCGCTGTGAAAAATTCTGAGCTTGAGCAGGTTTTCTTGTTCAACTCTCAGTTAATACATTGAAGTGCTCTTCAAACAAATTCCTCGTTTCCTAGGTATGTTTGGCACTGCAGTATCCTCTACCCGTCCAGGAGCTGCCTTGACACTTGAGCAGGGGGCCAAATCCCCCACTGATCCTTCAGCAGGCATCTACAGTCATGTTTACTTAGACAGTGATGACAGCCCCCGTCCAGATGAGGTTAAGGTAAGTTGAACTGAATCCAGTAATAAATCATAGAGAATTATAACCCAGAGTTTCCACTTAAGTCCTACCTGGAGCTTTCCCTACCTGTGAATGTCCAGCAGAGGGTGAGATATACAAGGTTTGGCCGGGAAAGGATGCAGCATCAGGGTCTGGAACAGCAAGAGGGACAGCTCAGTCAAGAGGACCAGACACGGGAAAAGATTCGCAGTCGGGTCAAACAGATGCTCTCTGACTCACCCATGGAGGAGAACCGAGCATCGATCATCAAAGGCAAGAGAGAGACAAAAACTCAAGAAACGCTTACCACTGTTCATCTAGCTCAAATGTATATGTCCTCTCACTATGGAGTATAAGTTAGAGTTTCACATGGTTTATATATATTTTGTTCTGCCTTCTATAAATGATGAAAGACTTGTCCTTTAAACAGCACACTAAGTTGAACATAAGATCTCCTGTGCTTCATTTTATCTTCATGCCATTCATAGAAATGAATCAATAATTAATGCAATGTTGACTTTCTTCAATACAGATCGGCATCTCAATGGCAGCACATTACCCACCACCAAAGGAGACCCTCTCTCTGATGAGTCTCTTATCAGCCCCACCAGTCCTACTAGCCCGCCAGGACCTCAGAGTCCCCTCAAGTGCTTCACTCCACCTCACCAGCCTAGCCCCCCCACGGTACCCCCCAACCCTAAAAACATGTCACGTGTTAGGAGGGCTCCCAGCCTCAGCAGGACAAGACCATCGCTGTCCCACAGCTCAGGTTTGTGGATTTAGATGTCTACCCTAACAGACCCAATCACGGCCTCACCAGAAATACACCTGCACATTTAGACAACAGAAGCGGTGTGCTGCTCCATTTATTCAGACAAGTCCAGGATCTTTAAACACAAAATTCAAAGGGTTATTAAAAGGGATGTTGTTGCATGGTAGGTTGTTAGAATTGATATTCAGACTCTACTTTAACAGAATCCCAACAGGATCAGAGCAACCAGTGGTCTGGTTCCAGAGTGACCCTGTGAAATGGTGACTTGCATCCACGTATCAGTGGTTGCTGCAGATACACATGAGGAGTCTTTGCTGTTGCCCCCTACATCACTTCTTTATGATAATGTCAAAATATGCTCATTGGTATGTCTTTAAAAGATCATTAAAAGTCACCAGTTAGCAGTGTCAGTTCATATTGAAACACTGACAGCATCTATGGCTGCACTCTGTTTAACATGTCTACCAGGTTTAACTAGTACATATGAATAAACTAACTGTTAACATTTCAATCCTGATTTTCACTGAGTGTAATTAATGAAATTTAGTTGGTTTGAACCATGAGACGACATGATCACAGAGATAAGACGAAAAGGACATAATATAGAGAAATAAGCCAATAAGTGAAATAAAACAGAGGCTGAACTTATGATCCCATCACAACTATATCACCAACAAATAACTATGGTGAGATGAGCCCTCATTGCTTACAAACAGTGAAGGGATCTATAGTCTCCTGTTCAAACATCAAAAATGTCGCTGTGTATCTGTATTATGTTGCCATGGATCACCTGTGTTGGTCTGACACTGGCTTACAATTGAGCTGTATTCCACTGCATTATAAATAGATGGCACATTGCTTTCACAGGTGTTTGTTTATAGAAAATGCTGCATATTAATTAGACTGTCAGAGCAATAGAGCACAGTTGATGTTTGCTTGGGGATATGTGCCACAATCCTCTGTTTTGACAACCCACTGCTAATGCGCTGCCACCCACTCAGGCTGCTTGTTTTTACACTGATAGAGATGTAACATGAGACCGAACCTGAATCTGTGTGTCTGTTTTGTTGTGTAATGTCTTTTCAGATGAGTTATCTCCCTGTGCTGCGGGCCAAAGAAAAAATCTCTCTGATCCTCAAGAGCTGTGTCCTTTCTCCAAGCCAGACCTGGCGCTGACACAGAGCTTCAACCTGCTGAACTCTGAGGACTGGTGAGAAACACCTGCATGTTGATATCTGTCTCTGTTGCATACGTCATACAGAAGGGGAACCATATTGTTAAATCTGTGCAGAGAGATCTACTAAATCTACTCACATCGATTCTTTTCTCTAGGGAGAAGAAGATAGAGGGTCTGACATTCCTGCGTAGTCTGGCTCACTACCACTCAGCCACACTTCTGGGCAGGCTTCATGAAATCTGCCTGTGTCTTACTCAAGAGGTAGTGTGTTTTATAACACTCCCCTTTGGATGTTGAAATGATGCAGTTTTTAATAAGGTAGTTATAATATCTGTGTCATTCAGGTGAAGAACCTGCGATCAGGTGTGTCCAGAGTGGCGATATGTACTCTGGGTGACCTGTACACTCACCTACAGAAGGCTATGGACCAGGAGCTGGAGGGGACGGTCAAAGTTTTACTGCAGAAAGCTGGGGAGACTAACGCCTTCATTAGGCAGGATGTTGACGCCGCTCTGGACTGCATGACCCAGCACTGCACACCCGCCCGTAGTATTAACGCATTACTGTCGGGGGGACTCAGGTCAGTATATGCAGCAGGTCTACACACGCACAAGCACACACACATGCAGTGAAGTGTTGTTTGGGTATTTTTGCTCACATGGAACCGAAAACTTTTGAACAGAGTCAAAATGACATTTGTGTACTGTATTGTTTCCCCCCATATGTGTAGCCACCTTAATGCAGTGGTGAGAAAATGCACAGCTCAGCATCTGGCTAATCTGGTGGATAAGGTTGGTGCTGTTCGTCTTTTGTCTGGAGCTAAAGATCTCACTGACAGAGTCTTACCTGCAGTCACCAAACTTGCTCAAGACTCCTCACAGGAAGCAAGGTAAGGGAGTATTTGAAATTGATTCCTTCCCCGACACTTCCATTGGGCTTAAACCTCGCAGGTTGAATGAGAACGTTTTCCTGAGATTCTTATTGGTTTGAATTTTAGGTTCCTTGTGTATAAATTGTTGAGCATTGGTGACATATACAGAGAGTTTTTTCCTTAACTTGTAGCCATGAAGACCGCAGCCTCTGTACATGGGGTTTTGTGGCTTGACAAGGCCAAACCTGTGTTTAGAATTTTTTGGCTTATCGTCAGTAAACTACCTCACTTTCACTTTATTTCAAACCCATAGGCCTATACCAGCAAAAGAAAACGCATTGCACATAAACTTGTGTGACAAATTTATTGTTGCTGGTATTGTTGCAGTGACCAAATCAGAAACTACAAATCGCAGAAGACAAAGGTTCCCTGCAGTGATTTGGTTCTCACATTTTTTACTGTTTCAATCCACAGGTACTTTGGGCGCCGAATGCTGCTGTCTCTGTCATCTCACCCTGACTTTGACGAGATCCTGGAGAGATATATCCCAAACAAAGACCTGCAAGCTGTCAGAGACACTGTCTTTACTCTTAAAACAAAGGTGCAGCTTTTGTCTTTGATATTTTGATGTTCTTACTAAAGTTTGAACTGCAATCTAACCTGGAGATCATGGGCGTTTGTTTTTTAGGGTCTTGGTGAGATGCTCCAAGACACCCAGTCAGCCAGGAGGAGACGTTCTCTCCAAGGCCATGGTACAGTCAGAGCTTCATCTCTTACTAGAGAGCCACTTACTAACAGGTAGGGGTGAAATCCAACCAGTTCAGCGCTATTTACCAAAGCCAGACTACATGATCTTTCAGTCTGTCACCACAGTGTCAGATTTAGTGGTCTCAGAGCCGTAAAACCATGATGCAGAAATGACAGACTACATAATAGTACACAACCCAATGTTATGATCACCTTGATTCAGTTGGAATGAAGACTGACTGAGTTAGACAGCACCTTAAAAAGCTAACGGCAGTATCTCACCACGTTGTTAAAGTGCATGTTCCTTTTACCCCCCAACATTTCTTCTTTACGTCTTTACTTCCTACAACTGTCAGATCGGGCTGTAAACATGCTTAAATCGTGTAGTCTTATCCACGTATTAAACAAACTATATACTAATACACGTATATTGCAAATAAAAATGAGATGCACATTTTTCATACCATTATTAAGTTTACTATTTCATGTTTGTTGTATTTTCTACAGTGAGTCAAACAGCCATTACAGCTGCAGATCACAGACCCAGACTATCGCAGACAAGAGTGAATACATCAAGCAGATCTCGGGTCTGCTGGGTTCAAAGGACTTCAGAGAGAGGATCAGGGGAATTGACCAGCTAATATCTGACTGCCAGAACAACCCCAACCTGGTCATCAATTGTATTTTTCCGGTGAGTATAACCTTTTATAACCCAAGCCTGTCAATGGTTAGTTTTCTCTTAATGCACCTTGTCACAGTTGTCAGTTGTCCTCCAACCATATCCAGTGATGTTTGATCACCTTTTTTCTACCCTCAGGTGTTTGATGCTTTCAAGGCCAGGCTGCAGGAGTCCAACAGTAAGGTCAACCTGCATGCACTCGAGTCTCTACAGGAAATCGTCCATTTGTTAAAGGATAACTTGTCCCAAGTGGTCAACATCCTGGTACCTGCGATTGTAGACAATCACCTCAACTCTAAGAACAACACCATCCACTCTGCTGCTATTGGAGCACTTAACGCACTTATGTCAAATCTAGGTAGTCCTTCAGTACAGCTTCTCTTGATAAATTGAAACCAGTGGAATAATTCACTATTTAACTTGTGATCCTGTTTGTTTCCATGATAGATAATCTACTCCTTCTTCAGCCATTCTGCACCAAGGCCCAGTTTTTAAATGGCAAAGCAAAAGTGGATCTCATTGAGAAGGTTGCCGGTATGTTCCTCATACAGATTCATACAGATCAGTTATAAATACCAAGTCACTGCTTTGAATTTCAATTTCCCTCCAGGGATCAATAAAGTTCTTCTTCTTTTGATCGGCTTATTTCTCTGACTGCCTCCCGTTTCTCCACCCTTTTTATGTTCAGACCTCGTGACAGAGCTCTATCCTCGCAAGCCCCAGATGGTGGAGCAGAAAGTGCTGCCCTTGTTGTGGCACCTCCTGGGCACCTCTACCCACAGCGGCACCATTCGTGGCCGGGGCGGCACCGTGAGGGGTGCTACTGCCAACCTGTGCCAAGCCCTTTACACTCAGATGGGATCCACCCTGACAGAGTGCGCTGCCTCCCAGCCTGCCAGTGTCCATAGAGGTTTAAATGAGGTTCTTAGGAGCCTATCTTAAAAATAAAAGAGGATCCAAACACATCCAGCTGTTGGAGAAATATTTACACTGACCTTACTTGAAGACAGAGATGTTGTACATTTCTAATAGTGCCTGCACTTTTATACAAATACAGAGAAAGTCCTTAAAAAGTAGGAGCTCTTATTCTTATCTCAGTGAGATTTCCTCTGGTACAGACGTATGGACGATTTCAACATACTGACATCAGGTCTTACACACACTCAACCTGCTCTCTTTGCACTTTGAAAAGGTAGCTCATTATCATGATTGGCCTTTAACATTTCAGCATCTTGTGATTGTCATTGCTTTTTTCAGAATCTAAACATGTACTGTAGACAAATCAGAGACACTTTTGCAGAATGTATAATGGAAATGCACAAAAAGACAGGGACCTGAAAGGTGTATATTTTTGCTGTTTCATCAAATGTGATGTGATATTTTCAAATTGTCTCATGTAATTGAAAATTGTGATTTGAAACTAACAAGAAAAGTATGGAATACTTTTGTACAGCTCAAATGTGTATTTGCACAGTATTAGCTTGATCTTTATGCTGTTTGATGGTACAGTTTATAATTTATCTATTGTGTAGCGGTTTTGAAGTCCTGTTAATGATGTGCTGAGTTGGTATAGTCTTTTTTTGCATGACCAAAATTTACTGGCAGGATCAAAACTATGTATATTTTTGCTATGGAAGTATAAATATATGTACACTGATGCCTGGATCAAGATTGGTTCTGGTCCGTTTTCCTGGATTAGGACGGTGTTTGAGGGATGTATTCGGCTTTACTCCAGCAGTTGCCTGATAAACAGGGAAGGCCCTGGTCTGATTGTGTCTCAGTATAGTGCCAGTCTTCAAGTAGCCTTTAATCTCATCTATTAAATTATATATATATATATAAACTTGTTTGTGAACAAGGCAAAGACAGAGTGATATATTAATAAAGTGTTTTATTTCTGTAAGATTAACTCCAAGGTGTCTCATTCTGATTTGATCAGATATGAAAACTGTACCACAAGATAAAGTCTAGTCTGCATCAGCTTTGACAGCCTCAAATTTAACGATTTAGTGAATGCAAGCCATGAAGTACACAAAGTGAGCATGTTGAATTTTGAAATGGTTTATTAATGGGCACAGTCACTGGAAACACAAGATCTTGTATCTCTGATGCTTTGGCTGAATTGAAGCTTGTAGAGGACAGTTTTTTATTGAAGCACAGCTCTCAAGTCAAACAACAAAAGACAGCTGACAGAGTAAGAGCTGCAAAAAGGAGCTGATTTAAAGTTTACCTTAACTTATTTGCAAATAATACGTTTCTCTGCACAGTGAATATCCTTTGTTTGAGACTGCTGGATGGCAATTCTAGTCATTTCTGTTTCATAGACCAAAGTAGATCAATTAATGAGGAAAACAACCAGCAGGTGAATTAATTGTGACAGTTTGAACCAGTCATAGCCCTACTGAGAAGGATTTGTGAGCTACCAGAGCAGGAGATGTTTAAAGTATCTGCAGAGGTGCTCCAACTAAAGGCTTTAGAAAAGAGGTAGGCTTAGCAAGCAGTATTACAACTCCCACTATTAGAGTATGAAATGCACCAATGATTTGAAATGCTTCCTTTTTTTCATATTGATCACTTGGATCACTTAATTTGATTGTCAGGGATTGTGTTATTGTGTTTTACAGTCAAGAGGCATCACTGACTCATTTGGAAAAGAATAACCTCTAAATTTTGAATTAAGAAAGTAGCTGCCATCTTGAAATGTCCCTCTGTAGAAATTGATGCCAGCTGCATTACTCCGTGAATGTGCTGTCCAACACAGTGAGATAGGACACAGTGAATGCTTTCTTGTGTTGAACTGAACAGACTCCCTGTGTTTGTCATGTTGTAACAGGAAGTAATTTTACAGCATTTCAGCAGCGGGGTGGACTTGCTTGTGCTTGAGGGGTGCTGCTAACGAGCCTTCTTTACAAAATAAAAGCCTTAAAGCAATCCTAACAAAAAGGCTTCCAGCTACTTTAAACCACCAGTGTCAACAAATACAGTAGCTTTACAACACATTGGCAATATATTTATAAAATATTTGACTCATGAGTTATTGAAACATACATTAGATCTAGTCAAATAGTCCCTTTAAAATGCACTGTTTTTATAAAGGTTCACCCACTTTGAACTAATCCAGTCTGTTTCCCAGTATTAAACTTTCAATGGGAAGAGAGTTGTGTATAAAACAAGGGAGTGTATTCAGAGTCATAGCAAAAGTGAAAACTCCCAGTAAAATTCAAGGTTAACCACAGTGGTGTTCAAATATGTTTGCTACTCAAGTCTGTCTATAATTTCTTATCTTTCCCAAAAGAGAAACAATCTTTGTGAAATTACACTTAAGACCAAGCGTATAAAATGAAACAATTTAAATCTTTAAACTGCCGAGAAACGCGTTTTTTTGTGATCAACACAAACAGGACCAAAAACTCACACATGGGTTCAATTATTTGTTATTGAATGATGTAACCATAAATCAGCGCCAAGGACTGTCTGAAAATTCAAACACACTTCCCCTCGAACAGCACCTTTTAATAAACCCTTTGACCATTGTGCCATGAATGTGAGGTTTTTCATTTTGGTTGAGTGTTCATTAAATGTTCTGCTGCTTTTGACTCACTGCATTGTTCCCTCAGCTTCACTGACCAAATGGAAAAAATAGGCCCTCCTCCCGTGGAATTTTCCGCTCTGTTACTAAGGCAGCTGTATTAATGCCACGGAAACCTGGACTGAAAAGATGTTGCGAGAAGATCATGGTCATCCGTCGTCCTCTGCGCCTCACTTTGTCAGGGTCCGGCTGTCTTGGGCAGGTCCTGGTTCTCAGCCAAATGGAGCTTTTGTCTGGAAACAGACACATTAAGGATTCACGCAGAGAGACTCCTGAATGAAAACAGATCATTTAAATCTGGCGTCTGCACCTGGAGTGCTTTGTGATACCCATAAATAAACAGTTATTTGATTTGGAAAGGATACATCGAGGTGCTGAGCTCTTCCAGCTGCAAGATAAAAAAGGATGAGAGCACAGCAGAGCCATTTAAAAACAGAGAGAGATATGGCAGTAGAAGGGACTAATCATATTACATAACAGCCTGTGTGTCAGATCAATATTTGAATCACATCCCTACCACTAGACTACACTGTTTACAAAGGCAAACTTCCTTTCATTTTCATGCAAAACAAAAGCACTTCACAGCCCATCTGCTCCAAGGAATGATTGCACACCTCTGCTGCAGTAAGAGAGTATTTCTGGCAGCAGAATCTGTGACAAGCTTGAGGCTTTTTCTCACCTCGCTAACAAATAACACTTCAGCTCCCCCATGGCCCACATACCAGCCCCAGTAACCAACCAGCAGCCACACAACATGGGAGGCAGCAACATATGGTTGTTGGACTGAAATCTACCTAAAATTTAAACTAACTTGAAAGTCAGCAGGACATATAACAAAATTTAAAAGGATAGATCAGTTGTTTTGGAGTGGGGATGTATGAGATACTTGTCAATAGTGTATAACCCAAAAAGGATCCCATCAGTATGGCTCTTTTTAGGCACAACCAACCAGAGAACTGGAATCAGAGCTAGGCTGTAGATCCCTGTAGATGGGCTCAAGTCAATCATTAAAGGGATATTCTGGCATGAAATTAAGGCTATGTTCACACCGCAGGTCAATTCCAATTTTTAACCATATGTGACACATATCTGATTTTTTTATGCAAGTGTGAACAGTGCAATTCAGATTTTTTCAAATCTGACCCAGGCCTCTTTTGTATGTAGATATAAATTGGATATGTATCCAATGTGACTGCAGTGTGGAAGCTCAGGCATGTTCATCCGACTTTTTCGTCATCAATATGCGACAAACGTCACCATTGTTCGACAACACAAACAGAGAAAGCAATCTGTGCTTTGTGCGCATGCAGGTCACTTCACAGACGCATTTTGTTCACATTAGATGCCGCATTCGTTGTTGTAATGTGAACGATCGCACAAAAAGATCAGATTTAACAAAAAATCCAAATTGTGCATCATAACCTGCAGTATGAACGCAGCGTTAGTTAGCGTAAGTTAGGGTCAAACACAAAGTAACACATGGTTAGACACCCCCTCGAGAGATGAATGTTGCCGACCCCTTGCTTCTCTAGTTAAACCAACTTTAGAAATGACTGCACAATAGCAATACACAGCGGTCTCAGGAGACACACATGGGAGACACACATCAACCTCAAAATGCCACTCTATAGCCACAAATAATGCTCAGAACAGCACCTAACTTCATCAACAGTACATATAGAGTCCCAGCCATAGCACTAGCCACCAAACATCTTTTTAGCTCTCTTCCAGCAGCCGCTTGTTTGTAGCTAGACCTCGGGCCAGTCCATTACAGATTGCTGTGGGGTGACGCAGCTCAAAGAAGAACATTTATGATCATTTCTCCTTGGAAATGCAATCAGACCGTGATGCTGAGGCAGAAGAACTACCATGTCTGCAGTGCAAAATGATTAATATGGTGATTATTACTTAAGGAAATGATAAAGTAATGATCATAAATGTTCTTCCTTTAGCTGCATCACCCCACCGTAGTCCGCTGTAGTCTGTAATGGACTCGCCCGAGGTCTGTGTTTAGCCTCTTTGCTAAAGAAATTAGACAAAGCTAAAAAGATGTTTGGTGGCTAGAACTATGGCTGGGACCCTATATGTCCTGTTGATGAAGTTAGGTGCTGCTCTGAGCATTATTTGTGGCCATAGAGTGGCGTTTTGGTTGAGGTTTATTTATGGCTCCTCAGACCGCTGTGTATTGCTATCATGCAGTTGTAACTAAAGTTGGTATAACTAGAGAAGCAATCGGTTGGCAACATCCATCTCTGGAGGGGGTGTCCAACTCGGTGTTACGGTGTATTTGACCCTAAATTAATTATTATTTCAGTTTTTCCCCAGCAAAAAATAACAATTATGCACCCAAATTCCTTAGATTTAGGTCTGAGTTTTCACATACAAAATTTAATTTGGTTTGGTTTGTGCTTACATTACATAGCAGATGCTCCAGGTTGTGGTCTGAGGCACACTTCCTCTGATCTTCTGAAAGCTCCTCCACATGGCTGTCCAGGCTGAAGTGCAGTCGAGCCAGCTTCTCCTGCATCTCACGCACATGCTCCAACTGCTCAAAGGAGCACACCTTCCCTACAAATCAGAGAAAAGCAAACCCTCAGGTGAAACTTCTCCCAAGTCTGTGCTATCTATTTTGGTGGCACGGGGGATTACAGCAAAGTCAAAAGTATTTCCATGGCAACAGAGGAACTAAAATAGCACCATAGCTATTTGATTTCAGCCTGATTCATGTAACAAAGACACTTTTCAACCGGCTTTACTCTCAGCTTGTAATCGAATATTCCCTCAGTGGCCTCAGTGATCAAGGTTGTCTTACCAAAAGCCTGCAGTTTGCCTGAGTGGAAGTCGTTGAGGAGGTTGAGCAGGCCTCCCTCCATCTCCCTCACGTCTGATACGTCTGTGAGGAAGGAGTGCTGCAGAGGGGAAGACTGGACCACTTTACTGGGTCCTGCTGGCTGGGGAGCTCTGGGCTTCTCTCTGTGAGGCCTGAAGGAAACAGGAAAGGAGGCACAACATTTCTGACTTCTATCTAAGTCAGTCAAATGCTGTTTTGATTTTCATCATCAAGACAGTAAACATTTGTTGTTTCTATGTTGTTCCAATCTTTAGTAAAATACCCCCTGCCTCATCATCAGTTTCTCCTACCTCTGGCTTCTCACAGCCACTAAATGAGATGATGTAATTTCCACAGACTCTTATACAAAAGAGGTTAAAAAAAAAAGCCATAAAACCAACCAGACTTTAATCAAATTAGCTTCAGTGTTTTCCTGTTGCATGACCAAATACATGAAGAGACTAATTTAGAGGCTGATGGAAAAACTTTGTCCAGATATCCCTGTTTATCAAACATTACTAAATCGCTTTGGACTTCGTAACTCTATTACAACACTCTCTTACAACTCTACTACAGCTTTCAGGCAGAAGTAAAAAAAAATCACACTGAAAGCTATTTCAATGTAATTTAGAGGTAAATCTAATATTTCTTTGTCGATGCTTCAAAGTTTTTCGTCCCACATTTAAGAATAGCTCTGGGAATTAAACAAAATAAGCATGCTCCCATAATGGCTTTTGTTTCCTGTTTACTAAGACACAAACCTGGTGATCTTTGGTGGTGCTACGACTGCTGTAAACACCTCTTTAGGCTGCCCCGGTGCTCCTATGGACCTCTTATACTTGCCCCTGTTCTTGGGGGAGGGGGGCTGCGGCAGGCCGAGAGAGAAGGTGGCACTTTTGCTGGCAGGCAGGACAGAGAGTTTGCGGGGGTTCACGGGAGGAGGAGGAGGCTGGGGGAGAGACACCTTCGGGCTCCGCTTCTTGCGTTTGTCTTCCATAATTCTCTATTAAAGTTGAGTCTTGAAGGAGATAAGAGGGTACTGCCCCTGTGGTGTTCAGGATGTCCTGAATAAACAAAGGTAGGAAGTTAAAAAAACAGCAGTGTTTCCCCCCTCCCTGAGAAGAAAAGGATCTGTGGAGGAGCCTGACTCTGCCAAATCCAGTGCCGCAGCGCAGGATTCTGTGCTCTGCAATAAAAAAAACAGTCAGCACAGCTTTAATTTACTTTAACTGCATCTCCTCTATACCTGTTACAAGCCTAATTTAACTTGGTTTTTTGTGAAAAGTGATATTGGAGAAGAGCAGAACATGAATCTGCCTGCTAATAGGATTAAACTTTGATTTAAGTCTTTAGAAATAGATTACTTTTCTTCATCGCGATTCCCAGGTGTGAGAGTAGGAGTGAAACATCAGCCCAGAAAGATATTTTTAGACCTTCCTCCCTTCAGAGTGGAAAGACATTAGAGAATGAGTGTGAACAGATGATGGAGCACATTTCTGCCTTAAGGTCATTGGCCAGCCAAAGAAATCAAACACAATCCTCACAAATCTTCAAAAGCTCTCCCTAATGTATACATCAGTTAGCTTTTTCTCCCTGTTTTACAACAAGAGCACATGGAAGGAAAGAACACAAGTCTTAGAGGAGCATAGATAAATAGACCTAATGTCTAAGGCTCTTGGATAAATGGCTGAAGGAGAAAAATCAATAAACTTCACTATAACTGAGATTCATCTGTGTGGGATAGTGGAGCTTACCCTCAGCTATTTACACTGAGTGAGTAACACATTTACAGTAAGAGGCAGTTCTTTACATTAGGATAGCTCTTAAATAACAGGATATCTTAAGTTTGAGTTCATTTTCACGACCTTAATATGTAATTTGATCTCTTTTACTAGAATAAGATGTATTTTCTTTGAGGCTCTGATCAGTTTTTTATGATATTAGGACCTCAAATCTTAATGAGTTGTTGTTGATTATTATAGAAACAGAGCAAAACAGCATTTATAACATTACTGATGTCAGCACTGTGCCTTCGCCACATTATACAGGATGATATTGTTAAAATAACAGCTGTTATCTTCTCAACATTGCGCCAGCCTCCGTTCAAACTAGAATACAAAGATGGCCACTACAGTAATGCACAATAGCAACTTTATACGCTGAAATACCTCAGTATGTGGATTAAATCGGTTCTGTAGGAACTCGTACTTATGGCAGGCAGCGCGTTGTTTCATGTTTTTGTTGAATTCAGTGAGACAAACGTCGTGCATACAGATTTATCGTCTACATATGGCACAAATAAGACTTACCGCATCAATTACGCACCAGAGAGCAAACCAGCAACAGTCAACAGCCTCATTTTGCTTCTGTTTAGAGGGGTAGTATAGACTTCATAAGAATGACTCTTTGAAGACGAGGACAATAAAGGCTGTTTCCCGCAGCACCAATGCAAATTATCGACGAAATGTAAAGCGCGGCATCGATGCGCTCGGCTCGTGCGAATTCGGCTTTATCCTTCTTAAAGGGCCAGTCCTCTCTGGTGAGAGCCATCCCTGTTTACTCTGCAGTCTGTCAGACAGGTTCAATGAACAGGATGTTGTGCCCTGCAGCTCGGCACAGTTCACCTCATGATTATGACTAACATACTGTTTATACTGCTGTTTATCTCGTATCAGAGCAAGCAGAGTTCACGGAGGGATTGTCCGGACCTGCAAGTGAATACAAACGTTGGCATACAAACGTGCCACAAGGGGACGCCAGTGTTTTTCTTTTGTGTTCCTTCCAACTTTATCACTTTAACAAAAAAAAAAATTGCTGAAAATTTAAAACACATACCAGGTATTACCTACCAGGTAATAAATATGACAAATAATTCCCCTTAAAAGTACATTTTTGTGGAATACAAAAAGAAAGAAAAAGATCACAACAATAATTGAACCATTCCTTTTCAGTGGGTCCTTACAGCATGGGCTTCAGACAAAGAAAAATTAAAAATAAATGTGTTTATTTCTCGTGTTAATATTTAACTACTTATTTGGGTGATGGGCATAATCTAAAAGCTTTTCTGCATTAGCTGTGTCTGGCGAGTACTATGACATTCATCATGGGGCTCACACTGAGACAGAAATGTATAATTAAATCCTTATTCTTGTTTTAAGAAAATAAAGAAAATAAACATTTTGATGTCAGCACCACACCAAAAAAAAAAAATAATAATGATTAAAAAAAATCGTGATGGGGGCATGTTTACCATTAAGCTGATTTAAAGATCATGCAGTCGTTTCTACAAGAGTTATGGCTTTTCTCATTGCAGTGCTTCTTGAAGGCTCAAGGTTCACAACCATCCAGTGTTTCCAGCCTTGTTGCCTTTTGTACAGCTTTCTCCAGATTCCCTGTATGCACTCTACGTGGTGAAATCTCCAATTTTATGTCAATTAACTTTGTTCCTAAATTTCCGATTTGTTTATGTAAGTTTTCAGAGTCCCAGCAATTATCTTTTGCGTCATGTACAATCGAATATTGATGCACAAATTATATACAAGCCATTGAAACCTGTTTTATCAATACTTAATACAGCATCCTGGCCTTTCTGTAATGAGGTTGTTACAGGTAATGTGGTAATAGGAGTACCTACGTCCTTATGGATTCAAAAAAGAACTGTATACTGGAAAAGTAACTTAACATTAAGATATGGACCCAAGCCGGACTCAGTGAAGGATGTGGTAGAGAGATCTACACAGAGGAAGGTGGAGACTATTCTTAAGAACATGGATCACCCACTTCACAACACCTTAATGGACCAAAGGGCCAATGGTGGTGGACGGCTCCTCTCTCTTCGCTGCAGGACAGAAAGATTCAGAAGATCTTTTGTACCAACAGCCATCAGGCTTTATAACTCTTGTGTAAATAGTAGATAACTTTTAGAGACACATTATGTGAGACAACAGACGATTGAATTTCCCTTCGGGGATTAATAAAGTTATTCTTATTCTTATGGTGCAACTTCTAGCAAGTTTTGAATTTTTTTAACACAAACGTTTGCAGATCTGAGTGTAAAACAAAAAAAATGAAGAACCAAGTAAAACAAGCGCAAACCTTTATAGTCATACAAAAATATTTCTTTTTATTATGGCAGATCAGAACAAATACAACACAAAATGCAGTTTGTAGAAAAAATACCAAGCTCTTTCGCATGTTTGTGTCATTCCAAAGTGAATATGATCAATAATAACTTAAGTCTAACTGACTTTCTGGTCCGATGAGCTGTTTGAGTACGAGTATGCCTTTCCGAGGACTATTCTGTCTCTGAGCAGCTTGAAGAAGGCATAATAGTTGCTGAAAAGAATCAGAGCCAGAGATATTGTCTGGTGCCACTTTTCAGAGCATATTAGCGAGTAGAGCTGGTAAAATATCATGGCCCCCTCCAGGATAATGAGTATGTTCAATATTCGTAAAGGCTTGTTGAAAAAGAACTGAAAGAGGAGGAGAGAAAACACACAGTTAATGGAGAAGCACCTTTTTTTTCCCGTTTTACAAATAGAGCCTACTTCTATCCATGTTCTGAAAATTTAACAGAAAAGTTTAGGTACTTACATAAAAGCGATAATGAGAGACGTCTGATGGAACTGCCACATTGTAGTGACCCATAGCCTTGTAGACGTTCTTATTATGTTTGACCAAGACTCCCTGTGGCCACATGTACTCTTCAGTCCATCTGGGCATTGAAAGATAGCAAATTGAGGTCAACATTGAGCTCATTTGAGAACAAACAAAATTCAGACTGCACTAATAAACTGCAGCGGAACATACGTGTGCTGGAGAACATTTGAGCAGAGTGAAGGGTCTACTTTCTGCCAGCAGCCCAGGTGAGCTGCAGCTTTGTGAAGCAGGTCACAGTATCGTGGTGGTAACAAGTGTCTCATGAGGATGACTGAAGTACTGACAGACACCAAGATGAAAAGCTCACAAGACCACCGCTTGTCTACATACTGTGTGCTCTAAAGGGGAGAACAAGCAAAATGAAGTTAGACTTCCGGAGGCATAGGGAAAGCATTAGCGTTGACAATGATGCATCTATATTTGACAGTTCTCTACCTTGACAAACCAAACAGGCACAAAGGCCACGTAATAAGCGCTGAGCATCGAGCTGACCAGCACCTCCTTCATCCTCCAGTTGAAGTCCATCTTGAGGTATTCTACCTCCTTACGGATGAGGTCTGGGGAGAGGCAGCAGGCGTGAGTCGGCATGGCCTGGATGCCGTACAGCTGACTGGTGTGCTGTTTCCACGTCTCTTTCAGCACAGTCAAGTAGTCCCGGCCCCGACCCACGCTGCCCACCTCTTTGGAGCCGATGCTGGCAATGGGAGAAAGAGGACCTACCCGCCGGAAGTCACAGCTCAGCCGGAAGAATGGAATATACATCCCAAATCTGCAAAAGTTAAAACAAAAGGAAAAACAGGCACAACAGTCCCTGCATCAACACCAGCTTGAAGGTTGTATTTATGTTCCTTGTGAGAGATTCAAACACAATATTTAACCTGCATGAAGTTATGAAATTGTCAAAGTATTGTATCAACTGCAGGTCATCAGTACAAATGTAAAACAAACATTTGAAATTAATGACTGGGACTTTGGATCTTACTGTGCACAGTGTATGAAACATGTGAACTGTTGTGAGTAAATCTGAGACTAGCAAAGGATCTAACACATTTGAGGGGACTCAGAAATCTGCTATTGCGCTAAAGCTTCTGAGTGAAATGCTTGTGTGTGGACGACTCTGATCTCCTAGAATACTCACGGGTAGCAGAGGAAGAGCAGGCTGAGGACAGAGTATGTCCTGAAGAGGTAAATGAGGGAGCGACACAGACTCCAGCCTGTCAGCGTTAGCACAGCAAACCGAGCCATCACAAGGAAAATCGAATGAGGAAATGATAGTTTCCCACTCTGTGATGCCTGGGGGAAGGAGGAGGGAACAAAAAGTCCCCAAAAGTCATTTTAAGTGATTTTTAACAGCAGCTGAGCTCCACACAGAAAAACAAAGGATTCATTTTAGAAACAAAACACAGTAAAAGAGCTACGTGTACTGAGGTACTACCAGGGTTATATAATACTTTATGGAGCCAACATATTACTTTCAGCATAAATCCTGCTTATATTTGAACACATTCATCAAATTCTGAGAAAATGACCATAATCCACCATATTCTAAAGCTTAATTCTGAAATTATAAGCCACAAATACATTCTTACCTCTTTAACAATCGCTGCTATTAACCTCCTCGCCAGTATGATGATTGTGAACACCAGCATGTTATAATCAATGAGGTGAAAGTTCTGTAAATAATAAAGCTGTATCAGGATTGCTGCTTCAAAAATTTTGATTTGTCAACATTAATGGGCAAGCATGTGCTGTTAGATATGCAATTAAGAAAGCAAAGGAGATGCAGTAGTGAATCATGTTACAATATCATATTTTATATATAATAACCAATTGATGAACTCACCAGTGATGTGTGTGAGGGGGGGTGTGACGGGGGGTACCACCACACAGTCTTGTAGATGTTGACATAATGGACAAACAGGGCGATGAGGTGGCAGCAGAACAGGTGCAGCTCAAACAGCACATTACGATCCATGGATAAGTCAGGGATCTTACAGTGCTTCAGAGGAACCACTGTTTGTGCAGCCAGAGGGGGGCTGGACATGCATGTTCCAGAGCCATTCCTGTAAAACAACAACATCATGTCGCATATTGATAATGTTAATATACATCTAAGTTGGACAAACCCACGTGAGAGTGTGTAGATGAGGGGGGAGACCAACCTTGTACGAGATCGCACTCCTGTGACCGGAGAGCTGGTTGAGTGGTTTCCATTGCTGACCGATCCTGGCTCACTGCTCAGTGGAGGTCTGCAGTAGGTAGTGCGGTTCGCCCCTCTCCTTCCACCGGCCATTGCAGACACACCCACGGCTCACTTCTCTGAGCTTTCTGCCTTGTTTTATGAGTCCTAGCCTATATCCTAATGGAAAAAAGGAACATCTCAGAAATGGAGAGCTGATCTGTGACATCCAACATATGTGCCATAAAACCTTACCTGCTGAGGATCTATGTATCAACACAGGTAACCAGAGAACAGTAAATGTCAACTAAACTACACACTTTACACGGCTGTAACTAAAGGCGTGATGCATGAAAACATAAACAAATACGTCTTTACAACCTTTTGTTGATATTGCCATTCAAAGCACGTGCACGGCGAAATTCCTGCAAAGAATTTCCCCCGAGTGGACATGCATCCCACGAAGACTATTCAACACGTTTATATGCTGCACAATATCCTGTAGTTTAATGCAGGTTTTTGCGGAAGTTGACATTACAAGCTAACCCAGTTGCTACAACATTTGCTTTCTTCTGGGTCAAAAATCTCGTCAGAGGCGTTTTATTTTCGGACATGAGGCATGAGGGAAACAACGTGGACCAATACAATGAGGGACGGACTGCGGTCTGTCCGCCAAGACCATGCTTGATTTAATACAAAGATCGAGGCCTAGGCTAGCTGAGTCTATGACTAGCTAGCGTCCAAACCAGCCTACCAAACAGGCTCGACAAGAAAAGGTGAGCTTACCAGTGCCAGAGTCTGCCGTGTGCTCTTGGGTGTTGCTCTGTAGCTTAGTTAACAAGTTAATGGAAACACATTTTCATCATATTCATTGAAGTATTAGCGTGTTTATCCCTCAGGTCGGCGGAGACAGTCATTGTTGATGTGAGCCTAGCCGCTGATGATAAACGGGAGCGCGGATGTGTTTGCGAGCAGTGGGAGGAGAATCTTTTAAAGAGATACTGCGACGGATTCACAGCAACAAGGAGGGCAATAATGACACTGGTCCTGTCTTTTTTCTTCTATTTTTTAAGGTTTATTAGTTAATAACTACACGTATGAAACTGAACAATTCCACACGTCTATATTAAGTCCTATGACGAGGTATAAAGTAAGCCTATCTGATGTCTACCATCAATTTTAGATAAAGGTTTACACAAAATGGAGGAATAAACTATTTGAAAATATCTGCCATGTCTTGGTATTAAAAAAATGGGTTGTCATAATTTCCCCGCTTATTTAGGCACTCCTTGTGTACTCAATAATTCTATATAAGCTTAGTTTCTTCTGGGCATGTAAAATTTACACCCAGAAACCGCATTTTTGCATCAAAACTTAAACAACCTCTAACATGACAGACACATTTCTTTAACCGATTTAATAATTTTTTATCCTTTTTTATGTTTAAACTAGCAATTATATCCACACAAAAAAAAAAAAATCTGACAGTAAAGCTTGTTTGTAATGCAATATTGTTTACATTTGTTGAAATGTAGTTGAGCCTTGGATACTGTACAGGCATTAAACTATAAGAATCCCCCAACACACAAACACAAATAAAAACACATTTCAGATTATTTTTTTATTCTCTTGTATAAAAAGGCAGTAAAAAATGTCAGTATAAAAACATTAAAAATATATACACTCAAATTAAAATCCAAAAAAATGCACTTTGCACCACTGCGAGCCAGTTTTCAGCAGTGTTTAAAGCCACACCCCCTCCCCTTTTAAAACAAATCCTTCAAGGAAAAACCGCCTCAGAGACACCAGAAGGCCTCTGTTCTTTCCAGGGACTTTGGACAGATCTGTTAAAGACAGAGAAAAAAAAAACACTTTATCTCGTGTCAGAGTGTACATTTACCAAAGTCCTTGGCATGGTCTCAACTTCTTACAAGAACTTAATTTTCTTTTGGTCTGAAGTTGGCAAAGCTGGGATCTCATTTTAAGAGATGAAACATATGGACACAGACGCTTATCTCATCACAGTGAATTTGTTTCCTGGCATTTAGAAAACAGATTAGTCTAAAAATAACATGTCATATCCACATGAATGAGGTACTTAATCTCTCTTTGGGCATACTGCTCATGATCCAACATCAAATTAACATTACATTAAAACAACCATTAACTGATTATGAAACAAAATAAATGCACTTTGACCAACACAGTCTCTATTGTATAAGATAAGTGAGACTCGCCTTATATTCCTGGAAGGTCGTAGTTCATTATTTTAAATGCACCTTTACAGTTCTGACAACCTATGAGAAGAGACAAAAGTGAGATTTTGGACACAAACAGTGCCTCTGTGTTCAGTGACAACACACATGCAGAATTTAATACTAGGAAGAAAAAAAAAAAATTATCATGCAACTCAAGCTGAAGAGTATTTGTCCCCCAATGGGATGTTTTAACGCTTTGAGTGCAACCTAAATTTTCATTGTCTAAATTTACAGTCATTATCAAGATGGAAATTTGTAAGTATTGAGTGAAATGAATGGACCATTATTTGATTTATTTGAGCAAGAGTTGCATCACAACCATTTCTGATTGTTTTTTTTACGGCTTATTTTGCTCGGTATATCTACTGATAGCATAATTTTGTACTACAATGTTTTTGATGTGTTTTGGGTGACTTGCATTACTTGATGTTTTGCACAGAAAACAAAACAAAAGAAATCTAACAAATGAGTGTTGGGGTTAGTTTTACCTTCTTGTGGCGATCTTTAGGCTTTTAGAATCCTCTCCTCTGCGATTTTTTTCTTTTATAAAAACCAGCCAGCATGACTTTGCATCAAAGTCAAGTAAGATCCCTGCAAGCTTGATTTGAAATACTGTTGAAATTCAGTTATTTCACGTTGTTGAAGATACATTGCTCTCGAGAGCTTGGATAAACTAAAGGTTAATGACAATACATGTTCAAGCACTATATCACTTTCAAGTAAAAGATATTTGGCAGCACATTATCTCAAGGAATGATGAGCTTTATTTGTTTTTGATGGTGGCATTACAGGTGTCATTAGGGTAAATTTTGCAGAGTGGATAAATTCACTGTAAAAGAAACACTGCTTTTGTTTTTGTCAGGCTGACGGATATACATACAGCTTTTTCAGGGTTGCTGAGAAACCACCGAGGACCACTTTCACAAAGTGAGGGCATTCCTTTGGTACAACAAAGGCAAAATACCATGTTTAGACTGGTTAAAAAGAAAACTAGAAACTTTATTGAAACACGCACTGCAGAAAGACATTTTGGGATATATTTAGTATCCTATTTAGCCAAAAGGTACACAAGCATTATGCATTTTAGAGACGGCACGGCTTAAAGCATACACAGTTGTTCTAAGATTATGTACAAGGTATTGTGTTGGCTACAGCTTTTCTCACATACAGTAAGGATTGATAATTCCTCTTCAGTAAAGGTTTTGCAGTAATGATTAGACAGAGAACATACCAATTGTAAAAGGTGACAAAATAGTCATTTTCCTTGTAAAATTTTGTAACATTTTACGAGATTCTGCAACTTCTTATAAAGACTATATTGTTATTAAAATGTAGATCAATCTATCACTTTTGTTTTAAATCAAAATAGCTCAGGGATGCATTTGAGTATGTAACTTAAGGATCTAATTATTGAGTTGGTGAGCATAAGTTTTTGCCAGTCAATAAAGATCTATTAAAAAATGAACTCTACATGAGAGGAGTTTATCGCCACAATCACAATTATTTTCAGTAACACTTAACTTAAGAAGCTAACCATCAAATATCACTAAAACATTGCTCTGGTTCCTTTTAGTTTGTGTCACTAAGACCAAAACTGCCATCAACGCAACTGAAACAAACATTAAATGGGAACAGGTAAACAACGAAAAATCCTTTCACGGTTCACCTCTGGCACTCTGACACATCCAACAAAAAAGCTTTTACCTAATTTTAAAAAACAAAATGATAAAATAAACAATAAAAAGGTGAACGAACAAGGAGGAAATTACTTTAGAAAAGTTCAGCGAGTTACAATCTTAGACAGTTGCCAAGGCAACTCTCTACCAGTAGCCGTTCAGTATCTTCCATATGGATGCTCTCTATAGGATCCCTTTGCCTGCCTGGACATCGGGGCCTTTCCTCCCCCACCAGAGTTGGACCATGAGCTGTCCCAGTCATCTTGAGCTGCAGGAGCAAGAAAAAACAAAACAAACAGTAAGTAAGGCATACAGGACTCAGGATTGTCTTTTACCAAAGATCAGCGTGAACACTGAAATTCAGTTCTTACCGTAAGACTCATATGAACCTTCCTGGGCCTCACCATGTCCATAGTCGTAATATTCAGTGTCCCTAAAGGCAGAAACACCTCGTGAATACAGAGTTTCGGAATAAAACAGAAACGGGTGAGTTACATTTTTCTGACTTACGCTGGTGCAGATTGCTGGTTATAATAACTGTCATATCCCTCATAGGCAGGTTCAGCATAGGATTCTTCGTAGGGAGGCTGGGGGAACAAGACAAATATTTGAGCAAAATGAAGGTGAAGCTGGTTCAGAGACTGGACTGTACCGCTTCTTGCAGACATTACAATCAAAAATCAACTTACATATTCTTCATAGCCCTCAGATTTGGGCTGGGATCCTGAAGGTGGACCCTGGTGCTGCTGGTGGGACATGGATGCAGAGGGGACCATCCTTGGGGCTCCTGCTGCAGGGGGTCTGGAGCGTGGATTAGAACCCCCTCTATTGGAGGCAGAGGGTGGTCCACCCCTGCCAGATGGTGCACCTCTCGGAGCATTGCCCCGTCCTCCAAGTCCTCCCCGTGGAGCTCCACCACGCATTGCTCCTCGGGGACCACCACGTGACATTCCTCTACCCCTGTGCAAAAATGAGTCAAGTTACTTCATGGATTCCAGTTATCCTATGCATGCATCGTCATGCCAGTGCATCACTTTTCCAGATGGTGTGTCATAATGTGGTGTGGCACAAGTTTAAGTTACTGTCATAAGGGGTGAAGCACTTACATTGGTCCTGCACCAGGTGGTCCACCTCTGCCTCTTCCAAACTGACCACCTCGCCCTCTGCCTGAACCATCCTGAGATCCATTCAGGAAGTGGGGGTCCATGTATGGGTCATGCTCACCAGGTTCCTATAGGGGGCACATTGTCCGTCAAACACAGTACTCTTCTTGCTGTAGAAAACAGCTCCTCCAAGAACACGTTAAAGCAAAGAAAATATCCAGTAAGTATTGTTGGATACATACCGGAATCAGGAACTTCTTGACCTCTTCCATGGCATGAGCCATACGCAGATAGGCCTCAGGTATGGGTGCCATCACCTCAATGAAGACATGCAGCTCCATGGACAGGTGAGCATATTTGGCCTCGCCACCTTTCCTCAGTTCCTCCTCCTGATGAAAGATTTAAAATGTGATACCTTTTAAAACATCTGCTGCATGTTAATGGTTATTCAGAAAAAAGAATTTTTTAGGTGCAACAAGTTAATCCATTTCTATGCGTACCTTGTTCTTGTCTCTCATTGAGCCTTTGCCCAGAACGGAAATCTTTGCACCTGTATCTTCCTGCAGTCTCTTGATTGTGCTACCCTGTGGTCCCAGAAGCTTCCCAACAAAGTTGACCTGGTGATAAAAAAAGGAAACCAAACAGTCTTGTTAAACGCACCGGAACACAGACTGGAGGGAAATATTTCAGCAGGCCCTGAGGTAGCCTGATCCTATCGGAAACGAATCACTCAGAGTCACATTCTGCACAAAAATTATCCCCAAACCTCAGCAACTGTGACTGCAGCCAATGTTAAAAAAGTGCCTTTATAGACTTTTGCATAATTATTCATGCAGAAACCATTTTAATGGGGCACTCGGCACATGATTCGACTTACACAACTGGGAGAATGAGGCTGGAATAGGAGGGGGCTCTTATCAGACAGGATTAATTGGATTTGTGCTAATTGATTACTTATTTCAAAACCTGACACAAGTGAAAAAAACTCATTTTAATCATTCGAACCAAAGAACATCGAGAATAATTTCCTCATTATCACAGTTTCTTCAGATTGCAGATTATTTCTGCAACAAAGCCCTATGCTGATCACTGAAAGCATGAGAGCCCAAACAAAGACAAAGAAAAGAGCAAGTGCTTACCCGGGGGAACTGTTTGGTGGGAATGAGTACTCTCTCTTTGAGTTTGAGGTTCTTGGTAGCAAAAAGGTCCAGGTAGGTCTCCTTTTCAGGTTCTTTCTTGGTTTCACCTTTTTGGATCCTTTCAATCTCTGCAGACAGGGCATGATATTTGTCAATACATTACACTAGCTTTGATTTATCCTGTGGTGGTGGTTACATCTTGCAGCCAAAACAAGCTTAAGCAAACAGGAGGTGGGACATTGTTGTTAGAAAATATGCGCCTTGCAGAATCAGTCGTCTTCGTGAAGCTTTACAGTGAGCTCTAACAACGGTGCAGCATAAAAATAAATGCAGCACCTGAACATTATATGACATTTCAAACAAATCTCTTTTATCTGTAAGCATACAAGTCTGACCTACATCGCGAACAACCACGTGTGAATGCGCCATTGTTCAGGCCTGAGAGGTCTCGGCCGCTGAAAAAAGGCAGTAGGCCTCACGCCGTTAGCTAGCATGAGTTAGCGGAGACAAAACGTCAAAATTCAGAACAACTTACCTGCAGAAATGAGTTTCATGGCGTGAGTGAAAGATGAATCCAGGCTGTCCTTTTCAGCAAGAAGCTCCGGGAGGTATTTAGTGTCTTCCATGTTGGTTTTCTTCTGTGCTGGGCTCGACTCTAAGACTGACTCAGATGCGGTTTTATTACCATTCGCTTGGCTCATAACGTTAACACACCGAAATGAGCGCGGCTGTTTACACCAACGATCTCTAACTCAGTTGGATAAACTCACACAAACGGCAGCGTCTTGTCCTGGAATAATATAATGGTGTGGTTGCTAAGCCGGTGTCTTCTCACAGTGGACCGTTTCCCTCTATTCAATGGACAAAGGAGGAATGGCGCAGCTGCATTTGATGGAGGTAGGAGGCGGAGACTATGCCGTCACCGCCACCGAGCACCCAGCCAATCAGGAGGCTCCAAAGGCTGCTAGGTTACCGACTTCCATTCATTATAGGCTACAGTATGTCCCCATATTAATCCCTTATCTCTTGGGCATTTTCTTTTAATCGCAGGTGTCAAACTAAAGGCCCCGGGGCCAAATCTGGCCCGTGGAACAATTATATCTGGCCCGCAAGATCATAAAATATTTGTGTTATTATTGGTCCACCAGTATGACAGTATCTGCAGATTTCCTCCAGAATAATAATGTAAACCCAGGGGGGGCATTTGGTGTTTCATTTCATGTTTTCAATTTTGCATTTCAAGATTACAAGTCAAACATGATTGGATTTTTTATTTCATGCTTTGATTTTGTTCAACTCAGTATTTATTCTTGTCATTTTATACTTTAGATTCCAATTTTAAATGTTAAGTAATATTTTGAGATTTTAAACCTGATTTCAACATTCTCCTCATGTATTTGCTCTTTAAAAGCATTATTTTTCTATTTTTAAAATCATGCTCTGATCTTTTGGACTTATAAATAAAAATGGAATAAAAGATAAAAATAAAACAAACTTCCCGATCTCAGATTGCCTTAAAACGTATCTTTTTTGAATTTCCAAATGATTTATCATTGCTGGTTTTGTTACATATTTTTTGAAAAGGAGGTTGACAGTTTTGGTGAAGACCTAAATCGAGATTATGGCCCTTGCTGTGGTTGAGTTTGACACCCCTGCTTTAAATGATCAAATCTTAGTTAGAAAGGGTAACTGCAAGCTGTAGCATTATTATCATGTTAAAATTTGCTCTCAATAGAGAAAAAAAAACATCAATGTATATGTTACTTGTTCAAAACGAACCATAAACTTAATAGATTTATTTAAATAAAAAGGCTACGGAAAGTGATCAATAAGTCTTAGTATAAATATCTTCATTTACATAACAATTGTTAATTTCAAGCAGAATGCACAAAGTAAACAAATGATAACTTGATTGACGTGTCCTCAAACTCAGGTACACAGCCACAGCCCCATGCCAGGTGAAGTATGGTAGTTATTATTTCACAAAGCTATAAACCAGTTCTTAAACAGTGTTTTCTGTCAGAGCATAACTAGATGAACCGGATTAACCCGCCTTCCGATGGATGCTTGAAGTGCATTCATGTACAGGATCATAAAAGCACCATAAAACACAGGTCAGACCAGGACGCACTGCACAAGAAAAGACACTTTAAGTTGTGTTGAGTGTGCTGATAGTTTTTTTCTTTATAATCTATACTATTTTCAGGCTTCGTTACATGCTTGTCTTGAAAAATGATCACGCAGTCACAAATTATTCAAAATAACTATTTAATTTATCCCACAGAAGAAATATAAAGATCTGTTAGGTTATTTACAGTGATCAACAAGGCATCAATAGAATTTTAAATGCTTTGTATAAATAAAAAAACTTGAAGAAAAAAAAAAAACACAGGAGTTTTACAACTCCTTTCAATTAAAGCAGACAGTTGTATTTTTCTGGTGACTTGTTGTCCCAGGCATATTGTTGCAATCCCTGTATGTCAATAATGTTTCAAGGTTTTGCAATTTAACATTATTCCAATTCAACATAATATCATTCTTCTAAAACCTTTCACAGAGCTCTTGTTGTAGTGTATCACCAATAATAACAAAAAAAGGATGTGAAATGTTTTTTTCTACATAACAAAAGTTCAGACTTCAAGTAAAAAATTTGATTTGATGAGTCAGTGATCAGTGCCTCAATAATAAAAAAAACCTCTTCAGCTGGCCTTAAGAAATACCTGCTGTTCCAGGTTATTGAATCAAGAGTGTGGTCTGCTTTCAGAGTCAGCATCAGATATCAACAATGGCAAATATCTCTGGCTTTTCTTTATCATGGATCTGCATAGCTGAGTAAGTGATGGCTTTCACTTCAGTCCCCTGGATAAGCAGCAAAGGAAACAAGACTTTAAACTCAGGTCATTCTTTAATCATGTAAAATAATGTAATATATCATATTCAGATTTTTATCTCAAATAAATCGTACTGTATAAGATTTTAACAAGCTTTCTTTACTGGCTTACCTGTGGATGCTTTGCAATAGAGAATTCTTCACCCCAACTGAAACAAAAAAGACTATGTGAGAGACCGGATCAAAGGAGACAAAAATGTTAGACAGCTGAAGAAGTTGACTTGAATGTGTCTAAAATTTCATAAAATACAAAAACTCTGCTCATGATGAGGATGTACAACATAAGTTTCAGGCCAAAGAAAAGGTTCATTTTCTTCTATGGAATCACAAAGTCAGTTGTGTTGGGTATGTTTGGTGTGAGAACTAGAGTGGAAGGATGTGCTTCTTGGCTGCCTTCTTCCAAATGTCCCTGAGGTTGGCCGAACTTGACCACACATTATGCCTGCTTGATAAACCCAGTGAAGTCCAGGCTCTTGCTACCAATCACTCTTCAGATTTTTGTTGTGAGTGTCATACGGTAGGGTTGGCGGTATCAGTGTCTTCAATATCTGGAGCTTGCATGAAGATAGCCTGTGCCCACAGCCCACTGAAGGTAACAGTGATTCATGGGTTGCAGCGGCCACAAAGGAACATGTGGAGGATATTTCACTGTGCAATGGCCTATCTATATAAAGTGTGTTTTGGAGTGTTTAGAACCTGGTGATGTTGTGAGAAGTCCAGGATGATGAGCAGTTTTAATGAATATATATTGCAAATATTGTGTTGAAGAAAAATGTGCAAAAAATGTGCAAAGTATCAAAGATGGAGCAGATGGTAAACCATGTTTTTATATTACATGATGTATAAATCTGTAAAAGGGAGAGTAGAAAGGGGACTGTGATTGTAAGGGTCATGTCTGGAGAACATAACCGAAACATGTCATTTTTTGAGGCCTCTGAAGAAAAGTTTTAAGAGAGCAAGATGCCAAGGTTAATCTGACAAGATCTATGGTGCTAACTTTGTGATCTCAAGGGAGTATTCACTTCCATCAGGAGTGGAAGCAGACTTCCAATTAAATTCCCTGCTCTGAATATGATGACGCAGAACTACCCTCAGGTTATTTTCTCTCTAAAGTTGATAAGCATTCCCATAGCTTTTTATTTTGTTGTTGTTTACAACACATAATAATCTGTAAACATGAGAGACAGGGCAGAGATACATATACTTACCCAATGGAGCGAATCTTGAAGTGCATTCTGTCAAGGTGCACAACTTTGACTTCCTAGAGGACAAATGTCAGAGATATCTCATGGGTATATTGGCGGTCACACAATAATCAGGATCAGTGTTTCACTTAAAAACAAATGCTTACCCTTGGAACAAAGAAGAGATCTGCACAAAACTTGTACAACCAGTCGTCTAAGAAGTGAAAAAGAAGGGACTCCATGTCTTCACCTGATCAGAATCAAAATCAGAATACTTAAATTATCCCCTAGGAGTACCAGTTACAACAAATGAGTACATGTAACATTAATTCTGTTGGAAAAGATAGGTATTTGTGGTGACAAGAATCATTGCTGACAGAAAAAATGCACCATTCAACCAGAAAGAAACATTTGATACGCCATTCGAGCAAAGCAGACAAGAGAAAAATTGATGAAAGATCAGAGATATTTCTATTTTACATGCAGAATTACCTCAGATGTATGTCCTGCGTCAAATTATTCTCAGATAGTCAGATAAAAACAGTATTTCCTCTGAGTTATAAGATGGACAGTGGACATGTCCCCATGCTGCTACAGTACAATGCTTTTCCGTCTATAGTTAGTGTTGTCAGATTCATCTTTCTGTTTTCTTATTTTTGGGTTTTTCTTTCTTATTGGTCACGCTTTGTCCTTTTTCTTGATTGTGTGATTTGTTGTTGTGTTGTCTTATTCTTGTGTTTTGCATCTCAAAACCATTGTGTCTAACTAATATATCTGTACCCTCACCTTCTGACTCCACTTCTACTGTGTCGAGAGGTTCCACTGTCTCTGTATCAGTCATGTAACCAAACATGCCCATGGCACACTGTTCAAAGGCTTCCTCTAAAGAGCCTCCCCAGGAGTGAATTCTTGTAAGAGGAAGAAGAAGAAGAAAAAATAACTTTTAGTACAACTTTTCAACACAGAAACGGAACATTTGGCGAATAGTTCATTTAGATATTGAAATACACTCACTGAACATCTGCTGTATGATCCAGATCTGTAACAGTGAACAGCTGGGTTTACTCATTTGTCACATTTAACAACAAGATGACAACTACTCGATACACAGCTTGAGTCAATCAAACACAAACATGATATAAGTCGTGGTAAGACAGCATAAAAGGCAGAGAAAGATGAGTTTCTGCTGCTTTACAGGCTTGGACATATGTACTTACATTCATATTTCTTGTTTATTGGTGGGTATTTTGACTTGATAGCGATCTGTTCCGCCGTCAAGTCCAGCTGACGGTCGTCCATTATGTTGTGAGTCTTCACAATAACCGGTAAAATGTTTAAATGAGAAATCTACAGTATCATGACAGAATCACGCCTGCTTCCTCACTCCTGATTATAACCACAAACTGTGGACTTACAACATGGGGGAAGTTCTTCTTCTTTGGTGGTCATGACGAGGGTTTTGCATCCCAAGTGATTCATTACCGCCCACTAGTGGAGAGAAAAATGTAGATTTAGCTCCCATACATTTAAAAAAAAAAGTACTTGTGATATTTATCTACGGTGGCCACTGCTGCAAATAAAAATAATAATAATAAAAAAAAAGAAGTCACAACGGAAGTTACCGATGCAAAAAAAGACACCGAAGCCCGCTGCAAATGACAAAAGAAACCGTGCAGATTAAAAAGCCACAACTGAAGTTAAAGATACAAAAAAAATGGCGATGCAAAAAGAAAGAACACATTTTAAAGAACATATTCAGCATGTTGTTAGAAAGCTGAACGTTTTACTAGGCTTTTACTATAGAAACAAGTCCTGTTTCTCTTTTGATGTTAAAAAGAGACGTGTGGAGTCTACATTCTTATCTCTTCTTGATTATGGTGACGTTTTATACATGAATGCCTCTGCCCAGAGTCTGCAAATGTTGGACAGTGTTTACCATGGAGCTCTAAGATTTATAACAAATTGTGTATTTTTAACTCAAAGGCATTCTTGGAAAAATTCTGGACTACCTCTCCTCCTTATTGATCTTAAAGGACGGATTACACAACCTGAGATCATTGAGATTTATACAGTTTGTTGTCCCCGGAGTCCTAACTGAAATGGGAAAGAAGGCTTTCAGGTTCTCTGCCCCCTCAGCATGGAATAATCTGCAGACTGATTTAAGCTGCAAAACTTGGTGTCTGTGACTGTTTGTAAATCTGCAGTTAAAAAGGCTGGAGTACAAACTTTCAGAATGTCGCTGTTTTAACTGATGTTTCCTCACATTTTTGTTCTGTATTGAGTCTGTGTGTCTGTTTGTTGTAACTATGTATTACTGCCATTCTTGGTCAGGTCTCCCTTGCAAATGAGATCCTCAGATCTCAATGGGACAAACCTGGGTAAATAAAGGTTAAATAAAATAAATAAATAAAACCTACTGTGAAGCTTGGTTGTGATACATAGCAGAGTACATTGTACTTTTTGTTGTTTCGGACTGCTCACGACATAAGTGACTGATGGGACACTATGGTGATTATTCATATTCATACAGAGTGGCAAAGGTTTCACAGACCAAATCCAACTCTGTCATTCAGCTCTTGTCACTGAATCTTCGTACATTCTTTCATGCTTTTTGGAAAATCCAAATAACTATTTTGCTGTAAGGATATGTCTGTTACAGTTGTATGTGACTTTGTTGAACTCAATTTTCAGTGAAAATCATGCGATACAAACATGATTTTCAAATTTGTCCTTCAAACAATTTTCAGAGTTCGGAGGCTTTGGGTCTGTGAGTGGGAAGATAGAGATTGAAATCAAGATTAACCATGAAGGGGAAGTGAACAGAGCACGCTACATGCCTCAGAATCCCTGCATCATTGCCACAAAGACCCCCACCACTGACGTGCTGGTCTTCGATTACACAAAACACCCCTCCAAGCCAGGTAGAAGGACAAAATTTATTTTGTTTTTTTCTGAAGACTTAGATTCATCAAGCAGCAAAAACTGTGCAGTGTAATTTTGTTGGATTTCGTTTTCATTGTAGACCCCTCTGGAGAGTGCTTCCCTAATTTGCGCTTGAGAGGCCACCAGAAAGAGGGCTACGGCCTCTCCTGGAACCCGAACCTCAGCAGCTGCCTCCTTAGTGCTTCTGATGACCATGTGAGCATCTTATCACAACACACTTTATCCATCTCTTCTTATCACTTATTTTCTTACCCTCCTTTATTCCCTTTGCAGACTATCTGTCTGTGGGACATCAGCTCAGTTCCTAAGGAGGGGAAGATCGTGGATGCAAAGACCATTTTCACAGGCCACACCACTGTGATGGAGGCACTTGCTTCATGAGTCTCTCTTTGGATCTGTGGCTGATGACCAGAAGCTCATGATGTGAGCCGCTTGATGATACATTTCAATTATGTCTGCAATGACTCACAAAACACAGAGTTGTTTTGTAGAGTGACATTTCTTTTGAACAATGGTGCTTTTGTGTTGTTTTGGAATAGCTGGGACACGAGGTCCAACAACACCTCCAAGCCAAGCCACGCAGTAGACGCACACACAGCTGAGGTCAACTGCCTTTCCTTCAATCCCTACAGTGAGTTTATCCTTGCTACTGGCTCAGCAGATAAGGTAAATCAACCCTTTCTCTGCTAGTTGTCGAAGAGCATTTTGATGTGCTGCTGGATCTGCTCTCGTTTTGTCTGAGTAAAAGCTGGATATGTTTATTTTTAGACCGTGGCTCTATGGGACCTGAGGAACCTAAAACTCAAGCTGCACTAATTTGAGTCTCACAAGGACGAAATTTTCCAGGTAAGAAGTAAACTTCTTTAATTCACATTTTAACCATAGGATTTTGCTGGGAGAATCATTGTTATGCTCGTCATGAAATATGGTGAAATGAAAATGTTAGTGAAGTCTTGCTACAAGTGGGAGAACATTAAGACAACAGAAGTTAGAAATGATCAAGCTTAAGTAGCACTGTAGATCATCAAGTTTCTGATTAACGTGGTCTGTAAAGCATCCCTGCCAGTGTTGTTTATGTAACTGCTGTATCAAATAAAGTTATGATACATGATCCAGTTGTTTTTGGACGGTTTAACTCTCAGGATTCATTGTAAAACTTGCAAACAGTCAGTAGTTTTTCGTTTGTGTTTCGTTGATGGTGACTATAGACACACAAATCTGACGTGGTCCATCTCTACTCTACAGGTTCAGTGGTCTCCTCACAACGAAACCATCCTGGCCTCCAGCGGCACAGACAGGAAGCTCAACGTTTGGGATCTCAGCAAAATCGGAGAGGAACACTCACCGGAGGATGCTGAGGACGGCCCTCCTGAGCTGCTGGTCAGTTAATTCTCCTGTGTGTGTGTTAGTCATTAGAAAAAAGTGGCTTTCTTTTTTAATACTTTTTATTCTGTCTCTGTAGTTCATCCATGGTGGACACACAGCCAAGATCTCAGACTTTTCCTGGAACCCCAACGAGCCATGGGTCATTTGTTCTGCATCAGAAGACAACATTATGCAAGTCTGGCAGATGGTGAGAGTGTTTGTTTGTCACAGGGGTAGGAATGTTAAGAGTCCTGAAAATCATTTCAATGACCGAGAAGTTAAAAGCAGGCGCAGCATGGTCAGACTTTTCAAATACATTTATTAAAGACTGAATGCCATTGACAGTGAATATACTTTACTTTCCAGGCTGAAAATATCTACAACGACGAAGACCCAGAAGGTGCGACAGATACAGAGGTCCAGGCATGAGTCCAGTCTCCACATCTCCTCATTTGACCTGCTTATGAAAAATGGATCCTTCATCCAGTACTTAAGTAGTAAAATCACAGGATGATTTTGGCTGTGATGATTGATATCAGTTCAGGAATACAACACTGCATGTTCATCAAGTTGTGAACTGTTAAGGGTAAGTCTGTATCAGTCTGATTTTTAGGTCTTTTTGTAGGTTCACAGACAGCGTGATCAGCCCTGGTTTGTATTGAAACCATAAATGATGCGATAGTCGATATTCAGGTTCACTGCTTGATGGTTTCACATGTTGCATCATGATAAATTGTGCTTAAAACATTCCTCTGATCCATTTTAATGAAACTGTACACAGTCTAAGCTTTTCTTATGTGTAGGAGGAATTTCTCCAGGCTGTTTGATTTGTGACTTCTATGTGTTTTTTCTATTCTGAAATATTTTGTTTTTCTGTGCTGCATCTGATCTCCTGTATACTTAAGCATATTTATAATAAAATATTTACAGTACATCTCTTTTGTTTTTGTTTTTTGGTACAGCCAAATGAGTTTGTATAAATATATCAACAACACAGAATTATGATGCATGTAACAGGTGAAATGTTGTTAGTCACTCCTTTTGTTTTTGACCCCAAAAGTAACTCATGCTGGGCTCTGGTCTTGTTAAGATCATCCACTGGGGATTATGGGTCCTCTGTAGGGATTTCTCTGGGTTCATCAGAGCCTCTGTGAGGAAAAAAGAGGTGCTCGTTAATTAGATTTCAAATCTTGATATTCACATTTGATAGTATTGTCAAGGTTTTCTAAGATGAGTGTTATTACCTCAGAAATGAAAGCTCTTGTAAAAGGCCGACCCTCAGATCTTCCAAGTCTTTCTTGGAGTTTCTCTGAACTTCAAACTCCACTTGTAGTTCTCTCAGAGTCTCTTTTAAAGTCTCAACAGTCTCCTGTATAACATGAAAAAAAAATTGGTGTTATTTTTTAAACAGAACATCTCATATACCATTGATATCCCGCTTTACTTTCTCACTGTACCTTGTGTTGTGTGACACTCTCCTCCCTTTCCCTCTCCATCAGACCGATCCTCTGCTCCAAGCAGCCTCTCTGCACCTCCAATCTCTGCAAATCCTCTTTCAAGGGCTCCAGTCTGGCCCTCAGGTCCACTGCCTGCTCCCTGCTCTTCCTCAGGGCATCCTCCCCGATCTGTCTTCTCTTCAGCAGGGCCATCATACGTGGCTCATACCAACCTTCGAGGGCCTTAATACTGCCACTGAGGCGACGCTGCAGCCGGACAGACGCCTGCCGGCACTGGCTGACATCACTCATCGCCCGAGGCCTGAAGGGTTTTTTAGACCGGTCATTTAGAGAGTTCAGCTGGTTCTGGTAGGACTGCTGGAGCTGGGACAGCTCCTGGGTTAGATTCTGGATGTGGGCTTTAAGCTCCTCCTGAAGAGAAATGAAAGGTTGATAAGAACATACAGAAACTCTCTGAGCGAGAAAAGATTACGATGGCATTTATCAAAGAACTCATTTGGCAGGAGTGGTCATCTTTACAGCACACAACACAAACACAGCAGCTTCAACATGTTTTACAGAGGAAGAATGATTGCTGAGATACAGCTGGTTATGTGTTTTTTTTTTTTTTAAAACACCTACTGAAGGTATTACTATCATGACTTCTCCTTTTCTAAGAACCTTTTATTTCTGCCTCAAGTAGTCCGTTATTATGAAATGACTTTCACAGATTTTAGTGCTTCACAACATTTTAAAGCCTTTATTATAACAAAATTTGTGTATTTTGTGGTAGTTTAGTTGACAAGTTTGTCTTGTGTAAACACTGAATAGAGGGTTGATAATATTCAATATTTTACAAGTCATTATATTTTTGTTTGTAACAAAAATAAAATAAGATTTAAAAAAACATGTGGGGAACACAAGGAGATCCGCTCCTGAAAACTTCAGTCTCATTTTTTTTGCTTTGAACTTAAATATAGATAAATATTTGTATTAGGACAAGAGTTAATTCATATTTATTTAACAAACAGATGAATTGATGCCCGATTACTATTTATTTAGTACCACATTTGACAGTGTTGTTTCAAATAAATCATTTGTTTTGTTTCCAAAGTGATAATTTAATGTTAAAGAAAATACACTTTTAGGTCTATTTGTACTTCTCTTTTTAAAATGTATGCTCTCATAAAATAAAGGTGTTGTAGTCGTGCACCTCACAAACAAAAAAAAACATCTGCCAACTCCTACTACAGTTCATCCTTTCTGCAGGTGTCAACTCTGGAGCTGTCCCTACCTGAGTGACAGCAGACTGAGCCACCTCGTACTCCTGTGCAGCCAGCTTCACCTGGCTCTGGATGCAGTCTCTGGCTGTGGTGAACAGTTTCCTCTTCACTTGCCGCACCTCCTCATGGACAGCGATATAATCCATCTGAGCCAGAGTGAACAACCTCTTGGTCTCTTCCAGCTTCTGCCTCAGGTGCTCCACCACCCGCAGCATTGGCTCCTGTAGGCGGAGGAGCTCCTGAATCAGCTCGTTCCTTTGGGTCTCCAGATGAGATACCTGCTGGATGCAGTGGTCGAAAAGCTGCCCCAGGTCGTTCATGACCATCTCGTCCATTTGAATTAGAGGATGATGTGTGTACTCGTCTGTGAGAGTCTTTATGTCAGTGTCAGTGTGGCTGCTGTGGGCATCCTCAACAGATATATGCTCCATTTCTGAGCCCTCAGTAGAGGCAACAACTTTCCCACTCTCCGCAGATGTTTGACTGTCCATGGTCCTCAGAGAAGCAGGCTAAAAATAGAGCATTCATTAACTGAGTGACCCATAATCATCACTAATGAGATGTGGATCTAAATCAGTCCTCTTTTATGCCATTTTCTTTAAACAATACAAATTAATGCTAATTTAATCATGCTTTAAATTCTGATGGTTACAAACCTCAAAAACATCAACAATAGCTCACAACAGCTCCTAAAAACCTCTGATTTAAAACCCCCAAACAGATTTTTTTATAATTTATATGAACTCTTACTCACTGTGTTTGTAGTTGACAGTCCAGACAGCTATGAAGACAGTCTGCTTTGAACCATAAGGACAGCTCTGCAGTGGGTCTGTCACTAGGAAAACAGAGGCACACTTTGTGTTATTAATAACACTGGAGGCACAGGGGAAACTCTATCTAAGACTCCCACAGCCCCTCCTGAGATCCCAAACTGTGTCAGTGCAGACCACATGCTCCGGATGCATCAGCTAACACATGTCTGGGCCTGGGTACCAGAGAGAGCTATATTTGTACGGATTTACAGCCTGTTTTTATGTGCATCCGAGTAGGTAGTGACATCATGATTAAAAACTGTTTGAGCAATGGCTGTCCTGAACTTTTTACCTGAAAACATTTACCTCAGACTCAAGTGCAGAGCGCCAGCCACATAAACAGTTCTGTTTATAGCTTCTTGCTGTGTTGAGCTCAGCTGCCTATCAAGTTTGCATTGTTCAAACACAGTATTTGCTTGCAATGTTTTGCATACTGTCGGTCAAATCATCATATACACATGAAGGCCACACACATCGAGATACTAAGAGGCGGTTTGAGAGCACAATGTTTGAGACAGTACCTTCTAAAATTTATAATGCTTTATTTTAAAGTTTTAATACTTCTTTAGTTTTATGTATCAAATTATGGTAAATTTTTAAGGTGAAATTGTATCAGAAACATTATTTTCTCATGGAATGATGAGAATATAATCTCATTATTATGCATAATCTAAAAGAGGAACAGACAAAAATATTTGTAATCTAAACATGACTAAATATTAACAGTGAACCCGGTATTTAAGTGATATCATTTTTATAAATCATTCATTGTTATTTATTATCTAAATATGTTTGGTGTACAATAATGGAAAAATGGTATTTAGCTTTATTTGCTACTTTCAATCATCAATATTTTTCATGCAGGAATTACAGTGGTTCTAATGATTAAAAAGTCACTTAATTTTAAGTTTTTTCACATGAGGTAAAAAAGAAGAAAAGAAGAAGAAAAAAGCGTGAAATGCAAAATCATTTAGCTAAATGTTTAAAAAAATAATCAAATATAAAAACATTTTACAAAACAAAATCATTATTGAGATGAAAAATTTTTAAATAACAAAAAGTCATGAAACATTTTTATATATCTTATACTGCCCCTTACCTAGTCAAGACACAAAAAAAATCATTTGTGATGTGTTTCACGAAATATTTCCAGGGTATGTGAAACTTTTCTTATTATATTATATTATATTATATTATATTATATTATGTTATATTATTTTAGATTAGATTAGATTAGATTAGATAAGATTAGATTAGATGATCTATTTTTGTACTCATTAAAATGTTTCTTTTGCAGTTGTGTTTGGGCATTTGACACTCTGGGCCACCATACAAAAATAACTTAAAGAGGAGCTGCATGAGAGAAAAACAAAAGCGTATTCCATTAGCTGGAGAAAAGTAAAATAAGTTTGGTTTTCTCGTAATTCTGAGGTGACTGGCTCATTGGTTCAGGAAAACGCGAATACGATTCTGTAGAAAAAGTTTTTTATATCTTCTACTTTTGCTTGTTGTTGCACCATCTCACCGCTAGATGTCCCTACCGCACTCTTACTGCAGCCTCCTGGTCTCACCTGAGCGCGCGCAGCCTCCTCCTCCAGGTGGGAGCTGCAGCTGCAGGTCGAAGGCGACGAAACTTCACTTCACTTCCCTTCTCCGGTCCACTGGAGCGTCTTCAGTGCAACCAGCGAGGACAGCGAGGAGGTCAGGTCAGCTGGCATCCGAAAAGACGGAGCAGTACCCACGGGTACAGACAAACCCGGACTCTGGCAGCTTCCCCGAGCACATTTTTTCACGGAAATGTTTCACCTGAAGTTTTCATACGCTCGGTGAAAAGTTTGGAGTTGAGGTAGGAAGAAGAACAAGCGAGGGGACGCTTCCAATGGAGAGAGGCTGAACTAACCCGGACCAGAAACTTCTACAAGGTATTTACTTTTCTACGTCGCATTTTAAATTTTAACAAAAAAAAAAAAGAAAAAAAGTTTGAGCACTGTTTTGGTATAAATCCCTCTTCACAAAGCGTTTTCATATTTTCTCAAAATATAGTGAATGTAAACTCATAAATAAAGTAAAACTTTTATTAACATAACACCAGAAGTTTAACAAAAGTGGTACAAAAAGTTTGAGGTGAAGACAAGTTATTTGAGAAGTCCACCAACTTTCCTGTTAGTGTGAAACAGTATATCAAGATCAAACCTGAAAATGCTTGAACTTGACTAAAAGCAGGGTTCTCAGGTGTAATCAGATAGAGTGAGGTGTTATTGGATGGCATCAGATCCAGGCTGAGTACAGACATGTAGGAAAAACTAGGTGTGGGAGATTTGCTTAGCTCGGCCTTGAGGGCTCCTCAGTACAGGTAATTTAAGACCTGTAGTGCTTCTCCCAGCTATGGGGCTGTTCACAATGAACACTATTGTGTTGTCACTGTCCCTGCAGCTAATGACTGCTTGACAGCATGGGCGCTGTGCTTAATCCATGCGTGTGCAGTCCATCATGCTCCTCTATAGATCATCTGTTTGCTGATTAACCTGGTGCAGATAACAGGACCACCTCAGGACCTCTTAGTAGGGAGGGTGTCCCCCTCTCTCTGTTTGTCTGCCAGGACTTTGGACTGGGAGCCAGCTGGAAAATCCAAACTTTTCAGGGTCAATGTCCACTGTGTTTTTCAGCTTGATACCTTAGATTTTACCTCTAGTACCCTTTGCTAGGTGAGGCCGAGACAGAGCCATTTGTTTAGAAAGGGTGTGTCACATACTGGTGCTCCTTCCTCGCCAGCGTGCCAGGGCTTGTACCCATGGAGATTACAGGTGTGTTATGTAAGCAAGAGAGGTACAGCAGCGTCTGATGGATACCTGAGAGGTCCAGGAGAAGATCAGAGAAGAGACAGGATGATAACACAAGGGCAAAGAGAAAGATGAGGAAGAAGTCTGGATAAGGAAAAAAATATTGGAATCACAGTCAAGTAGGATCGTGTGTTTGAGCCGTCAGTGATGAGGATGCAGTTTAGTGAAGGAGAGAGGAAAATTGCAGGTGAAGAATGGAGGAAAGGAGGGACAAAAGGTGATGGAAGAGACAAAGACAGATAATTGTGATCATTATGATCAGTCGAGAGAGAAAGAGAGAGCTGCCTGATGAGAGGGGCACAGTGTGCTGTTAATCAAAGGGATTAGCTGATGGTTTGTTCATTGATGAGCCTCATCAACGCGTCTTTAAGATCTGATCAATAGCTGTTAAAGGCATAATGGAGTTCATGTCTGCAAACTTGATTTCTGTTCAGAAAGTTTCTGTACTCCCTGAAAGTTCACATGGTCTAAACTGAGGACTCGTTTTCATTCCCCTGCCTTCTCATGTGGCTGTCAAACCCAGTGGGTTTCAGATTTTAAAGGATTTCCAAGCAGCTACAGAGTTTTTGTTTTGGCTGAGACGGAGATGTTCAGATGCCAGGATGTATTTTTAAAACACAGCATCCAGCTGTGTTTGCCTTCGCTAAGAGCTGGTCGCTGCACAACACTTTCTTTTTTCATTCCTGGCTGACCTGTCAGTTCAGAGGTCTGAAGAGACTGCAGTCCACACTGAGACCCTTGGTAACCCCTGGAAGCAAAGCAAACAACACTCTGACTTTACAGAGCCGTGTGACTGTCTCTGCTGACTGCAGTCTCTGACTTACTGCCACACAGACAGCAGTTCAAATTCTGTTACTGTTTCCTGTCCTTTTTTAAGACTGTACAGATGTAACAATTACTATTGTAGAAATAGACATCATTGCAATGAGACTTATTTAGAATTAAAGTAGACCAATCACATATAATTATACTTCAATCAGGACTGGAGCCAAAAAAGGTGTCTATTAATTGTGTAGCCAACAGGAAAGTAAAGGTGCTATAAAGAGTTTTTCACTGATTTTGAAATAGTCTCACTCTTGTATGGAGGCCTCATCATGACCCACGGATTTAAATGAGCGAATCGATGGCTATTAAACTGAATTCTTGTGCCTGTGTGTATGTTTTGGCCAAATTTAATGAAAAAAGTCAATTTAATACTCCACATTCACTCGGAACTGGCTATTTCTAGGAGTAAGTTTTCAAGCTGAAGAGTTTTTCATCTTGAGGTTAAAGTCTTTTCAGATTATGTTTTGATGAACCTGTACTGGTGAACTATTATTTTGACCAGGGCACTGGGGGAACATGGCGGCACAAGGACTTTGACAGTTAATGTTATGCTGGTATGTTTGGACATATTTTGTAAGCTAACAGTAAGAGTTTGCTAAATTTTGTGATTGTTACAAAACAGTTGATAATTTAAAGAAGGTACGGATCAATACAGGACTTCATCACTCCACATCATCAGTTCTTCCTTTCATTTGCTTCCACGACAAATACACACGATGATAAGAGCCACACAAATGCAGTCTCTTTATTTTGGAAAAATGCTACTGATTGTGAGACCCTCACAGTGCCTTAAGTTTGCAGCTGTGTTGTTAAGAGATAGTTTACCTTTTTGCTCATTTTAAAGGAAAAAAAAATCCAAATATGATCTTTTCTCCGTTTCAGAAATTTTAGGGTTGTCTTTTTGTCATAAAAATGAACAACAAAAAAGAATTCAAAGTGTGGATGGCAGCTGCCTAAGTAAGCTGCGCCATCAGAGATATTCTAAATGTATTAATTTACATAACATTTTACTTTCATTTTATGGTCACTGGTCAAACACTTGTGTGCACACTAGCAGTAGCATGTAGCAATCAATTATGTGAAGATCACATGTTAAAATGTTATCTGAAAATGACTCTCATGCACCATTCATTATCCCTTATTCATGACTCCGTCTCATAGGTCACTGTAGTCTGATATGAGAGAGGGAGGGCGGCCGGGCGAAGAGGTGAAAGAGAGAACAAGAGGAGGGGATAAGAAGTGGAGGAAGGTGGGGGTCGTTGTAGGGGGTGAAAGCAGATTTGAAGTGAAGAGTTCCTCTGTCGGTAATTATGAATCTCTCAGGAATGCGGCGGCTGCTCTTACCAGGCAAGCCGCTGCACGGCCTCATCAGCCCCGCAGCACGCCATCCTGTATTACAGCGTCCATGGACACGCATACACACACTTGCAGCGACTTTAACCTTGGCAAGTTCAGCTACGTAGCGTTCTAGTGAATTTTGTGACATTATTGTCTCACAGTGTTATTGTTTATTTTTATCGCTGACTTTACCTACATGGTCGTTTTCTGAAACTGAATCCATCCCGCAGCAAACTTAGAGACCACAGAATGTCAGTGAAGCATTGTTTTCAGTCCAAGTCCTGTGCCACTCTGTACTTATCCTGACATCCTGCCATCGAACCAAATGTTAGGAATTCTTGTGGCCATCCTTGACCCCCAGTTGCTCAAAGTGTAATTTCTACAAGCTATTTGGGTTGATTATTCTTACTTTTTATAATCCTCTCTGTCATGCAAGAACACATCTGCTACAAGACGGGAAACATCTTTATTTAATACGGGAACATTTTCACCAATGCCACCCTCAAAGCAGTTTCATCATTTCACAGACTGTCTCTGTTTTCAGACTCCCTCAAGTCTTTCCACTTTGTCTGTTGGTGGCTTCATCATTCATCTCAGAAAATGTTGTCTTGTACGTAAAGTGTTTGCACATGAGGGCAGAGTGTTGTAGCCCAGACATGGTTGCTTAAGTCTTGAGTAGCAATGCTCTCTTTGTTTGATAAAACACAGAGAAGACAGCCAACGCCCAGATTGATGCCTGCAGGTGCCGTGCAGTAACACCAGTTTCATAGTCCTAGACACTTACAATGTAGTCCCTTTAAGTATGGTTTAAAAACTGTTATTGGAAAACTGGCTTTTACTGTGAAGCCTGATAAGGTGAACTCATCAGGGAAACTAGAAAAAATGCAAAACATCCTAAAAAATAGAGTAATATTAACTATGTTTGTTATGATTACTATCTAGTCTAAACACTCTAAGCACGACTTTACCCTTGCTCACTGACAGATAAGTCCTACCATGTGAAACCCAGCAGCTGAACGGGCTCCTGCCAACACAGATCCAGTCCTAATTCAAACAAAGGTGGCGGCCTGTATCACTGACACTCCCTCATGACTTTGCCTGATCCCACATGAGACACGGGAAGTCTGCTCCGTCAGCTTCCCTGTGTGACTCAACAAAGTCAAAGTTACAGTTCCTGGAGAACACCCCCCCCTTCCCGCCTTCCACCTCTCTTCTGCCTCAACCATCCACATCCACATTCTTCATACTTATCAGAGTTGATAAGGGTGGGAGTGCATTGGTGCATGAAACCAGTGTTGTGAGTTCAACAAAGGTTTTGTAACTCATGGAGGGTCATGGCATTGTTTTTGTTTGGTAACAAACTCTGAATTTGGATAACTTAACCTTAACCTACACAGGTTTGCTTCTTCACAGCTATGAGAAAGGTAAATAAAAAAGTTAACCTTTTCAACCACACCAGAGTCAGTAGTACTCAATTCACCAGCTGTGAGGTCTGGTACAAGACTGATTCTTCAGTGTGAGAAAGTGTCCACGATCAAAGGAAGTTATCTTCAAGTCAGCATGTGCATGATCTTGAAGAATAAACCCCATTTTAAAGGCATGATGTGAAAGATAAATACTGAAGGTTACTAGTTAATTCCTCTTTGGCATCCATCTGTTAAGGGTGTGTACATGCATAAGTCTCCTGAACTTACAGTAGTTTTCAAATAGAACAAAAACTGGCTTTACCTCTTTTCTTCAAGTTCTCAAAGAAAAGTACTCTAGAGCTCAGTTAAGATGGATTTCTTTGTTTTATTTACGGATTTAGTTCGGATTTTGACAGCAATCTGTGCTACTGTGTTTTGCTGGAGGCAAGGCAGGTGTCAGTGCTCTGCTGTGCTTTCACTGTGTAGACCCGCCCGTAGACAGGAGACCCAAGTTTGCTCTGGAATTTATGCACCCAGGCCTCGGGACACATAGCTGTCAAAGGTACACAATTCATAAATGTCATTTCCACATTTTCTGAATTTTACAGTCAATTCCATGACAGCATGTAAACTACAGTCAGAGGCGGTTAACTTCACACAGAGGCATACAGATGGTCACCAGTGTTAGATAATCAGTCGGCAGTGCAGTTATTGACACACTACACTGAGGTTTGCTGTGTGTGAGTGGTGTCTTCGCTCCAGTGTGAGAGCCGGTGTGGTGTCTTTTGTACAGGATAAGTAAACAGCATGTTGGAACACATGCTTGCTCCGGCAAGACTGGGGCTGGGCTGGAAAAAAAAAACCCACAGCCGGTTTAGTGTGTACAAGTGAAGAGACCAATGAGCGAGTTTTGTGTTTGTAAATCAGCTCAGGGCACATGACTTGATCATAGTCTTTGAGAAAATAGGATACACCCGGATGTGGTGTTGTGTAGGACATGCTTGCTGATGTTAGGAGCTAAGTGTGTTCTTCAGATCAAAACCGAAATTTTAAAGTTATTTGGCTGTAGTTTTTTCCATCAGTATAATAAAATTGTAGGTGTTTGTAAAGTTAAGTGGCAGTGGAGACAATAGAGCAGCTTTGTTTATGAGATGTTGGCATTTATGCTTTTACTTTAAAGAGATACTAAGAACCTGAAGCTTGCGTAAGAGACACTTTCCTATAAACATAATAATGTGATATTTTGTTATCCAGCAGCCAAATTGTGCTAAACTGAACATGAAAAAACAGATAGATCTCCAGAGTGATGATGCCTTTAAGGACAATCCACTGTGTGCGTCATTCTATCACATTTGTTTGCAAAACTGAAAATTGCAGGTTGTTATGTGTAACCACAGCAAAAGAAGCATGAGTCAACTGCTTGTTACTGGGCTGCAGAGACAGCGGTCTGCTGGGTGGTCCCACACTGTGTCCCAGAGTTCTTAGTGTTTCTCGTGTCCGTCTGTGGAGGAAATATCGTAAGGACTTTATGCACTCTCAGAGGCACGTGGGCCATAAATGAATGAACCAGCCTCCTTTTTTTCTGACTGAGGCTCCTGATTGTTGGTGGCTGTGGGTTGTACAGATGCACTCATCTTAGTCATGACCAAATGACTGTAATTTAAAGCAGCACAAACACAGGGCTTAGTGAAGGGAGGGGCCTGGTACTTTTTCTCCTGAGGAGATGGATGCTCGTTTTGGTGATTGGCCTTTCACTGCAACTCACTTTGTTCCAGTCACACAGGACCACCACAATTGCAAGAGGAGGTGTAAAAGTGGTGAAATTAGGAAAGCATATTACCCCAAAACATCATCATATTAAAAAGAATTTAAAAGCACCTTAAGTGTAAAAAGGTACCAATTTTAAGCCTCTTGAACAGCTCTCATTACCCGCAAAGTCATAAGAGTTAGTTTGAGTCTTTATTTGAGCCGCATGAAGTCATGACATTTGCCCAGAGGGTGTGGCCAGGTCGGGTCACTTTCACTTAAAACTGGCTTGATTTTATTTGTCCAATACTTTGGTTTATGACCAAATACCATAAGACTGTATATACTACGGACAACTTTGTTCCACCTCCCGCCAGTATACGGATTTGAAGCCAAATAGCTCTCAGTATTAACGCATTTTCTCTCCATTTCCTGAAACCAACTTGCGCAGTAGTATTGTACGCATTCGGCGGGAGAGTCGCGAGAGTTGCTGTGATGACGCTCGGCTCAAACAGCGTATCCCCCGGGTGACCTACACAATCCCTGAACGCCAATAAGCTGTATTAGGTGTCAATCATAGAAAACTTGAACCCCCTAATAACTTTTAAAAATGGAGCTTCACAGAAAAAAGAGGACTTTAGCACAAACCAGTCTTAAAGTAACTACATGTCAACATCACAACCAGGGGGGAGAAACATTTATGTTCTGTGTAAAAAAATGTATAAAGTTTGTCCACTGCCCCATAAGCTTTGCTGGCGGAGGCGCGATTTATGACCTATACCGCAGCCCATCAACAGAGGGTGCTGTTCTCAGAGTGGCTTCACCCAGCAAGGAAGCAGACGCTGTCCATTCTTTATACAGTCTATGCCAAATACCCCAAAAACCAAAACTAGCCTGAGCTAAACTTGATGCTCTACATATTTACTTATTTACTTGACTTAGAATACCTAAAAAAAATGTCTGCTAACATCAGCATTTATTTATTAGATTTGTGTTTATGATAACATGTTGCCCGTATCATGTAGCACTGCTTTGGCCAAGTATGACAATGGAAATATGAAGTAAAATTTACACATTTCCAACCTCGGTAACAAAAGCTAGAGGTAATGGAGTTTCCTGAAAGTCCAAGTCATGGTGGAGCTGTTGTATTGGGTTGCATTAGATGACACTGGCGTCCATACCTTTATAGCTGACTAGTGTGGAAAGGGTCAGTTCACTTAAAAAAGTCAACATTATCTTGAGGTTTAGATTTTGTCCATGTAAAAGAGTGACATGTAGCATGACCTCACAAACAGTCATCTGTTCGTGAACCCCCTTTTTAAAGCTGAAAGAGGGTATTATGCATTTTTTTCAGACTCCAAACTTCCTGAAATGATTTCCAGATCAATAAAAGACCTTTGTTTCTCACTCTGGTGTATTGAAATACCACTATTTTAGCCTCCGTCTGAAACGCTTTGTTGTAGCTGCTCTCTTTCAGGCCCCCCACCTCCACAAGCCAACGTTCTTCTGATTGGCCATCTCTCCAGAAGCTTTCTAATGCTGTCATGCCCATACACTAATATGAAGATCATGTTTTAGGCTAAATTTTAGATATTTTGGCTCTTTGAGGCTGAGATCACACGGTGTAGCTCTGCCATATTTATCACCATAGTTGGATGCAAAATGAGCAAACTGCTTGGAACTGTGAAACTTAATGTGTGTGTTTGTGCTCGAATATAATCTGCTGATTTGATTTGTGTATTGGATCTCGAGACAGAACAGATAATGGAGGCAAGTGATGTGCAATTCTAGCGAATCCATTCCTAGTGAATCCAGTCAGTAGATATGACTTTATGACCAGTATGTAGGACATCTGGTCTTGAAAACTGCACATGCTTGGAAGTTTCTGTGTGATTCATCCAAAGTAGAGTCTTCTTATCTATCATCATCCCCTCCCTGTATTACACAAAGCTCTTACGATAAAGATTCCTTTATCAAAGTTATTTTGTCATTTTTTAATGTGTAAATGGGCAGTCATTGTCTTTGCTTTCATTACAAAGATGTTAAGTTGAGCACAATCTGTCTTTGGTGTTCTTCGTGCATGACACAGGTATGAAGCAGGAGCCTACAACTTTTCAGAAACTTTCTCGGCAAGAAATCCTCCAGGGATTCATACTTCTCTCACTCTGACTCTGCTCCCACCTTCCTCCAGTCCTGGAGCGCTTGTTTTCAGCTCTGACGCCTGTCAACTTAAAAGGCTGTTCCTACTTTTAGCCAGTGATTTGGAGATAAAAATCTAATAAAGTACACAGCTGGAAGAAGCCCAGTGTAAACTACAAATCCCCAAGAGCAAAGCTGGGAAAACCGCCTCAAAGAAGAGGAGTTCAGAAAGGTGAAGGGGTGGAGGAAGGAAGGAGGCCGGGCGAAGACGATGAGCTCATTCAGCTAAGATTGAAAAAACGATGAGGGCAGACAGTGAAATGTAACACGGGATGACAGAAGAGACACTTAAGTGATAAATGAATGGTTTCTGCTCGTTAAAAATGTCGTGATGCACTTTGGCATCTGTTTATTTTTCTATTCTTTAGCTCTTCCTAGTGCGCTGTTGTTCCTCTGTGTAAAAGTGCCTGAGCCTTCGGGTGCGGCTTTGTGAATTATGACTCCATGTTATGGAATGAGGGGAGCGGTGCCAGTTCTTTCTGTGCAGAACAGTGAAGTTTAGAGACAGGAGGGGGTCGCTGTGGGCTGAGTGTGTGGGTTGAATGAGCAGAACCCGCACACAAACTGATGCACACACACACACAAACTGAGTTGTGAATGAGACAATGAGCACGTGTCTGGTGCTGATTATGCTCGCGCTGCAACCGGACTGCTGTTTTTCACTCATTAAACTCTTCCAAAGCAAACTTGAGATATGATTTTGCATTTAAACTTGATTCAAAACTTTATAACAAAAATTTTGCTAGATTAGAACAACCTGCCAAAACTTGAAACCTGTTTGGTAAAGTCAATCATATTAATCCATGAGGTGCATTTAAGGAACAATGAATATCTAGAACACCAATGGCAGAAGAGCTTTACAGTAATGAGCTTTATTTGGGCTTGGTTAAAGTGAACTTCTTTTACAAAGATCCTTGAAGCAGCCTCAGCCTTTTACTACATGAAACTCCCTCCCCTTCTACAACCATCCTGTCTAATAAAGGCTGAAATAACCCCAAATTAACTTAAATATAAATTGATAAAAGAGAATCAGACCTTGAAGGCAGACAGTGATCAGATACAGTACTTTTTCTGAGAATTTGGCAGCTGTGTAGGTCTGAAAGGGTTTTTGGCTACAGTGAATTCTCAAATATCTGATGTTGTGATTTCCAGGGGGAGAAAACAAGGTTAGTTTTCACAACATCCTGTCCTCTGATGTACAAATGACAAGAACACTCACAGCTTATTAGAATAAAATCAACTTTTTGCTTCATTTTTCTTAGTCAAGTTCCCCCCAAAGCTTTAGTCATGTGGCTATAAGTTGGAAAATTTATCTGGTCTGGTCCCTTAATTATTATCTCTTCTTGACGGTCTTTTATTATGTCTCAGATTGAAATCTTGCTTTCTGTCTTTCTTTCTCTTTCAGGCTGTAGCGCCAGTGTGAGGTGCCATGTCAAACCGTGACTCCCTGGGGTTTGGAGACCTCATCCCCCAGGATGTGGTAGATATTTTGGCCCAGGAGAAGCACTCCAACAAGGGCAGGAAGAAGCGCAGCCACTCGCTGGGTCGTGCTCTTGGCTGGCTGAAGGGTAAGAAGAGGAAAGATGCGGGCGCTAAGGGGCACAGTCTGGGCCTGGGTCCTGCACTCGACCTTGCTTTAGATGGGCACCCTGCTGGGCACAAGGGAGGCCAGAAGTCAGGTAAATATCTTGTCATGAGAGCCAGTATGATTCTCCAATATCCTCTTTAGTCTGTTTTTATAATCACATTTCCATCAGCAGCTGTTCTGTGGTGTAGGTGACAGATCACAACATGTTACATCATATACAATTATCTGAAGTAAACCCTGAGATTTAGTTCTCACTGAGACTGAGCTTGTAGAGACTTGAAACCTGTTTGGGGTTAATAACAGTGAGCTTTTTCTCACCAAACTTTTTATGACTTTTGCAACTTTATCACAACATTTGATGGAGGTGCAGCCAAGCTGTTGCTCAACCCTGAGTTTCAAACATTACAAACCAAATTAGTATTTTATTTCTCTTTACAGCATCTGTATCTGCTCCTTTAATATAGTCATATGCAACTGACAGTAAATCTAGTTGCATATCATTCAGATATCTCCAACTGCACTACTAATTAATTGCATTATCCTATTTCTAGATGGTCATTCATTTCTGACTTTCATTTTTTAGTTGTTTGCCTCTCGTCTTGGATATGTTTATTTGTTTAACCTGTGTTTGACGAGGTTAGTCCCACTGAGATTAAAAAGTGTATTTTCAACAAGACCTGACAAAGACAGCAACAGAAACACAAAGTTGTAGACGTGAACACACAGAAATAGCCACAGTAGATACTATTTACATGACAACTATAATGTGTTTTTAGTTTTTGTTTTTTGGTTGAAAATTGAAGGCATCTTCTTGGCTCAGCCTCATGGTAGATATAATCCAACTTAAAAAAAATTGTTTGTCTTAAATGTGCATTGTGTAGAATTTGGTGGCAGAGTAGACTAAACAGAAAGAGGAGATAGTATTTCTAACTATGTGGGTCCCCTCCACGGAGACTATTTTGCACTGCCATATTTCTATGGTAGCAAAGGATGGACAAATAAGTGTGTTTGGCTACACAAAGTGTACTGGTTGGAAGACAATGAAGAAAAGAGGAAAGTGGTTGTTGTGTAGAAATGCATCACAGGGGTTCATTGTCCTCAAAGACAGGAGGGGTGAGCGAGGGGGTGTTTCAGTCTAGAATCAGTCTGCCTGATGCCCTATTTCCACACACTGTACTTTTAACAATAATTACTCATAACAACAATCCTTTGTAACACACAGGTAATAGGCTTCAAAATCTGTGATGCTTTGATACCTTCAACACAACCAAACTGTCTCATTCTCAGTTATTTTATGTTTGATTGTAGCGTGTCAGCGCCAAAGCTTTAGAAAAATAAAACTGATAAAACTTTTCAAAGGCACTTTTACAGCTTGTTATAAGTTTGGGTTGTTATGACATCTTTAAATGAACCACCACAGATGCCCTGCTTGTATCTGTAGTACCATATAATTTATGAGATTTGGAAATAAACATAATTCAACTCTTATGAATCTCATCTGTTTGTAAATGTAGTTTGATTAACTTTTTGTCCTGAGAGAAGGGTCCCTAAAACCGTCTAAAGTAAGAAAATATTGCACAATAGTTAGACAGATAGTGTCTGTGTTTAATATTGTTCATTAACAAAACAAATTATTATCAACTGAAGACATTTATGTTCAGTTTAGTTTAGTAACACAACATCTGAGATAAGTTTGGAGAAGTTCCTGAGAGTCAGTGGAAAATGTTTCTCCTGGACTCAAAGACCTGTGTGTTTGTTCACTGCAGGGATGTTTGAATAGACCGACTTCCTACTCAACTTCTGACCCTCAGCCCTCTCTGTTTGCTCTGACAGAAATCTGTATGTCCTGCTCTGTGATGCCATCACAGCCTTCAGGTGCAGATCCACGCAGGACATGCAGTTAGCATCAGGCATTTTTTTATTTCACTTTAGAGCTGCTATACATATTCATGATCTATAACTTCCACATTGTGACAACATTAAAGCAGACTATTGTCACCAAATCTAGTGTTTTCCCAGAGCTCAGGGGTCTTGTTGTGGCTTGCATACTTGTACTCACATGACAGCATGCTAATTTAGTGAACACAGTGTTTTACTTAGTGTGAACTCTGAGGCACTAACAAAAAGTTTTCCCTCTTCATCAGTCACAGCCTGATGCTGTGAGATTTGAAACACAAAGGCATCAGATAAGCAAAACACACAGTTAGTGTGTTACATGCAGTGCTTGTGCAGTTTTGGCTACTTGCTTTCCAGACACAGGAGGCCCCGCCTTCTTCTTGTGCTTTTACTTCTTTCAATGGGCTGGTGGGGTGGAGGTTGGGGGGATTTCCACACAGTTTCAACTAATCCAATCTGAACTAGTGGAACAGTGCCAAAAACAGGACATAAATATGTAAAAGCACATTTTCAGACATCTGTCGTTGTGCTTACACAATGTACATGCACAGACAAGCACTCAGCAATCACAAGGATATGCCTATAGACGGCATTACACAATCTATGCTCTGCATTGTGTCACTTGTGTTTAGTGACGACAGCAGTGTTGAGAGATTTGTGAGAGAAAGTGAGCAGGGATAAGATTTTTATTTTTCCTCTACCAAGGTCAGCTGAAAAACTTCCTCCTACTTTTAGCCCAGACCAGAATTTCTTTTCCTTCACTTTTTAACAAATGTACTGATGAAAAATAACCCCAAAATAGTTGGTGCGAAACTTAAAACATTGTAACGAAGGCAGCCTTGACTAAGTCTCATTTGCCTTAGATTATAGAATTATATCACGAATAGGCTTCAGCTTTGGACCATTTAGTGTGCCTGATGCAGCAGCTATTAGCATGAGCTGCTGTGCAGAGTATGAAGGTGTTGTGTTTGTGGCATCCAGAGTGTTGGTGCTGGCAACACTCCTCTTCACCTCTTTCTCTGATCAGAGAAGAAGCTCAGCTTTTCCCTCTAAAAAAAAAAAAGGTTTTATTTGATGTGGAAAACATGCTAACAGACTTGTCCAGGAAAACGTTGTCTGTCCAGCGGAGTTCCTGATGATGATGATGATGATGATGATGATGTGTGTTGATGCCAGAGGGGCCTCCTGCACACTAAATGCCTGGTATGACAGGCACAGTGCCAGTTCATTAAAAACCATGCCAGGACAGTTACAGTGAGGGAGGAACAAGGGGTTCTGTTTTTCCTGACCCCTCCGCTCACACTGTTCTTCCTCCCATTGAAACACAGAGACCCATACAGTACCATACGGAATATGTGTTTTTATGAGACCACATTAAAAAGCTGGTATTAGACCCCAAGGCTTTTTTTTTGGACTCATAAATCACCACAGGTTTGATCTCTGATTTTAACAAACAAAATTTAAAAGATAAAGATACTAAACTGGCACAGCTAATCCATTAGTCAGTGGATCAATAAGCTGCTTTAAACTGCTGTGGATCCTTTTGTTGATTTTGATATCACTCATCAGCTCTTTTTTAAAAATATTTGCTTTGAAAATGTGAAAGAAAAAAAAATCTGTTTCCTTGGCAGTTTTCTGAAACCCAGTCCTCACAGCAGTAACATATAGTTTACCTCAAAAAACAAGCAAATGAATGTTATCTGGGCATTAGGAGATAAATCATGATTAAAATACACAGCCTCTAGATTTGACTTCTATCATCAATATCAAACAAGATTCTTTGTCATTAATATTTTTCCTGATGTTAGATTCAGTTAAACACTTAAATATACCACCATCCAAAATAGACATTAAAAAAACAACTGAAAGCTGCTATGAGGTGTTTTTTTAAGGGTTATAAAACAGACTGAAACTATAGAGAAATTATCTCTATCATGTACAAAAGGAAATAAGACTACTAATAACAAGATGACAATGACTATATCCTGACTTTAACACCTGTAACTGCTGTGAGAGGGGAGGTATGAATAATGGTCTTTCATACCTTCCTCATAGTAAATTTTCACACAGTGCGAGAAAAATTGCACTATAAGATATCAGAGGGGGTTTTTGTTGTCAATTATTAGCACTTTCACAAGAACAACATGAGAGTATCAGCAATATAAGGATTCCCTCTTTGTCCACAAGAAGTGCTTGAATCAACACAGACATAAAGTTCCTCACAGGAGTTTTAAGTTCCAATTTTATTTATCTAAAAATCCAAATGTATCTTTCTTTAAGTTACAAAGTGACAAATCACAGCTAATCACTCACATTTCTGCATATCTGTTTTGTGTAAAGATTTAAATCTGGGTTCTTGTAAAGTTCCTAATCTAATCTAAGTTATTTTACTTGCTAATCCTGAGGAAGCGTATTTAAGTAAACACAGCCGTGGAGTTCGACCACAGAGGGAACAGCACAGCAGCAGGTTAAGGAGAGACAAACTGGAGCCCTCCACCTTTGAGTGTGTGCTAAATCCATTAACCCTGCATTGTCTCCTCTGATTACCTGGACAGTGTTTCATCCTGAGTCACACATCTGTGGATATCTGTCGTCACATGTTCGCTCACCTCCATTTGTCTAATTCCTAACACGGCTAATGTCCATCTCAGCATACCTGTGTGACAGTGATTTATGTCCCTGTCATCAGTCACTTCATTCAATCCTGTGTAAAACTGGACTCCACTAGTCTGTGTTTAAACCTTGTCTGCTGAAAAACTGCCCACACTTTCTAATAAGCACCAAGAGGAATGCTGTAGGTTTAATTAAATAGAAATGATAGGAAGGGGAGACTGATTAGGTCATCCAGTCCTACCAGGTACACTCAGAAGGTCACCTATCTGCTCGAAACTCACCCTTAGAGATTCCTCACATTCCTGAGCTTTATAAAGATATTCATAGAGGAAGCTACAAATAGGTAGCCCTTTGTGTGTGAGAGTGTGTGTGTGTTTGGCATAGATTTCAGTGACAGATTATACAAGACATTTCTACTTGACTTTGTTGAATATTTTTAAAAGACCCTGCTTATTGTAACAAAGATTTTTAAGTCTTAAATGTGTTTGCATTTTCCGTCAGTGTACAGTGTTGGATAGCTGAGCCTGCTGTAGTTGCTCTGTCTTGAAACAGAATGAAAAACTTGTACCGGTTCATCTCCAAGTTAATCACTGAGAAAGCTAGTGGGCTATTTATGAAACACAAAGCAGAGAAAGAATAACAAAACAAAAAATTGGAATACAGAGCTCTGAATTTTGGCTATGACATTGCAGAAAGCAGGAGAGATAACAACTGGAGTGTAGTAAAAAACAACAAAACATGACTACTGAGGCTGAGGTTACAGATTTTTCATTATTTTTGTGACTTATTCATAAAACTCTGTGCAGGGAATTGGAGGACTTGATAGGAATTGTATAAGAACATAAACACTGAGGCATAAGGTGAAGATTGCGACAACCTTTGAATAAATGTGTGAATGCTGTTTTGAAATGTAAAAAGTGATACTTTAGATAATAGGATTATTGTCTATAGTTTTGTTGTGATGATGAGACTCTAACAATGAAGGGTAGGAGAACAGGTTTGAGAAAACTGACATCTGATAGAGGTTGACTTTCTTTCCTTCACAGCAGGAAGTACCAGACAAATCACTTTTTCATTCGGTGCTATCGCCTCAGGGTGATGTATCCCCTCAGAGACACCATAGTGCACCTTTTGAGCCAAAAGCAATTTTAAGTCTGTTTTGTACTCTGCTTGAGCTGAAAGAAAATTAGGTGAAAATCTGTGACATTCTGGGTATATTTAGTTGTTTTTCTCCTCAAAGTTTACCTGAAAAGCTGCTTTGACACTTGTACATAAAATCTTTGAAGTTCAGAACCTGGGGACTGTACAGTAAACAGTGGCACAGATGTGTCTTTATAATTATAGGGTTTATTTGGCATTTACAGGGTTTCATTTCAGTAGGTGAAGAATTGCCACACCCTCATGACAGAGGAGATCATATTTAGGTCACTTGAATAGTTGAGAAAAGTGAACTCTGTGCCAGTTTGCCCTCTAGTCCCAACTGAATTATATGCTTTGGTTTCATTTAATCAAGTTACTTTTCTTCTTAGCAGTCCCTGAATGTACAGTATCAGTATCATCAAATCGACAAAGACGACCAAAAGCAACAGTCATTGCGAAATTATGAAATCAGGCCTTGTTTCATTGTAAAGCTATGCAGATATGTTGCTGTGCCGCTGTACTTACTGTGAGAGCTGTTGTCACGAAAGGAAAATGTTTGCCAGCACCGCGGCATGTCTGCAGACAGACAGATAAATATGTGCATGGAAAGTTTTGAATCACTAACCATGACTTTTCTTAGTGAAACGGGGTGTATTATAGGCATTTGGGACTCAGTGAAAGAGTACAACTTGTGTAGAAATCTGCCAGTGAAGATAACTCTGTTTGTTTTTCCTGACTGGCTTAGCAAAGTTCAGAAAGGGTGCACACAGTGTTAGTTATTCAATTGGCTTAGTTTTCCTCTTTTTTTTTTGCAGGACATTTCTCTTGCCCCTTTTATCCTTGAAAACTGAGTGTGACATCCCCAGTATTTTAAGGGGGGTTCCTTCTAAGACTAATGGTTAATGGTAAAGAAAGTAAAGCAGACCTACAGCCATGCTTGCAGTAAGCCATAGATCCACATTTAAGCAGAGCTGAAGTTAGCATGCTGACACTCTCAAAAGAACATGCTATAATTACATGCTAGGGTCAAAGAAGGTTATTTTTACCAGGGTCCCTGCTATCTAAGTGCTCTGGGTTAGCATGCTAAGTAAGTGTTAGAGCCAGCTGAGGTGGGTGAGGTTAGAGAGTGCAGGTGTATGGTCATTCAGAAAAGAAGAACATGGATGGATTGTACTCATAAACTTGGAAGTGGTTGTGTCATCAAGAAATGACCAGAAACATCCTGATCTGGAACTCAAGTTTGAAGCCACAGTCGGCTGTCTTTGTTAGGCTTATTAAACTTTAAAGATACTCTACCTAGAAAAGGTGTTTCTTTCTTTTAAATTTAGATTTCAGGGACATATTCTACCCTGCTAAGACTCTCACTTTGGGTTGGCAGCACCTACTCCTTTACACGTGTCCCTTAACTTGCTCTTATTGATCTAATATGAGCTCATGGTGTGCCCTTGCTTATATTCAACAGGCATGAGCAGGCCTGAATATTTAGCATTCTCCGACATTATTTTGGATGGTACTTGATTATTGCTTATGGGGATGAAGAGAGACCTCAGGGCTGTGGAGCTGACAGGGACTACAGAGATTTTCTTCACCCGTTTTTCCTGTACATCGCATAAATGTTTATTGTGAGCTGCGACACCACAGTTTTTAATCCTTGACAGTTTCATGGGCTGTCTCTTTGGATTCTCTGTCAAATTGTTGACATTTTGCCAACTCTATGACATCTTGTTTAATAGCACAATCGCACAGCCACCCACAACCATCCAGGGTTGTAGCTCTGGTCAATGGGACTCTCAAAGCAAATCTTTTTTCACAGCTTGATCACATTTTTGATGTTTGTTACGTGTGCTGGTTCGAGGACGTGTTTTGTCTTGCAGTGGATTAGAGTGAGTGTCAGACGGTGCAGGTTTAACGGATACTGTGATTGTTGACCCAGTACCCCCCACACTCATACCTGTCTCCCTGTCAGCTGTTATTATGAGGTGTTTATGTTACATTCATTGAAAACCAAGAGCATGAAAATAGTTAATGTAGCATGGAGGATCGGACCAGGATGCATTTCAGCACGTGTCCAGTGTACCGAGAGACTGCACATACTCTCAGTGAGCCTCCAGCCTTTTTCCCACTGTCATCACAGTGTGTTGGGTTGAGTTTGTGCTGATTAAAGAGGCTTAAGCACCTGGCAGACAGCACCTTCAGATCTAGAGAGAATGTCTCTGCATGGCTGTCTGCCTGCCGGTGCAAAACAAGAGAGAGAGAGAGAGAGAAAGAGAAAGAGAAAGAGAGAGAGAGGGGCAAGTTAGGGCAGGGATGTAAGGTGTGTATGTGTGGGGTATTTGCTTCTGTTTGATTCCCATGAGGCAGTTTAAGGAAGAGTCACATCAGGTAGTTTGTTATGTGGCAGGTTAGAAGTTATTCCTGTTCGGTTATCTTCACAGATCTTCATTTTAAATTTTTTTTGAAGTTTAGAAAGAAGTTCAGACTGAACCGTAGCCGCCGCCAAGGACATTTTCTTTTCTCTAGAAGTTTGTGGGTTTACCTTGTTGGAGGCTTTCTTTCGCTACGACAGAGGAGGCTACCCCTGTTGCAGCTAAAGGTTATCTCTGCTTTTATTTGAAGCCTCACAGGAAAACAAAATGGCTACTTCCAAAAAGGAAAAATCTAAACGAGGTAAAAAAAATATCAGGAGAAAATCCTCAGGCTTTCTTTCTAATGCTAATTTGATTTGCTAAATTATGCTCTAATCTAAAATGGGCATCCACGGCTAAAACTTACAAAGTATTTCCATGGTTGCATTTGATAAACACTCTTCACTGCTGTCTGCGTGACTCGTTTACTGTAGATGATGATATAACATGTCTCCTAAACCTCTCTGTCTCTCTCCACCGTCACTATCAGAACATCTGTATTTAACCAAAACAATCCTGTCAACAGATGTTTGTTTATTTAAGATATTCTAAGTTTAATCTGCCATTATTTACACACCATAAACTGTAATCATAATTCCCCTCCGTATTTGATGTACTTAAAATGTTGTTTTCCCTCACTGGAGACTGTCACTTGAATGAACTGATGACGCAATATCAGATTGAGTTTGTTTATCCCAGTTGGAGATGTAAACATCAGTTTGGGGTTTATGCGTGATCGCTGCTGGCCTATTAATACCAGCAGGCTCCCCACAATCCACCAGTGACAGATGGCGTCTTAAATATGTCGGTGATTAATATGGACACAATTACAATGTGATCACAGCAGCAGCGATAATATGAGCCCCTCATTAACGTGCAACCGTGCCCCACCCATCGCTCCAACAACACGCTTCTCCAGTCGAGTGTGTGCTGCCATGGTAACAATATGTGTTGTCCTAGACTGACTCTGCCTTACACTTGCATAGCAACTTTCTGTTTACAACTACAGCTGGAAGTTTCTACTCATGCAGGAGATTCTGTTAGAATATTGGTCTTTTTTTCTGCGTTACTATGGACTGCTTTTTTTTCCTTTTTGGTAAACTTCTCTTGCTTTGAGTCATTTGGTGGGATCACCACTCCAGGAATGTTTTCCATTTGTTCAGATAGCACTTGTATCATGTCATGTCTGCTGACGTGAACAAACCCATTACTCACAGATTAGTAAGAGGTGGTCTGATTTGAAAAGACTCAACGAGGAAATAGTCATTAAAGTTTGAAATTTGAAACAGATGAAGTAGAAAAAGTTTGAAGCTTCCTCACTTGAGACAAAACTTAGATCCATGGGTCTTGATAGCTTATAGGGATACAGATCTCGTCATCTTCTATACTCTTACTCAATCTGATTTAATGCTGCTGGAAACAATAGGGAACATTTTTCACATGTGTGACCATGTGCTGAGGAGCAGCAGGCCTCCTTTTAAACATGTTTTTAATCTTGTTTTACAGAGATTCCTTCAATTCAATCACTCCCCCTTGTGGCAGAACAATTGAATGTTATATCCTGTAAAGAAGTCAGAAAAACAAAAATGTGCTCTGCAGTAAAAGTTCAGTGTGATCTTACAAAGAAGTTATCCACTAACGGCCCAACACTGTCTCAAAAGTGGACATTTTCTCTGACAACAGCTTTCTCTACGCTTCAGTGTTTACATCTATCATCCCTATTTGATCTCTACCCCCACCAACCAATCCGGGGCAACCTTCCCTACAAACGGGGAGAAACAGTGGGATGCTGCATATCTGTCAGCGAGAGGGGAGGAGATACAGTAGAGAGGGATGGCAGGAATTAGGCTGCCGAGGATTAGTGTCTGAGCTCTGATTGACCATTGGCTGCAGAGACCCTCTCTGCTCCGCATGGACCTCCACTGACAACAACAGCTTCATCCAAAACAAGAAAGATTATCAACCGAACATGATCTTTCCAGGATGTTTTTTTTTTTGATTGACAGACTGTAGGCTGCACCTTTTAATTTCTTTTCTTTCCTTATAAAGCGTAAATATAGTTGTTTTGTACATTTGGGAAAAAAGTGAGCGAGCATGGTGTTGCTTTTGGCTAATAACTCCAGCGCTAACTTTGATTGCTTTCCAAGAGTCTTCAAGAGGAAAGGTGAGTAAAGCAGCTCATGCTGATGCTGTCCAAAGCTGTGAGACTACATACTTTATTGTTTTATGAGTCAAACTTGCTGCTACTGCACAGATTGTTTGCATTGCTATTCAAGTATGACCAGTAAAAACAGGATTAACTAGCTCTCCCAACCGGTAATAAAGTGAAATTATATTGACCAGAGACCATAAAAATGTAATGTTTGCCATCCTCAGGTTTAAGATGCTGGAGTTTTTAAGCTGGCGTAGGCAACAAAAGTGTGCTTTTATTGGAGGAAAATGGAATAGTTAATTTGCATAACACCTCATTGAGACTTTTCTACCCCTCTGAGTACCCGCCTGTAATGCTGTTACAAAAGAGACAGTGGTAACAATTTGCAGCGATCACCGAACACATGACCACGGAGCCTAATTCCAGCACGGTCTTACAGCGACTGTGTGGGCAGTGGAGTACAGTAGGGGGCTAAATGCGGAGCAGCTGTCACCATTACATAAAAGTGTCTTAGCAGATTGTGAGCCACGAGATCCCAGACTACGACCTGGGGGGAACCTCATGCCGGCACATGCAAAGTCACTGAAATGCTTATATAGTTATTTCATCTTGTTTACCCCTTTTTCATGAGAGGTGTTTATTAGGACTTGTGTCTTAATGATTCATAACATCAGCAGGATTTTATCAGTCAGTTAGTGAGGCAATTAAAGATTGAATTGTTGGACTAACACTGATAAGATAGGTCAGTAATGAAATCAGCGTGCCCCTAACTCATTATTTAAAAATACTTAGGCTCAAGGAAAAAGCGTTAACACAGAGCATATGTTGGCATCAGTAGATTTTTAGGAGAATAATCCTTTAAAAAAGTAATTGTCAGGGTCACTAGAGTTAAATCCTGCTTGAGTAGAACTTCTCCTCTGCTAATTCACACTCTCATGTCTTTAACCCTTAAATATATTTACTGTTTGAGCACTTTAAGCCTCTGTTAGATACTTGAACACCTCACGCCATCCATATGGCCCCCCTATCTACTGTTATACCAACAAAGAGCTTTGAGTTTATCCAGGCTGATCCCTTCTTCCCTCTCTCTACCTCCAGCTGTCCTGAAGCGGGACAACAATGATGACAGGTCCCCAGGAACCCCGCTGTTCCAGGAGAACGTGTTCATCGAGGCCAGCAGACCCCAATACTTGGAGAACCTCCACACTGAGGCCCTGGAGGGGTTAAAAATGATGCAGCAGGAAGGTACAAAACACACCAATGATACAATCTTACAACTGAGAGCTAATTAGAGGCCAGCATGTTACGTAAGAGGGTGCGCACAACAAAGAATTTTAATTGCAATTATAACCTCACGAGTCAAATGTTTCTCTCTTGACAGAAACCAATAATGGAGTGGCGTATAAGGACAATGAGAGCACCATTGTAAGTCAAATATCGAACCCAGAGCTGCTGTTTTTACTGCACATGCACAGTTTTTGCAGGTGTGTTTTGCTTCCGGATGATTGTATGTGTTTGTTTTGTGTTGTTTCAGTCAAATATGACGGTGCACACAGATGGGGAAGGTTTTATGACAGACAGCACCATTGCGGATACCACTTCTGTTGTCTCTGTAAAATCATCTGTGTCCACAAGATCATCTCGCTCTGGACTCACCCGGCAAGGTAACTTCAACCACGTAAACACTATTCAGAGCCCAATGTTTATTTAACAAGTAAATAAATTTTTAGTAATTAGAAACAGATTTGAATTATTTGAAAATCATTTAAACCATTGAAATATGTGTTATCAAAATTTGATATTGATTTAGGGTTGAATGGATGCTTTCAGGTTCAGAGGATAATTTGTTTTTTTGTGCATATTTTTGCCTAGAATCAACTTTCAGGCCCTTGAACTCCGGAAAAAAGTCCAAGACGAGGAGAAAACACAGGAAGACAGTTGCGGGTATCCCCCAGCATGTTCAGAGAGAACTGGGTATACAGCTCATCTTTAAACTGTTACCTGCATTAAATGCAATTTACACAGGAAACATACTGGTGTCAGAGATGGTTGCTGTCTTTATTATAGAAAAAGTTCTTAATTATCAGTATGGACCAAATCTAATCAATCTTCATGTCCTCTCTCAGGCCTGGACAGAGTGGGCTGGACCCTAGCTCAGGCAGAGAATGAGGGACAGCTTTATAATGGTGACACAGATGAAAGCCCGACCACTGACGGTCTGCAGCAGGCAGTAATCCATCCCCTCAGCAAAGAACGGCTGGATCAGCTCGCTGCCTCCCACGCTGCTCAGGGTGACAGTCTGGCCATGTTGCACACCCTGGACCCCAATCTGTCAGCAGAGCAAGGACCTCATCCCTTGGCTGGCCACTTGATGACCACCGCCAACAGCCTCCAGCAGGAGCTGCCCAGCCCTGTCATTACCATGTCCCCGCAGGCTGCCTACATGTCTAAGATCATCCCCAATGCTGTCCTACCTCCCTCTATTGACGTGGTGGAAATCAGCCGTGGGCGGAGTCGCAACAGTGTCCGCACTGTCAGCAAGAGCAGCCTGGTGCTGTCAAGCCCCGCCCCTTCACGTGCCTCCTCTAGAGCCTCCACAAGAACCACGTCCTCCACTATTACATCTGCATCCCGTCAGAACCCTGTCATGTCTGACAGTTCATGTTGGAGCAACTCTGAGTCTTCAGAGACGCTAGTGTCCGACTCCTCCACCATTTCCAGTAGCAGCACCCCCCGACAAAAGGGGTCTCAGGACGGAAACGTGTCGGCCAGAGAGGACAAAATCAGTGTCCACTCATCCATCAGCAAGGCCTCAAGAGGCACCTCTAATGGCAAGCTCATTAGTAAAGGGAAGCAGGGTAGTAAAGAGGGGTTTGCGCGAAGCCTCTCTGTTATGAAGTCAAAGAAGGCTCCTCCTCCTCCGAGCCGCTCCTATTCTCTTCACAACAAGATGAAGAGACGGTCACGGGACTTGGCAGACATTAGGATTGTTCCTGGAGAGGAAAGCGATAAATACAAACCAGGATCCTCTCCTATGCCATCAAAAACTATCGACAGTCCTGGATACAATGCTGACACCAGTTCTCTGGATGAATCAACAGGTTCTGCGTCGATCAGTCCCATCAGAGCTCAGCTGAATACACTGAAAGAGGTGGAAGCTACAAAGGTGGATGAAGGAGACTCCAAAGATGCTACACAAGAGCAAAGCAAAATAGTCTCCCCGTCCAGCGGTTACTCTAGCCAAGAGGGCACATCGACTCAGTCCTTAAAACAGTCCCACAGCTCATCTCCAAGGCACAAGAGAGGCCTCTTGGCGAAGCTACAAAGGCTTTTCCCTGGGTCGTCTTCTTCTGCCTCACCCCCACCACCCCTCACACAACCAGACCCTCCCGAAACCACAAAACCCACCCAGGACGCCACCACCGTTGATGCTGCAAGTCCTTCTGTAAGGGCCTTGAGGGAACTCTTCAACATCCCTCCACATCCTAAAGTCCATGCACCCCCAGCTCCACCCCCAGAGGTGTGGGTTCACAGCAGGCGGTCCATTGAGTTGCTGCTGGGACCTCCAGTGCCTGATGACATATATGCTATCATCAAGAAGAATCCAAAAGACAGGAGGCAACATAGGCAGTCTCCTTCTGCATCCACAGAGGGCTCAGTGAAAGTGGAAAGAAAGCACAAGACAGAGACGAGAAAGGTTCAAGAAAGTGTGACTTTGAATGCAGAGGTTCACAAAGAGAACACTGACAGGCTGGCCGAGCAGAGTGTTGATCTGAAAGTGACGGAAAAAGACGAGAAGGTTCGAGCAAGTGACATTTTGAGCGGGCTGTTAGCGAAAGCAGTCGTGAGTCGAGAAGAACGACTCGCAGCAAGAGAAGGAGAGATGAATAGGAGCTCCACCCAAACCCCACCTGTCATTTCATTAGCATGCGTCCCTCCATCCCCATCATCCTCCACCAAAAAGACCACAGAGGTTGTGTCCCCTGAGTCGTCCTGGCCTCCACCCCCACCACCCATTGGACAAATTGTCATTACCGATGAGATGGATTTCCCTCTCCCACCTCCGCCCATGTTTGGTGAGGGGCTAATCCTTCCTGTTCAGGTACCAGCAGAGAGTTCCACTCCTAGTGGGGACCCTTCATCCACAAGTACACCCCTGAATATCCCACCTCCCCCATCATATACAGCCCCACCTCCGCCGGTTGGAGCAATGACTCCTGGAACTCTCAAGAGACTCTCTCCACTGCCACCAATACAAGAGGTTCCTACCTCGCCACCACCTGTGGAGATTTCTCCTCCTCCTCAACCACCTGTAGTGGTTTCTCCAGCTCTGCCACCACCACCTCCCAATGAGATTCCTCCTCCACTACTGCCTAAAGAAGTCACCCCTCGTCCCCCACCACCTATACAAGTTATTCCACCTCCACCACCTATAGAGATTCTCCTCCCACCCAAAGAAGCTACTCCACCACCACCTAAAGAAGTTATACCACCTCCACCACCTGTAGTGGTTTCTCCGCCACCCAAAGAAATGACTCTTCCCCCACCAACTAAAGAATTTATTCCACCTCCACCACCTGTAGTGGTTTCTCCTCCACCTCCACCGCCGATAGAGATTTCCCTTCCGCCCAAAGAAGTAACTCCTCCACCACCACCTAAAGAAGTCATTCTTCCCCCTCCACCTACAGAAGCATCTCCACCACCACTTGAAGTAATTATTCCTCCCTCTGAACCCAACAAAGATGTCTCCACCACACTTGTTACGGCGGTATCTCCTCCACCTCCTCAAGAAGCTCCCCCTCCACCAGCCATCCCACCCCCCTCCCTGCTTTCTGAAGAGGTCTCCACTCTGTCCACTGATGAGGCTCCTCCATCCTCTCAAGAGAGTGCTCTTGAGTCCTTAGAGGAGACACCATCTGTTAGCACCCTCACTCCTCCACAAAGTATCCCTCCTCCACCCCCTATAACTGCACAACCACAGCAGGAGAATGAGACACCGCAGGAGATGGTCTCATGTGAACCTGAATCTAGTCACAGTATTCTCGGTCCACCAGAGAGTATCCCACCTCCACCTCCTGTGCAGCCTCAACCTGTGGAGGTACACCAGGAGACCCCTGCTCCACCCCAGTCTGAAGCCTCCACCCCGCCAGCTCCCGAAAAAGTTGAGGAGCCTGCACCCTCTGCACCAGCAACCATTCCCTTACCTCAATCTTTACCCAGTGTGGAGCCCCAACCAACTCCTCCAAGTACAGAAGAACAAGCTCCAGAGCAAACATCCACCCCTGTAGTGCAGGAGGAACCCACTCCCATTATCACCCCCTCTCTCCTGCAGATGGTAAAGCTGCGATCTGTCAACAGCAGCCCTGAGCCTCCCAAAGCCCCGGAGCAACCTGAAGAGGAGGTAACCCTTAGGAAACAGGTCCCAGCTACATCCACCAATGGCGAAGCTCCTCAGAAGCCCATCAGAAAGTCTCTGATCCTGACCTCACCCCCATCCCCCACCTCCAGTTCTCCACCGGCAGCAGTGGCTTCACAACCAGCACTGCCTAATTCCCAGTCTCTTGTGATTCCACCCACATCTACATCCCCTACTAAGAAGTCTCCTCCAGCTGCGTCTCCCTCCATGAACCTGCAGGAAGCCATACGCTTGAGGACAGCAGCCAGATCCAAGGAGAACCCCCCATCTCGCCTCAGCCTGCACTCACCGACTTCACCCCTAGACCTGCGCAAGTCTCCTTCTAGCACTGCCAGCTTCATCTTCTCCAAGAGCAACAAGAGGGTGGTGATCGATACGAAACCGGTGATGGAGAAGAAGAATGTGGAGAGTGAAGCAGGATCTGGTAAGAAGGGAGTCAAGGTGCCGCCACCTGTTGCAAAGAAACCCAAAGCTAAAGGCAAAGAGACAGAGACTGGTGAAGGGATGGAGCAAACTGCAAGTCAAGAGGCCCAGCAGGAAGGACATGGTAAGAGAGGTCATCTGTTTTGAATTATGTACATCAATTAATCCATTTTTATTTATACTGCATCAAATCATGAAGTTATTCTGAGCAGATCTACAGCAGACTCTCTAACAACACTTGAAAAGTACCTACATTATCCCACTATGACCAAAGTCACACATCAGCCGGCTAACATGCTCACATTGGCACTCTGTCCACTATGAAGCAGTTCTGCTTTTACTGATACTGTCTCTGTTTTCTCCATCCTCAGATGGTGCAGACAAACCCAATGGAACAGCAGGTACTGTTGAATAAGGAGGAACACCATCCAAATGTTGAAAAGACTTAAAGGAGACCGAGGAGAGACTCTGATGACACTGAATTAGCTGCAAATTGGTGTGAGCAACTACAGATGGATCTGGATTTATGACATGTTTGGTTTAAATGTGGAAAAGTTGTGGAAGTCCTTGGATTTTGATGTTCACGGTGTGGGTATTATCTTTCTCAAACACTCATTTTGTATTTCAGAGTAAATACAGAGATTTTTTTTTTTTGCCTGAGGGTCTGCTGAGCTTTAACGTTGCAAGAGATGGGACTACAGCGCCCTCTTGTGTCCAACAATGATTACTCTTCTGTCCTGCTGAATCAGAGCTTTTAGCCAGTACTCTAATAATGGGACTTCTGGGGCGCTCATGTAAATATATCAAAAGTTTGTACATTTAATATTTCTGATAACAGTGGATCTGTGCTGCAGTCCTATTCTGTATTTTTGTTTTCCAAAAGAGCTTCCACACATGAAAAATATTAATTATCTTAAGTTATTTCCTGTTTCTCGTTCAGAGGAGGGTCTGTACTGACGTCTTTTTTTTATGTCTTAAATCATTCAAAGAAAATTGAAATGTATTGCTCTTAATCTTAAATGTGTTAAATATCCCACTTAATTTTTCACGATTAAACAATGTGCATGACTTTTAGTTTTACAAAAGACGAGATATGCAAATGCATCACTAGAATTGTATTTTGATGCACATTTTCTGCTGCTTTTAGTTCCTGATGACAGAGGTGATGCCTTTCTTTACAGTCACAGCTCAAACAGTGGGATGTTCCTGTTTTGAACTTTAATATATATATGAAGCTGGATTCAGAAACTAATGTCCAAAATGATTATTCATAATGGAAAGAATAAAGATTTATTCAAGGATTGTCTCAGATGAGTGTCTTTTTTTTTCCTATTAAAATTACTTATTTTTAATCACTTAATCATAAAGCCATCATTGGTTTGATATCTACCAGTGTGATCCCTGTTTAGTTTGGTAATTAAGAGGCATTTGGACCTGACTTTCTTAATGTCTGTAAAGCTGAGGTCTGTCAATAATATAAATATCTTCAAGCTAACTGCTCCTCTTGTGGTTGAAACTTTTTGATCTATTTTAATTCACTGTTTTGTTCAAGCTTCCTTGAATCAGATTTTTTTTCTGACAGTTGAATTAAACTTTTGTCTTCTCATCGAAGTTTGTATGATCAGACTCAATGAGCATTCCTTTGTTTTCCATGGTTTTAATTGTCAGAGATACAGTTAAATGTTCATTTTACCAAAACAAATTATCCATATTGTATGTTTTAAAAATGACTGAAGAGACCATCTTTTGCATTTTCATGTTTTTATTGAAATGAGACCTCTTTTTCGGAGAGTTATGAATGGAGATTCGTTTAACTAATGCTACCTCCATGAGAAATACCAGATCTGCTCCTTATCATCATCATCTCTTTTCCACTCCACCTCTGCAGCTATCGTTCCTATATCTTCTTCATCGCCACCTGACTGCTTACTGTTGTCATCCTCATTCTCAGAGACAGGCGGCTGCTGTAACTCCGTCTGCAGGTTTGCCTGTAATGGTAACATTTTCTCCAACTCCACCTGTTGACGTAACACCTCAGCTTCCTTCTGTCCGTCAGAGATCCCATCTTCTCTTTCTTCCTCTTCCTCCCTCTCTGAAACCACCTCTCCTTCCAAATGCCCAGATCCTTCATCCTCAAACAGGTTTGCATCACTTACTTCAGGCTCCTCCTTCCTCTCCACTAAGACGTTCTCCCTAAAACCTGACTCATCTAAATCAGATTCAGCAGTTTCCTCTGAGATAACTTCACTATCCTCCTCTTCTTCTTCATATAAGTATACATGACCATCCTCATCATAGTTCACTACATCCACTTTTTCCAGCAGATCTTCATAACTGTGCAGCTCATCAATGTAATGACTGATAATGGCCAGGCCGTCTCTGCTCCTGCTGACTGAGGAGGTTCTGGCTGATAGGACATCATCTTCTGTTGTGGATGGCTGATCTGAGACCAGCAATGACCCACTGCTGACCGTTCCTGAATAAAAAGAGATACAGGGAGGTCATAAAAATAGGAACCTGACCTGCCCTGGGGCCTATTTTCATATCTAGAATATATTTTTTTAAATATATGAAGTGAGGACAACAGACAAATATGATCAGGTGAATTACTCCAGTGGGAAGGAGCCAAAGATCTAAAGGCTTTTTTGCCTTCTTCCTTGGAGACAAAATGAATGCTAATGAGGAACTGGTACAGACTTCTTAAAGTATAATTTGATGACTTGGGAACAAAAAATTGTTTCAAACAAAAAGTGATGATGATCTTGTTAGACAGCCTTGGCATGTTTTTGTTGTCAGCTGATTCATAGAGTCTCAGAAGTGGCTGACCTATGAACTTTGAGCAGACTTTTCCATCTGACAGAGCAGTTTGGACAAAGCTAAAAGCACTATGAGAAGTCTGAACTGATTTTTTGAAAAGTCTCATGCTTATGCTGATGACTCTTCATAACCTACAAGGTAAAATGAGATTACCAGCTACAAAATCTTTTTTTTTCTTTGGACTAAATTCTAGTTCCTATCCTTATGACAGAAAAAAATCACATTGATATTTGCCACTCACAAAGAGGTGGGTAATTAAGTCAGCAAGCAAGGGAGGTCAGCTTCAACATGTTTGGTATCATGGTTGCAGGATTAGCAAAAATCATATGAGGCATTGTTTCACAAGGAGAAACTTGAAAACTAGGGCTTTTCCAGGTAAAAGAGTAAAATAGCTAAGAGCTGGAGTTTTAACGTTTTCTGCCAGCGGGCTAATGTGTCAGTGTTATTCAGGGACAAACTCTTGTGCACAGTAATGTTACATTTCCTGGGGCACCTGAGTGCGCTCATCACACAGGGGCTGTGAAGCAACAGTAATAAATCAGTTTTGCCATTGTTAGACTACAGTTAATCATTTTTAGTAGCTACATATCCTTGACTTTAAGTGGCTGACAAAACTGAGTTGAGAAGAAAATAAATGAATACAATGATGAGTAAGGATAAATCAATATAAACAGGAATACAATATCTTACAGATAATCAAGTGATATTAAACCTGATATGATTTGTGGGGATAGAAAAGGTGGATAAATGCTATCAAAATTGTATGTGTGCACATTGTACTAAAAGAATAGACTTATTTTCTTGGATATACTTTGATATCAAAACGTGTAAACTAATGTCAAATTGGTGGCATTGTGCTGAGTCATGATACATTTTCTGTTAAAGGCACTACAGGGAATTTTTTAACAGGTTTAAAAACAGGGGGGACTGACTCTGATGCCTTTGTATGACATTTAAAATAAAATAAACAAACAAACTCAAAAAACAACGGCAACAAGACTGGGAAGCTGTGAAGGGACGGGGGTCTTTTTTAGTCTTCTGAGTGTTGTCTAATTTGTAGACTAGTTTGCTGAAGTTTTGTTCAAATTAGGGAATGTGTTACTTGAACATTCCTTGTCTCAAGTTCTCAAAATTGTTGCATGTGACATTGTAGTTAAAGTTTAATCACGTAACATGCCAAACTTTATGGGGATGGAGTTAAAAATGCTTTAAAGTCAGTGAAATTGAATTAAGGCCAAAAGAGAGGCAAAGCCACAAACCTTCGATCATAGCCCTCTTTGGTTTAGATGTCACACACTGTGAATCACAGCATTCACATATAGAGTCATCACCAGTCAAGGCCTCCCACCTGGGAAGGAAAGTGCACACACACACACACACACACACACAATGTTTGAAAAGCAGAAGAAAAGTCTCATTCAGAACTAGAATTCCAGTTTATGGCTCACCTGTTCACCCTGTAGGTACAGGACTTTTGAGCAGCACTCGGGTCTTCAGATGTGACTAACAGTTTGCAGTGGATGCTGACCTATAAAAATGAAGTGCTGCAAAAATCACAGTCCAAAACCTGTGAATCCAGATTTACATTTCAAACTTACCTCTGTGTCAGGGTCTGAAGTGAACTGAAAAGCCTTTAGGGAGAACCTAAGGGTCTTGTCTGTCCTGGAGATGAACTGAGAGGCTCCTGGGTCTCTCTTACTGTCTATCATACAGCTGTGAGGACGACACACCGATCTTAGAAAATACAGCACCAAGAAAGATTTTATGATCATTTATAAACTATAAAACTTACCCAAAGTTGTCAATGATGGTGTATTTTAGGGATTCAGAGCCTGTGGATGGTGTAGCATAGCAGCTGCTAATGTACACTTTTCCTTTAGTAGGGAGGTTTGGACCAGAGACCTGGAAATTTACTGTTTTCCCAAGCTGGTACACCTGGACCTTTGAAGGTCTGGTCCATGAATCTAAAAGTTGACAACAAATAAGCCAAGTCTAACATAACAACGCATGCAACTGTTATTCAGGACAAGTATTAATAACAAACCATCCATCAGCTCCATCTGGAAGTCTTCCAGATTTCCTTTAAGCCTTTTACGCACAATAGCAGTTTCCCAGGTGGGCTGCACGGTCAGCTGGTACACATGATGGTTCCTGGAAAAGTTCATTTTCTGTAATGACTAACACATTCTTGATGTTTGAATTATGATAAAGTTAGGCCTAACCTTTGATAACGACATTCAATGTTGACATCGATCGGGTGAGCTCTGCTTGGGAAACGTTTTGATGAAGGTTCATAGTGGAGGATGAATTTGTAGACCAGGTAGCCCGGGAGTAACTTTCAGGGGGATCAAAAACAGTGCTCTCAATCCGGTGCATGGAGTCTAGAGACAATTTCACGTGTGGAGATCTTACCTGACGCACAGCATCGCACTTTGTCAGAGGGTACGCGAACAGCAGGTCGCCTGTGGGTCTGAGAACCCCATTACTTCTACAGGAGCTGCCCAGTCTCAGCTCCTCTGCCGCCGCACCCAGACCGTAGAAGACCGGTTTGACTCGAGTGACAAAGTCGGACGTGGAGCAAGTGACAGAAACGTCTGGAAGGTAAGCAAAATCCGACCGGGTCTTTGCCTTGGGCTCCCTGGAGCGCAAGGATATAGGTGTTGCAGGTGCTAGAGTCGGGTCAGCCTTCAGGGAGTTGGACTGAGACAGCAGAGGAGACCTGTAGGAGGATTTTCTGCCGCTTGTTGTTAAAACTTTGGTTGGTTTTAGTTTTGGAGAACCCAATCTGAAAACTCTCGTTTTGTCTTTGGTAGATTTAGAAATGTCTGCTGCACAGCTGAGGAGGCCAAGTGACAGAACACTCCACAGAATACAGAGATGCAACTTTGTTTTCATCGCAGCAGACAGCAGTGCTTCTACTTTTCCCTTTCAATCTGCGCGTAAAGGCGGCGCTCAGACACGGCTGTGGACAATTAGAGAGGATATCAGCAACCTCTTGTCGAATAGGTGAAGCTCAAGGGGAGCTGTGAAGGTGTATGGCTGCAGATTTTAACAACTTCAAATCCCGATTTTTTTTTCAATATGCTTGTTGGCTTAAAAAACACAACAGGCCTACTGGAGAAAAAATGAAAACTAACAAACAAAACCCCAACCTTGTTCTTCAAACTATATAGCATCAGCAAACTTGACGTATTTGACTACATGTGCAAAGGTCAAGCTTTCTAGTTGCAATTTTTTTTTATTGTAGGTTTACATAAATGTGTAAGAATGTTCACTTTTGTAAACAGCTTCTAAGTGCAGACTTAAAGCTCCTGTGAGGATTTTTTTCACATCAAGAAAGACTGAAATTCATATTTTTTGCCTTTTCGTGACTGAAGATAATTTAGATTCCCACTGAGCAACAGACGGCTATTAGATGTCTAGTTTTTTTTAGACCTAATTTCAGCAGATTTAGACTTGGTCTGAATTGAGATGTCTAAAAAACTTTCATTTTTAGACCTGAGGTAGCATCTAGGCTACATCTAGACATCTATTAGATCTCTTTTAGACCAAAAAATGCTCAGTGGGCTGAGACTGTTGTGAGGATGTAAGGATCAGCCAAGCTGCTAGAGATACAGCTCTGTTTTAACAATTTCAGCATAAAATGCTCAATGAGACTACTTCAGCATGTGGAGGCAGACGCCCACAGGAGCTTTAAGAATAAACCTCAACCAACCAAGCTAGAAAACAGAATGGATATAGAGTTAATCTGTTGATTTTTTTGTCCTTCAATCTGATGTAGGCCTACATCAGCATTGTATTTACATTTATACTTACTGCTATTAAGAATGTACCGAAGTATTACTCTTATATTGAAATCAGCTTTCATTAATAATTCAAATAGACTCTGGATAAACTGGCAAACAGACCTAATCCAACGGTTTCTTTGTGAAGAGAAGGGGTAATGGTTTAAATTTTACAATAACAAAACCTTTTTTTCTTTTTTTGTATTCTGAGCAAATTTATTCAGACTTTACAAATATACAACACCAGTCCATTGCTTCATTGATACAGTACACTGCTCATCGAGGCCCAGCTTAGAAAAATATTTACATTTATGTACATGGCAGCATATAAACACCAGGGATAGACGTAATGTGCTTCATTTAGACCATTGAGTGCAACTTTAAAGCCTTAACAATAAGGTCTAAGAGGGAATATATTACATCTTTTTTACTTAATAACTTAACCATCAGGATATATGTTCATTTGAGGTTCAATCAAGCCGTAAGTGAAGATACATGTATACAACATATAAATTAATAATAGCACAACTGTGTTCAGACTGCTGTTTTTGAGAGTTACTCCTGTAAAGGCAGCTGGTTCATCACACTGCAGCAACATAGAAGATTTATGTCAGTGTTTGAATGTTCAATCAAGAACCATCCACTTTTAATAAATTATTATACACACATGCCTTCTTCATAGGAAACATATAATCCCTTCGATAGCTGAATAAATAATTAAATAAAGCATTTGTCTCCCCTCAGGAAGTGATAGTGTGCTTGATGAAATACTGAACTTGACTATAAAAGCACATTATGAAATTTCTTTTAAACATAGTGGCTTAAAGCACATAAATGTGAGGGGGGGAACCCTTTTCTGTGTCAAAAAGAAAAAAAAAAGTCAGAGAAAATCTCAAAGCAACTATTGACAGACAATGTGTGTGTAAGGCAGTGATTCAGCCTACATACAGTACATCTTACCACTCTCAGAAGATTCAAGTACACTTATAGTTATTTCCTTCATAAAACGATCCACAGGAAACACCAAATTCAGAGTAGAAATTGTAGCACAGCTCCTCACAGCTTCAATCATAGTGCTGGTAAGCCCTTTGAAAACAAGGGCGAACACTTCACAGCATGTAAACATCAGAGGTAACACCAAACTTCAGTCTGCACGAGTGACGGTCTGAGCTCGTAAACTGGACTATAAAACTTCATAAACAGTATCAGAAAGTACATGCTGTTTCCAACCTTTAGAAATGTGCTTAGTTTAGTGCCTACACACTGGTCGTACTGTAAAGATGTATGAATACTCATGCCCCACAATGCAAAGCACAAAACAATGAAGGAGGCACTGAGAACCAGTCGCGTCGCAGACGGCTACATGAACATCTCTGTAAACAATTCATCTTTGGAAAAAAAAAGTCCTTCAAGATAAAATAAGTACAGCTTTTCATGGTGTAGCTGTAGATGTTGTACAGAACTCTGTCTTAACATCCTTTGAATGATCATGTGACAACATTTTACTGCCAAGGTTAGTATTTGAGGCTGAAATATTAACTGATCCCAGTGCGGTGCTTTAACTGATTGGTGGAAAAAAAAAACCTCTGAGAGGAAAATGCAGATGCTAACTCTGTTGAAAACCTGACAAAATGACACCTAGAGGATTAAATGCTTTATAATCTTTTTTTGTTTGTTTGTTTTGTTTTAGTAGGTGCAGTCTAACCGGACCACAGAAAATACTCAAAACACACGTCATGCCACTAGAGGGCGATGTAAACCTGTGTCATCCACGGAGAGAGCGTGTAAATGCTGATGGTATTGGAACAGCAGTGCTGGTCTGTGGTCCCTCTTCTGTTTGTCCAGATACTCAGTGGTTTGTCCCTCAATAGTCTGTGCAAACACATGAAGTAGCAAGGCGGTTGGCTCGTGCCCGTTGCTAAACACTGCACCCAAGGGCTGAAGTTTCGGACTCCGAATCAGCCTCAGAGTCCCTGTGAGAGGATGGGAGAAGAGCCAGGAGTCAGACACAAAGGACTTGGCTTGTCCATACCGGGTGATAAATGTGCCAGCATGGGAGCAAAACAGTGTTTTTCAAAGTGTCTTTTGAAATGAGTTCAGGTACAGAAAGCAGAGCAGAATTAACATTCCTCTGGTTTGTTTGCTGTGGTCATGCATGAGTAATACTTGCAACAAAAAAGTGCTCATATGCTTGATCCAGGGAAGGTAAACAAGCTCATATTTGCTTAAAGCTTATGTGTGCATTTTAACTTACAGCATTTCCTGCAGCAGTTTGCGGTTACCCTGCCTCCTCTCCTCATCGATCGGGTAGGTTTTGAGTATCAGCAGCCCCACAAAGATGAGAACCACAGGCACCGGAGAAACCAGCACCTTCAGGGTTAAAGCGACTGCCTCAGGTTGTGTGCAAGCCCCGGTCACGTAGCCGGCAAATCTGAGAAAAAATGCAGAGAAAAATTGGCTGAGAAATAGCTAAGCTGATGTGAACATAGTTAAAGGAAGATTATGTGATTTTACACCACATGACTGCTGGACTGATGAGCTGTAATGAGGAGCTTATTTCAAGTAGTGTTGAAGATTAAGACAGTACAGATGTAAATGGAGGGATGACAACTTACTTCAAGCTGAGTGTAGAGACACCCAGGGATATTCCAGAGGCAAACTTAATGAAGAAAACATAGAAGGAGTAGAAGAGCGCTTCATGACCATGGATGCCTGGGTTATTAACCTTAAAGTCGTCAACTACATCAGGAAGCATTGACCTGAAAGGACACATTAAGCATTAGAAAAGGAAGTCAGGGCATAATTAGAGAAAATCCACATCTGCTCAAAGATTCAAGGGTGATATCTACAGACTGACTCACCAAGGCAGGAGGAAAGCTGCAGCGACACTAAAACCTGCTGCCACTGAGACCAGGTAGGAGATAATCAGGTTGCTCTTGATGCAAACAATTAAGATCATGAAGGGTACAGCCCACTACGGAGACAAAATATGCATCATGTGAGCAGGAAAATAAAAACACATCCTTATTGAATGAAGGTGTCTTTTAAAAAGTTGAGCTTTATTTTACTCACTGAGATGCCGCAGTAACTTGCAGTCTTCTTCCCAAACCGTGTCAGAAACCACTGCCACAATGGGATGGTCAAAGTGCCAGACAGCTTAAAATGCAAAAAGAGGAGAGGCAGAATTAGTATTGTTGTTCACTTCATCGTTGCCATTCATGCACCTAAATTTAAGTATGTAAACATAACATCTTAATTAGGTTTTTAAGGCATGAGGTATGTCCACATATGTCCTCAAAGGCTAGAGGGCCTAAAAGATCAAAACGCACCAAAATAATTGGTTCATGAGTAATCTGATTGGATTTTAGCCCCCAGACTTGATTAAATCCCCAGAATGGGTCATGAATCAGACTGAAATTTCTACACTGTAGTATTTCGTGTCTGTAGCTGCAGTGAGGGGTTAGGTATGCTATAGAATCAGCCTTTGTTACTTTTATCAGCGGCAAATATCTGCAGTAAATGATAAATTTCACTTTAAAAAGACAACAGTAAGAGAATATTTGTAATGTGGCACTGCTTTAACAACATGAAATCAGCACTAATAGAGGGCACCAAAGTCAATATGGACAGAAAGTTCCTCGTAGAGCTTTAATTAATTAAAGGTTATTTAAATTCCAGATTATGGATTTTGTATGAATCTCAGGAACAAATATAATCGAGATTTGGGAGTTTCAAATTATCCCTATGGATATATGGCTCAATCCATGTACAGTATGTAGACTATAGTCCTCAAAGTGGGAGGCCAAGGCTCATATCTGACCCACTGTTGCTCATCTTTCCTACTTTCCCTTCAAAGTTTCATTTTCATAGTCGGGTAGACTGTGTCAATTCAACAGATATTTTGTTTTTAAGAGTTTTTTTGTCATGCATTATGCTTTGTGATGAACAAAACAAAAAACAACACTCAAATTCAAGGAGGTCCACAAACTGCCTTGGAAAAACTGGCAGCAAAAGCTTGTTTAACTGACCCTGGATGGCAAACAACAAAACTGTTCCTACATCCACATTATTCTGATCCACTTTTACTCCTTTTCACACACTCAAAGTAACTCTTGACACTTCCATCGAAATATCTTCAACTAATTTCACTTTTACTAGTCTTTATTATTAATTTAAGACAATGTGGGACTCTAAAAGACTAAAGTGCCTCAGCAGGAAGAGGTCAAAGGACACAGGCACAATATGTTTGGGCAGATGACCTTAGGCCTCAGGCCAAACGTGATCAACTGACCTCACAAGAACAAGCCCAAACATGAGGAAACGTTGTGGAAAACTGTCCTCCTGCATTTGTGCCCACAAATGTTTCCACACCTCATCAGCGGGAAGCACCAGAGCAGAAAGCAGGAAGCAGGATGAAACAGGAGAAGCAACCAATGGTGGAAGTTCCCATGGTGGCAGTGACAGATCGCCTGGGCAACAAAAGCTCCACTGTGTGCCCGTCTCTCCCTAGATTCCCTGTTAACCCCAAGTGAGTGTGTGACTGGGTGATAGGTTCCCAGGAGAACAAACAACATCTCCCCTCACCCTGAAAATCTGCCCTTTCAGTCCCTGTGCCATGTGTCCCTTCACGTGAGGAAAGACTTTAGAGCACCGGCAGGGAACACGACAATCACTGCGAGTGTATTCCGTGCCACATGGATGGCCAACATGGTTTTGTGCGGCACTGCTGTCCTCCAAATCTCACCCTGATTACAGCTTTTACAAGGAGGTTAAGGGTCCTTCAGCAGGAAACAAAAAAACTCACCATGATGACGAGGAGAATATTCTGGTAGTCATTCCTATGGCCGAGAGCGTAGGTGATGAAAAGTGCAAAGTTTCCTTCCAGCAGCTATAAAAGACAAATTAGGATTAGTCATCTTTCTACAGATCTACAGCTTTAGACAGAGGAACCGTTTGACATTTTGGGAACAAGCCTTCAACTGTAATATCCCCTTTTTCTGAATATATCACACCTATCTTAACTGCAGAGGAAATCTAGACTAACTGTTCCTCTTATTGCTTTACGCTATACTAACTGATTCTTGGCTGATACTTCGTTTAGCGACAGATATGAGAGGGGTAAAAATGTCTTCCTTTGTAGTTGTTTCTTAGATTGAACGTATCATTTTACAGATGATTCATCCAACAAATACAAAGAGAGTGCATGTGATGGGTGCACCTGCAAGATTCGATTTGTGTCAAATACGAGACAGTCAGGGAAACAGGTTATTACCATAAAGGCTAAAGAGGTGAAGAGGAATCCGATGACCAGTTTGATGTACGGTCCATGACTCATCACCAGCCACAGGCCCTGACGGAAGCCGAGGGGCTCTGTTGTTTTTCTCCCACTCTCTATGACACAGCACAGACAACAAGAGCAGAGATGAAGACAGCTGAAACCTTCAACTATAAGGAATTTTTATGACACAATTTAACGCCACTGAGATAAGAACCAATGTCCTTGAATGTCACCTCCCTATATCTTTTGTATCTTTGGCATTTAGCTTACGAGGTTTAACATTTGTATACTTACAGAAGAGCAAATGTTTCACAGGGACTGACGATACAGACTGAGACTTTTTATATAATACATCAGTCCGCACTCTCCATGAACAAACAGGCGCAGTCATTCAAAAACTAGCATAGATTTTGGCAATCAGATCCAATTCTAATGAAAAGACTGGGTAATACAGATCTGATTATCTTGATAAATCATTATCCTAACCAGTATGACCCAATTCAACGTTACTTTAAAAAACAAGCAAACATAGATTGATAACCTGACTCTGGATCTCAAATAATTGCATTTTCGTAATAGGGTAGTTCTGATCTAGATTCAACTTTTTCAACATCTTTGGTATGATTTGTTCCACATTATTTATAAAGCATAATTTTCCAACTCAGTCAGAAGGTTTTAGTCCAGGTGAAGTCTCCAATTGGACAAATAAAGCCATCAGAATTTGGATTTAACTCTGACCCTATCCCATGTCATGTGCCCCAGGTCAACAGCTCTTCCTTAGATATTATAAAATTTCAACTTTGGCATCAGACAAATGAGAACCTCTCTAGTGACTTCTTGATTTCATACCTTTTTGTTCCTTCACACCCAAAAACAAGACCACCGCACAGAGAATGTAGATGACGCAGATGACCCCTGAGGCGATCAGGTAAGATTGTTTCTGTGGACAGAAAAGATGGCAGGCGGTTAAAGCCAGTTCTTTTTTTTTTTTTTTTACATAGATGCAATGATAATTATTTCTGTATCTCAAAGCAAAGCATTTAACACTCACTGTCTCATCCAGTGTAACATTGGATGGGCTGAAATTGGTTGAGTTTCTACTGTCTGTAGTATCAGACTCATCAGGACAATCTGAGGACCCTCCAACTATCTGCCCCTGGATCGCAGTACCCAGAACTGTACCCAGCACCTCCACCATCATACCTGAGAGCAACACAGAAATTCAGTGTGAATGCGCAAACCAAAATAGCATATGTAAAAAAAAAACTGCTCTAAAAGCAGCTCTGACGTACGATAGGCAGTGGCAGAGTCTCGCTCTTTCTGGTCATTGCTGATGAACATGGTGAGGGCTGAATACGGCACATGGAAGCACTGTGAAGGCAAACAAACTCATGATTAGGCTGATATTGACAGAGAAATGATGGGGATTAAGCAAGTGTCCACATGTGATACTAACCGTCTGCATTGACTGGAAGAGGCAGTAAAAGATAAGATACCAGACCACCTTCCCCTGCTCAAAGGGAGGCACATACCAGATCAGGAAGTACGTTAGCACTGCAAATGGAGTGGAGCAAAGGATCCTGGGAAGAAACAAAGAGACAGAGGATTGTTAAGAGGAAGTATGATGAAGATGTGCAACAAATTCTCATTTTGACATTGATCAAATCGGTTTCTTTTCACAAAGCCTGGATGTATCTATCAGCCTGAGCAGCTAGGGTGGGGTCTGTTTTGCATTCATGTTGTACTGAGTCCCCAGCCTGCTGTTTCCCACTGCTCCAGATGGTCTTTACTGAACCCTGCCAACTGTTACTGTAGTTTCCCTTCTTTTCTACTCTTTCCCTGCCTCTGTGTGCATAATCCTTCTAATCCTGTCTTGTTGGAGCTGTGTGTGGAGAAAAGGCTCAGTCTGGGTTGAGGAAGGAGTCTAACTCAGGGTGGGCTGACCCAACTGGGCCCCACTGGCCCATCTTGCTCTCACCCCACTCAGTCTAAGCTCTATGTGCCCTTCATCTGACCTCAGATTCAGGAGCCGCCCCACTTTAACAGCTTATTTTGTAAACCAACCAAAAGAAAAAAAAAAAGAAAAATTCTCTCATTAGCACAAGGAAATCCTGCTGTTTAATATTTACACAGCCTTCTAACTGCTGCAAACAAAACTGCCATTGCTGGAGGCAGTAAAGGCACACTGTACAGGTGACGTTATTCAGCTCCTACACAACCCCACCAAGCTGCAGAGTAACATCATGACATTAGTTCTAGAAAGAAGTCAAATATTTGGGTCTTTTTTCAATGTTATAAGTTATATTTAAGCACCTATTCTGAGTATTGGTCGCTGCTTTTATGACAGTAGATAAATGTCATCCCTCTTTTGTTTTGTTGGTTGGACAAAATAATCTCTTAAGAGCTTTGTTTCTGAAATATGTCATTATAAAAAAATGTGATTTTTTTTTGACTTTTTCTTAAATATTAACTGCCGCACAGGAAGCCTATGTTATAGTTAAAAACTTCATTATGAAAATAACTGACAGATAAAATAATAAAATGTATAACTGTACCCTTTAAGATCACCGTGTTGCAACTCATCATGTTAGTTACATGAGCACAGACTGTCACTGAGAGCTGTATCGCTGTCTAATATTGAATGTGACACATGTGCGCTCACACGTGGTCATGTGAAAACCCCTTGCCCCCCTCCTTTTTGTGGGACACACATGGGAAATAAGAAAGGCTGCCCCCTCCTGATTAGATCTCATTTCTGGCTGAATTGGGTTAATGAAAAAGCTAGTTTCTCTGGACAGAGTCCAGGTTTTGACTGTTCAGCATGCAGACACAGCTGAATGAACCCACAGTATAGATCCCTCATGTGTCATATTTGTGGTTTAAACACAGGACATGACCTTGAGCTGCATACATTATGTCTGTGTGTCCTTTTCTAACAGCTGGTTGTTTTATTTCACTTTGATTTGACAAGCTTCGCAGGCCACAGAGGATCATGCACACGTTACCGTCTCCAACAATGACCTCCATTATTTCCACCGAGCATGCCTCTTAACCCAAGGTAACCTTTTTCTGCTACTGTGAAACCCCCCTTCCTTCCCCCACACAGAGTCTAGGGACTCAAACAAAAAATGGACACACCCCCATTGGTCTGAAGCTCATGGTGTGTTGTGGGTTGGACCAATGGCAGAAGAAGCCGGTAGATTCCCCCCCTCCCCCTCCGCTCATGCACACAGCCGGTATTTCTGACTCAAACACACAGGATGTTCAAGATACCATCGTGACTTCATGTGGGAAATAAGTCTGTTAAATATTTAGATCTGTTTTTGAGTGAGTTATATCATAGTGGTTGACAGCAGTGAGCATTTCTGCACCAGATACTTCCCACAGCTATATTTCACACCTCCCTTCTCTCTCTCTCTCTCTCTCTCTCTCACACACACAGATGCAGGCGCACGCATGCACCTCACTCTGGCAGCTAAATGTGAAGGTCATCTTTCTTTACAAGCTGACTCTCCTCATAAGCTCAACTGTCAGCTCCACCTGGCCTGACTATCTCCATTTATAAATTTGGTTATCTACCCTAACGCAGATCATTTGACTTTTACAATCTGCACCTTTTCTTGTTTGCTGATGAGTTTCTCATTTCATGAGATAAAAACCAGACTGTTAAAGATTACAGACAAACTCTTGATGGTTCACCACCTGGTCTGTATCTAAAGAAGTTTTTGTTATTAGAGCCTTGGGGATTAAAAAAGATCAATAAGCAAAACAGCTCAATGAAAATCTGTGTTTTTTGTCTCAACATTACTACTTGCGTTTTTTTGCAACGGAGAAAAACTTGCTGGATTAGTCATAAGCAGACATTCTCATTTTTTTCTAACTTTTGTCCATCAGTGGTGGTAGGTAATGGTCATTGTGTCATTTCAATTCACTAAGAGCCCTTACTTTGGTACCCTTTGGTACATAAGTTAGGGCTTGCTTTGGAGTTCATTCAAGGTTTTGATTACGGTACCACGTTTGGCATTGCCTGGTGTTTTCATGAGAAACACAGTTTTTTCAAGTTCAGGACTTGATATATTCAAGTGATTGACTGCTTACAGTTTTTTTAACAGCTAATACTAATAAAAATAATGAGAGTGCAGGTCAGCCAATAGCTGATAATACCAATATCACATTTTTTCTAATCCTTTTCTTTTTTTTTTTTGTCAAAACAATCTAATACTAAGAAACAAAGTTACTGAATATAAGTACACATTTTATTGAGTTATTATAGATGTAAAAATATTTTGCTAAGTAAATTTTCATAGTCATCTGAGCCAGTAACATGTTTTAGAGGAATTTTTAATGAATGGTGATATCGGTCTTGGGAGCGATTGCTGATGATGCCAGTTACTAAAAATGACATCAATAGACCTGATAAATCAGCCAACTGATAAATTGGGTTTATTTCTTGTGAATTTGTTAGTTTTTTCTGCAATCGCAGTAACAGGCTGTTATAGTGTTGGCGCTGTTTCATTATCAGTCTTCACCTAGATTTGTGTCCTAAAGTTAAAATATGTATCCACTTTAGATCAGATTCAATTGTATTGGTGTGTCCCTTACAATCTCTCTGCCTCTCTCTTTCTCCATATATCTTACTATACGCCCCTCACCCACTGTAATATCTTTGCTACCGCATGCTAGCACGACATCTAAAAAGCTCCAAAATGTCAGTTTTGTAATATGTCTGAAATATCTCGCTCACAAGTATGCTGATGTGTGCACACAGTGGTGAGAGTACCACTCTGGTAAAGCTTTTTAATAAAGAGCTTGAAGAATTTAACTTTTTTTTTCTTGTGTAGTATTAAATAAACCCTGATTACTCTTAAGATCCATTCTTCTCTTTTTTGGGGGATCCAAAATAAACCATGATGACAGTGGGTAACATCAACCAGGAATACGTCTACTCTTGTACAAAATCTCTGCAAGAAACCCAACAGGGCACCAATGTATGATGGACAACAGCAGATATCAGCATCTCTAACAACTGCAGACTAACTGAAATGTTTGTGCTTTAGCTGCTGTTTACAAAAGGTCACCTTTGTTTGCCGAGTGAGTTCCAGCGAGATTTCTGATGCACACAATATATGCAAATTCAGACAGACTATACTCTCTAATGTTTTCTCTGTCACCGTTTCAGCTCTGTTGCCATGGTTACTGCCAATGGCTCTTGAGCTCGTGCTCATTTGCCTCAATTTCCTCCCTTGACTCAGTATGTAATCTATTCGTGTTCTCGTGACCATCACAGGTTATCCTCTTTGCTTTGTAAACCTTAACTGGAGCAATATGTTGGTGTGAGATTGAAACACCTACCAGGGCATCATGCGGCCAATGCCAGTCCATCTGCTCCGGCTCACCAGGAAACCCACAGTGGGGTCTGTGATAGCGTCCCATGCCCTGCCCACAAACAGTATGATGGAAGCATGGGAGGGATCCAGCTAAAGGAAAAGGGTGGAAAAAAGAGTGAGGCGTGAAACCGAAACAAAGAGGATGGCAAATACTACCTCATATGGCACTGTTCGTGACTGATGCAGAAAAGCCACAATGAGGAGATGGACACCTTTGAGGCTCAGAGCACTATATCACAGAAATACTCAACTGTGTCAACTTTTAAAAAGGACAGCATGCGAGTTAAAAATGCTAAAATTATCTTATTTCTTGAACTGGGAGTTTTTTTCTTGAGTTCCTACTGTGTACAGTGGAGGAGTCTGATTTGTTAATTGAGTAACAAAGCAAAGCAGTAGGAGTTCAAGTTAATGCGCTTGACTGGCTACTGCAGGATGGAAACTATTAAAGCGATCCAAGGCTGTTAAGGGGTGCACAGACTCTGGCCTTTCAGCTAATCAGCACTTTGAACTATGAGCGACGAAGTGGGAATAAGGAAATGAGTGTCCAGGGAGTATTTTAGAGATTTAACAAAAGGCTCCTTTCCCAGTTGTGCACAATATCATACAACTGTGAATTTTTTTCTTGTAGCTTTGAGTGTTAAATTTTAATCACCTGAGCAACATCTAGCAGGTAGATCTGGAGGAAGAAGCCCAAAGCACTGCCCGTGATCTGGTAGGGAGCCCCGCCGATGGCGTAGCAGAGTTTGTTCCAGACAGACAGTCGATTTCTCAGATCCTTCGGCTGGAAGATGAGGAGGGTATAGAGGAGACATGTTATACAGTGAGTTTATGCATCTGACTGTTGCAAACACTCATATCCCCAACAGGACTATGAGAGTCAGTCTTTATGTACAGCTCTCTTTTGTAGTCTGGGGTTTGTTAATCCATGTTTTTCTACTTCCATCCATCCCTCTGTGAAAAATTCCTGGCAAAAGTGATACTGTGTTGAACAATATGCTACCAAGAGGGCCTGAGATTGGCTAACAACGCTCACCCCATGGCTGAGAATGTCAGATTAGAGGCAAATCCCAAGCAATGATGTGGCGTGGTTGTTACACTATGAGGTTATTACAGTTCACACACTCTTGCACTGCATCACAAAGGCTTAAGCTCTTCTATTGGCTCTCGAAATAGGATGTTGGCGGTAGTGTGACATTTCAAGCTGAGCAACCAACAGTCAGCAGACAGTCTACGGACTTATCACATCCCTCTGCTACAACCAATCATCTGAGCCCTAGAGTCCTACATCTGGAGTCTGATCATTTCAGCGAAAGAGGACAGCGCTACGAACATGAAAACCAGCATCACCTCATCTTGTACTCTGAATGATAGTCTTCTCAGCCAAATTTATACCTCAGTCTAAATCCATACTGTAAGGAAGATGCATAGGAGAACACCTCAATGTAAGGGGACCCCGAGGAAACCCCTTTGAGCTTTACATGACACCATAAATCCTTTAACCATCCTGTAAGGCTGAAGTCTCCTGTGATCTGATATTGCTGTAAGGAGAAAGTGATACAGCTCAGGCATGATGCAAAAAAAAGTTGGACTCTGGAGACAGAAATGCAAAGCTGTACAACAGCAGCGTTTGGGGATCATTTGACGACTAAACTGAATTATTTCAAGCTTCCAGACAGGCTGACTACACATGCGCTGATCGCTTAAATGCAATTGTTTAATGCATATTCAATGTAGGACCCTCAAACCAAAGGATGATTCATGCTTTCTTGCAGCTCTGGAGGTACCACGTCACCTTTCTGCTGCACGTCTGTCATCAGCAGTCTGCTATATTTGACTGGGCTCTACTGTTAAAACAAAATTACCCGTCTGATTATCACGCGGTCCCTTTAAAACCGGTATGTCAGCCCCATGAGCAGCTGCCGGGGGACACACGGACAAGTGAAATTCAAATATTGAGGACAAGCCGAGGGGGGCGTTTGAAAGGAAGTAACAGCCACATTTGATCTGATGTTACCTTCAATTTACTCGCAGAAACACAGAAACGCCCTTCAAGTTAAAAAAAAGAGACCCCAAATGTTAAAGTATGATCGTCTTCTCTTACCTTCGTTGTCTTGATTTCTGTATTTATAGGTTTGACTGATAGTAAACTCGCCGCGTACTGCTCGGCACCCTCTCCTCGTGCCATTATGCTCAGAGATATAAGAGATATAAATGTCTTCTTCCAGTCTTCGCTTTCAGTGTGTTAGAAGAAAAGCCGCTTCACAGCATGTTAGTCCTCTCTGATGGTCACTCTCCTCTCTGTCTCTCTGTCTCTGTCTGTCTCCGCGCTCTGACCGTCAGTAAGCCGGTTCCCTTACGTTCACTTGTCGAGCGACTCACTCTTCTACTACTTTACACGTCACAGAGTTAATGACGTTTCCATCGCGTGTTTCTCAGCCCTGCCTGGTGCTGCTGCTTCAGGCACTGGAGGAAATCAAACTACACACATTAGAAAGACGATGATGGCGCACGTATCGAGTCCATATCTCACGTTGAGGTCACGAAAATCGTGCCAGATGATGATGACTAAATGCACCAAAAGAGCCTCTTCTTTTTAATTTTTTTATTTACAAAAGCACCATAAAAATAAAAAGAGGCCGCATCATCAACATAAAACAACAAAAATAAATAAATGAATAATATAGTTTTCTGCATCAGAGCCCATGACTTTGAATCGACCTCCCAAAAAAAGACATGTCGTGTTTAATCAATGGAATCTTCTAAACCAGCGGTTCTCAACCAGTGGGTCCCGACCCAAAAGTGGGCCGTGGACACGTTCTGGATGGGTTGCGAACAGCTGGTCAAAAATGTAAATATTTAGAAAAATAGCTTCTTTGAAAGGCATGGTCCTCCATGATTTCTTATTAATATGGCTTGAATGCAGCAAAAAATAAAAAATTTTGTTTGTTTTATTTTGTTTTTGTTTTTTTTTTTGGTCTTTATTTTGTGCAATTTGATATAAGATATTTTCTGTTCAATCAGCGGAATCTTCTAAATCAGTGGTTCTCAACTGGTGGGTCCCGACCCAAAAGTACGTCGCAGACACGTTCTGGATGGGTCTCGACCAGCTGGTCAAAAATGTAAATATTTAATTCGCATCTGATGTTTGACTTGTCATTTATTTTGAAAAATAGCTTATTTTAAAAGGCACGTGTTATGTCGTGGTCCTCCTTAGTTTCTTATGAATGTGGCCTGAGTACAGTAAAAATACAAGGTTTTTTTTTTTTTTGGTCTTTATTTTGTGCAATTTGATATTGGATATTTTCTGTATATGGAACTTTAGTAGTTGTCGTCCTCAATTCATGTGCTCAGAAATGCACTTTACCTAATAAAAATGATGTATTTATGTTAAAGATTTGAGTCTTTAAAGGTTTTTTGTTTTTTATAAAAAATTAATTTGCTTGGTTTGAATTTTATAAAAGTGGGTCGGAGTGAGACCAGTTGAGACCCACTTCTGAAAACTCACTTTCACAGACTGGTTTTTATGTGATTTTGCTCTTTCAGCGACTATTCAGGTCAGTTTTAACTTGATAAGTTTACTTCATTTGAAAACCCTGGTACATTAGTGCTTTGGTTACAATCTTTTGCTTACAAGTCCTTTTCTGGTCCCCTCCTTTATTGCCCCTGATCAAATTCATTAAATTTATTCACCCATTTCATTCATTCATTTACTCATTGTTTTTTTTCACTGCCCCTCATGTTTATTCTGTCTTCATTCTGATGTGATGCCATCTTTTTCCCTTTTGTTCCCTTTTTCAGAATTATTCTTGTGGGAGTCTTTATTGCTCTTAAAATGAGATCATTCTAGTATTTTTTTCCACTTATATTTGCTGCAGCTCTGTGATTTATGATCTATTTTGACTCTGCTGTGATAACATTATTAATATTTATTCTGCTTTATCCATCAAAACACTTTGTAAACTTCTTCAATGTAAATATTATTTATTAATTAAATTATTATTATTATTATTATTTTTACTATTATTATTATTATTGTATGCTTGACTACCTTATGTTTTTCCTTCATAGATAAAAGTACAACCTACATTTTAGGCTTAAAATACTCTTAAATAACATTTACAAATGAATACTCTAATACACAAAATCATTGAAATTGGATTTTTTTACATTTACAGTCAAAGAAAATAGTTGCTGACTGGTTTGTTTGCACCGTGAAAAGCAGACAAGGGAAAAGTTTTTTTTTTTTTTTTAACTCTCCATTTATGCTGACAGCAGGTTTGTGCATGCCCCACAATATTACTTAATCCAAATAATGTCTACTTTTCCACTTTTTATATTCTTTTACTCACTGTCAGAGCACTTTGTTTTCAAACATGGTCTATAATGATTATAAAATCAGTGTTTTGGCCGGTTGCCTGTTCATAAAGCACACCCACAGGCTGACAGTGCATAACAGATTAAGTATATCTCAGGGGTTTTTACAGGCCTTTACCCAACATGCCGTAATATTTTAAAACGAGCCCTTGTAGACCTGTTGAAGAAAATGTGCTACATCTACTCAACTTAAGCTTTAAATAATCAGCTTTGAACTCACTAACAGGTAAGAACACACTGTAAAGAAGCCCTCCTTTTGAGTCCTTGTTTCCAGGTTGGTACAGCCATCTAGGGTAAAAGGCTCATTATCTCGGGTATAGACAGGCTATATGAGATTTGATTGAAGTCTTATGTCCTGTTAAAAAACAAGTACACTTGGACACTAAACACCACTGGCTTACCTCAAAGTCCAATTTAAGCATTACTGCAGATCCTGTGTGTGAGGGGGGATCAGAAGAAGTCATCTCTAGAAATGTGAAGACACAACCATGAAGTGGCAAATTCCTCTTGTCCTTGTGCGATCAAAGTCTCATTTTATAGCCTACTGCCTCTTGTCTGCCATAACCACACACTCTATTCGAAGGCTTTCACTTTTGCCTCAGCAATGCCAAAAGGAGGGTCATGCATGTCTACGAGGAGGAATAGCACAATAATACCACCTCAAAAGAAATTTCTATCTTTTAAATTTAACATCCATTTTCAACCTTTGTCATCAAAAATAAAATCTCTCAAGAGTTAAAAACAAACGATAGACTGGTTTTCAGTATCAGTTTTCTAGAATAGTGATTCCCAAAGTGTGACATGTGGCCCCCTGGTGGTCCTCATAGGTACAGCAGATGGGTCCTGAGGGTACAGAAAAAGACTTGATTTATTAACTCCAACTCTCTGTTTTAACTCTGTTTATGATCGTGCTACAGGCATGGATCAGGAATTTAAACACATGCACACACAGGTTCCACTAATGGGCAAATTAGGGATGAATGAGAGGCTGCACACACACAGGCACTTCAAGCTGTTTGGGATTTGGTGATCACTACACTGTGTGTCATATTTGGGAGATGCTTGGTGATATCATTGTCTGATTTTCCTTTTCACTGAGCATGCATGGATATAGCTACTGTGACAAGGTCCACTTGGCCAGCTGGATGGATGTAAAGGAAACTTAGCTGGTCTCATGACAGCTTACGTCAACAGGAAACATCTTAATCCTGCCGGTTGGAATCCAGAAAAGAGTGGAAATGATCAGTCATAACACCAAATGTAATTCATTGAGTATGAGTATATAAGTGTAAATCTTATGTATGTTGATCTTCACTTGTTTGTTTCCACCAAATCATTACAACAATCTCAAACCTTGCAGAAGTTTTCAGTCAACTTTTATTCATATGGCACCAATTCACAACAAGTGTTATCCCAAGACACTAACCAAAAACAGACAAAACTTTATTTACAAAGACCCAATGTAAAAAAAAAAAAAAAAAAAAAAAAAAAAAAGATAAGACAGAGACCAATCTTGTAAGATCAGACCCACTCCCATCCCATCTTATACCACATGAGTATTAGACTTTGTAGCATTCAGTAAGTTAGTGGAGAGGAAGTTCTTCCTTTTCGAGCAGAACCAGACTTATGTAAGACAGTCATTTGCTGCCTCTGTGCTGGGTTGAGAGATGGGATAGAAGGAAATGCAGAAAGAGAGAGATGGACTGAGTTTAGACTGAAACATGTAGTTGAAGTAGCTGGAAAGAAGGCAGGTCCACAGCAGCAATAAGTCTGCAGCAGTGATCCAGAGGAACCTACAGCATGATGGAGTACAGGTACTCCCAGTAAAAACTGTGTTTTAGTGATACTAATGAATCATGATGATTCAAAGGTAATGACACAGATAGAAAAAGTTTCAGTTTCCCTTGAATTTGATTTGGTATTTCAATTTGTCCATGTTTAACAAGCTGTGGTTTATCAGTTCCCTTTAAGTATAGAGCTAGTTTTGATTCATCACGTGGGTTTACCAATGGTACACGTTTTCTGCATCAGTAGCTTTTATTTCTTTCTCTTCTTGACAGAGAATAAGTCTGAAATGACAGGAAAATTATTTTGGTAATGCAAAAGGAAAATAAAACATACTGCTTTTGTAAAATTTTTAAAGAAATTTAAAGGGAACAGCACACTGCTAGATATATTTATCTGTAATAAATATATCTTGCAGTGTGCTGTTCTCGTCAAGCTTCTATAAAAGTCACACTTGCTGTGTGGGCTGCAAAACTCCTCTCTTTACATGCCTGTGCCATTTATGGAGATTAGATTCAAAATATATGGTCAATAGTTTTATCAGCTGCATAAATGAATGATCTTCAGTTAAAATGTGGACTAAAAGTTTTCCCATGTGACTTAATTTACTGATTGTTCATGTAATTCTAGCCCAGACTACTGTTATTAAGTTTCACATGCACATTCCCTCCTCTAAGTACAAGCTGGTTAGACCAGAAGATCATGACCGATCATCTAGATGTCTTCAGTGCGGTATTTTCAGATTGAACAAGATTTCAGATAATTTAAAATCATTTGTTATTTTCAGATTAATGTGATTTTTTTTCATAGTTGTAAAACTTCTTCAGCTTGAGTCAAGAATCGGCACTTTTCAACAACAGTAACTGCTCACTTCTGACATATATAAAGGTATTTACATATAGTGAACAGCAGGTGGCAGCACAAAACTGTTCAAATTGCTCTGCGGTAAAGCAGTGCCTGACAATTATCCCATAATCCCATGAAAACAAGCTTTAAAAATCTAAAGATGATAATAAAAATCAAGCT